TAGACCGAGGTAAAGTTCTCAAACCAAGACACTATTTCCGGTTTTGCAGAGTTTGTAAACTAAATCATTCTTAAACCGGACTGTTCTTAAACAGAGGTGTCACGGTAACGCAAATTTATGAAAGCTTTCATGTCACATCCTCTCAGACGCTATATAAAAATAAAAGCTCTCTTTTGTTGGTCTTACAATTGTGATAAATCACAGCTAGAGTAACTAGATCTTCTCTGGTTTACGTGCCGTCCAGTTAAGTTTGGGGGTTTAAGTTGTTATCTTAGATGACTGGTGCTGGACTGGAAGAAGAAGAAGAAGAGTTTGGATTTGATATCCCGCCTTTCACTCCCTTTAAGGAGTCTCAAAGCGGCTAACATTATCCTTTCCCTTCCTCCCCCACAACAAACACTCTGTGAGGTGAGTGGGGCTGAGAGACTTCAAAGAAGTGTGACTAGCCCAAGGTCACCCAGCAGCTGCATGTGGAGGAGCGAGGACGCGAACCCGGTTTCCCAGATTACGAGACTACCGCTCTTAACCACTACACCACACTGGCTCTGGATATGCAAGTATTCCATTAAAGCAGGGGTAGAGAACCCTTTTCAGCCTTCAAGTGCAATCTTCTGGGGCCCACATGCCAGGGACATGGAACAAGTGGAGCAGCGACAGATGCAACTCTCAGCTCTGTAGACTACAGATTTCTGCAGACACTTGCACACATCTTTCCAGCCAGGCAAGCTGAAGACACGACCAGAGTTCAAGGATGCATTTCACCAGGGCAAAAGCACACAAAGGTCAGGGGGCATGGCCGAGAAGAATACTGAGGATCAAGCAGAGGTCTGGAGGGTCCTATTTTCCCACATTTAAAAATATAACATGAGAACGGGGCCTTCTCTGCAGTGGCTCCCTGTCTGTGGAATGCTCTCCCCACGGAAGTTCACCTGGCGCCTTCATTATACACCTTTAGGCGCCGGGCAGAAAACGTTCCTTTTTAACCAGGCCTGTGTTTGATCTTATTGACATCCAACACCCTTTTAGAATGTGGTTCGTTTTGGGGGAGGGGGCGTTATTGGGTTATTGTTTTTGGTTTGATTTTATATGATGTGGTCTTGTTTGTGAACTTCCCTGAGACCTCCAGGTATAGGACGGTGTATAAATTGAATTAATAATAATAATAATAATAATAATAGTCTATATCAATATGCTAAAATGTAGGAAAGAGGTAAACCACATGTGGTTTCTGAGGAATCTTGTCATCTTTCATTTCATAGTCATCTTTCATCTCAGTACGTTTCCGAGCACAATTCAAAGTGTTGGTGCTGACCTTTAAAGCCCTAAACGGCCTTGGTCCAGTATACCTGAAGGAGCGTCTCCACCCCCATCGTTCAGCGCCGAGGGCCTTCTGGCGGTTCCCTCCCTGCGAGAAGTGAGGTCACAGGGAACCAGACAGAGGGCCTTCTCGGTAGTGGCGCCTGCCCTGTGGAACGCCCTCCCTTCAGATGTGAAGGATATAAGCAGCTATCTTCTTTTTAAAAGACATCTGAAGGCAGCCCTGTTTAGGGAAGTTTTTAATATTTAATGCTGTATTGTTTTTAACACTTGATTGGAAGCCGCCCAGAGTGGCTGGGGAAACTCAGCCAGATGGGCAGGGTATAATAAATAAATAAATAAATAAATAAATAAATAAAAAAATAAAAATAATAGTCCTCATATCAGAAAGGGTACAAAGGCCTGCAGGTTTTCAGCTTAGAATCATAGCCTTGTAAAGTTGGAAGGAACCCTGAGGATTGTCTAGTCACACCCCATGAAATGCAGGAATCTCAATTAAAGAATCCATCATGACAGAATAGAATATAGGTGGGATCTGTGATTTCAGCTTTAGCCGCTGCTTAACTAAACTACAGCTGGTACTAGTCATTCAGCACCATCAGACTCAAAGTGTATGGAATAGTTCTCTTTTAATCACTAATGTTGACCGTTTCCCACTGACTTTGGCCACTCACCCTCCCAGCCTCTGAACAAATCTGTGCCCGGTAACCTGCTTTTGTAAGCTGAATATTCACCACGAATGCAAACGGCAGTTTGGCTGGAGACAAGTTAATTCCGTAAGGTCAAAAGACTTCGGTGCGAGTTGCGTTGAAACTGTGGCAATACGAGTGCCTTGTTTTGCATCCTTGCAAAATGTTTCTTTTCATATTATGTTGGATTCTTGTATCAATGAGGATGCTCAAGCTGTGATGCCTTAAATGAGCTCCCTTCAAAGCTATAATAATACGGTCATGATTGCCCGGCAATTTCTGCTATGGGCAAAAGCCTTACCTGCTGAGAGCTGAGTGCCTTCTGCACTTTGCCTTAGCCCTGGCAGCTCAGGCAGAAAGAGCCGTGAGACGGTAACCTGCTGGATAGCTTTTGCCACATGACTCTAGGCCACAGCCTGGACATTAAAAGCTATCTTAGCTATGCTATATTTCTTCTTTTCTTCTGGAAGTTTTATTACAGGAAACCACAGCACAACTTATATAAAACTTGTATCACAAAGCCTTCTGTATTTGTCAGCAGTATTAACAACTACCAGGTCATTGGGGCTGTTAAAATTACTTTCATGGGAGAAATACTCTTTTTCTTTAGATGAACTACTTACCCACAGCTATTATTGCTATTAGTGACTGCTTAGAACATACCTTTGTGCTTTTTAAACTTTGGAAATACTGGTTCTATGATCCTATGTTTTTGTTCGTAAGCCTGCTTGGTATTTGGAAGAATAAATTTAACTAGGAGGGCACCCATCTCTATACTGAATGAGGATGAAATGGAACTGCTACTTTGGGTTTTAAAACTAGGGTTTATCTCAAGCCGCCCAGAGTGGCTGGGGAAACCCAACCAGATGGGGAGGTGGTATAAATAATAAATTATTATTATTTCTTAAGAAGATTGACTGTTTGGCTCCTGCACCAGGTAGGTCTCATTTCCAGTTCTCGAGTTACAAAAGATCAGGGGCAGGGAGAAAGAAATGGTTAGGGGTGAAAGCATCCCATCCCAAGAGGCAGATCTTGGGAATGGATAACACATCTTGCCTGTGATGGCAGAAAGCTACATTCTTGGGAAATGGACCTGGGGGCTGGTTACATTCCTCCAAGGCAACAAAGAACAGAGTATCTGGTCTGGGTAATAATAATAAGTCTTTGTCCATCTGGGTTGTCCCAGCCACTCTGGGCAGCTCCCAACAAAAACACAATACGGCATCAAACACTAAAAACTTTCCTAAACAGTGCTGCCTTCAGATGTCTTTTAAAAATCACATACAGTGGTACCTGGGGTTACTGACGCTTCAGGTTACAGGCGCTTCAGGTTACAGACTCCACTAACCCAGAAATAGTACCTCGGGTTAAGAACTTTGCTTCAGGAAGAGAAGAGAAATTGCACGGTGGTGGCACGGCGGCAGCGGGAGGCCCCATTAGCTAAAGTGGTGCTTCGGGTTAAGAACAGTTTCAGGTTAAGAACGGACCTCCGGAAGGAATTAAGTTCTTAACCCGAGGTACCACTGTAGTTGTTTATCTGTCTGACAAATGCCGGGAGGGCATTCCACAGTGTGGGCACAACTACTGGAAAGGCCTTCTGCCTGGTTCCCTGTAACCTCACTTCTCACAATGAGGGAACCACCAGAAGGCCCTCGGAGCTGAACCTCAGTGTCCTGGCTGAATGATGGAGGTGGAGATGCACCTTCGGGTATACAGGGCCAAAGCCGTTTAGGGCTTTAAAGCTTAGTACCAACACTTTGAATTGTGCTCAGAAATGTATTGATGTTCTTACCTGAACCAAGAGAGTAGACAATGTGGCAATAGCACCACAGAGTCCATTTCAGCTCATAATGTTCACTGCAGTATATACACTTTTATATTTATTTTTTAAGGAGAGGGGAAAAAATCAGACCTGTAACATGCTTTGTAAGAGAGCATGTTAGTTAAAAATAAATAAATCTGAAAATACTGTTCTTTGGAAATCTATTAGGATTTCTAACTCTTAAGTGTGATCTTTCCCCTTTTTCATATAAACTGCTATTTCTTCACAAAAGACAAAAAAGACACCATCTGTATGACACACGCAGATTTCCTGTATCAAATGCCACTCAGGCACAGTTGCCAATATTTTACAATAGGTAGCTTTATGGCATCATGTACTTTGATCTAGAGTCTGGTCTGCTGCAAAGAATGAACACTTTTAGAATAACAAGAGCAGGCTGGGTGCTTGTGACATCACTAGTGTTTCCTATACACAAATATGTGGGTCTTTATGGAAACATTTATTCCAGGCTGAATACCTGCAGACGTATGACTTGAGAAATTTCTGTATGTCTTGAGAGTTTTTTCTTTATATCCCCTTGGGGCCTGATTAAAATTTTCACTCCAATGTTCCCCCCCCCCCCCAGTTATCTAAATGAACTGCAGTACTTCCAGAGGCTGAAAGGAACACATAGTTAAAACTTTTGCAGCCCATTCATCAATTCATTCTTCTACAACTCATAGATGACGACTTGACTACAGTTTCAGCATGGCACCAGAAATACAAAACCAGGAAAGCAATGTAGCCTCTTCCTTTTCAGTCCTGCTTCTCAAAGGGCAACACTTCGCATTAAAGCGCTGCAATCTGACTATTTTCAAAGAAAGCCATGCTCAAAATATTGTTGCTCAAGTGCTGAAAGTATATGATTTCAGCACACAATCTTTGCCCTCTCTCAAAATCACTTAAACTGTGTATCTTTTTATCGTATTAGCCACCCACTTGAAGGTAGTCGCAATCTACAAATGCATTAACTTTTCTGAGACAAATCATTGGCATCCTAATCATCTGATTCCAATGAAAGGCTCCCTCTTAAGACACAATTGCAGCTGCCCCACACTGACAGTTACTGTTTCATACACATCCCTTAAAATTCTGTAATCAGCATTTGCCAGGCGCCATATCACATTCAGCACACCACATTCAGTCAATACAGACATCCCCAAACACACAGAGGCTGGTTTTGTCAAATGTTTTATTGAGTGTAGACATCTGGAGTACTGTAAAACATGCATTATCTGTAGATTCAAAAAGGAGCAAGCCATATTGTCCTCACTGTCAAACATGTCAGGCTTGGCATATATGATGGAGATTAATGAAGTATCATGAGAGTAATATGGTTCCTGAAAAGCTCCTGCAATTTGGAGTAGTCTTAATCATTTGAAATGCAGAGCTGTTCACATTTAAGTGAACTTGTACATTCACTGGAGGTGTCATAATTCAACTCAAAACAAACACAAGGGGTTTCATTTGTGGGGTTATTTGTCCTTATGTATACAGATTTTATTTATTTTTTTGTCTTCAAGATATCCCTATCTAAATAAAAAAAACCAATATGATTTTTAAAGTAACAGAGTTTAATTTTGAGTAATGAACAGATCTGATATTCATTTCTTCTTAGGTTGTTGAGGTGTGTTAAATTTAAAGAAGATAACATCTCCATCTTCAACTATGTAATTTCTGCCTTGCTGTCTGTATTTCCCAGCAGCCTAGAAGAGACAGAAGAATAGATCACTGCATTAAAATGATGCAAGTATTTAAAAAACCACTATTTTGAAATGCAGTGCGTATTTTGAATAAAATACTATCCGCTCAGAAAAACATTTGGTAGCTGCAAACTTCTTGACTTGGGCAGAATTTGATTGACAAATATATAATCACAATTTATTCCTCACTGCTGATAGTGAAAACAACATTGCTTTGAGATTTTCTCATGTAATGTCAATTGTGTATTTGATTTGGGTCCCTCAAAACAACAGCAAGGTGTTATTTTATTTTATATTAAACTAAACAAAGCTAACAGAAGGTATTTTTAAATCCTCCATACCTCCTCCTTAAAAAAAAAAGAATTCTACAGTTTTCTTGATAAACAGAAGAGCCAGCACTTTAAGAGCTATTTTCAATCAACAAGAGTAAATATGTCTTGACTTAAATTGGTTAGGGAAATATATTTCTCTTCCCCTCTGTCAATGAAGCAGCGTGCAATTTGAAAACAGCCAATCCCCTTCTTTCCCCAAGGAAAAGGAGGGATGCAGAAACATCATTGGATCCAAAGAACTATGAGCGGAAGGAGAACTCTTCTGTGTTCTCTTGTGCTAAAATGAATGGGAGACATATTGCAAATACTATTTCCCAAATATTGGGGATGCATTATTGAATAAGAAACAGTGTATAATGAAAAAAAAAAAGGTTCTTGTGAAGACACTCAAACCATAAATAGGTTTTGAGAATGAACATACACTGTTTTACATAGTCGAAAGGTACATTGGGAGCCAATACAATATCACTTTCAGTTTTCATACTCTACGACAGAGAGGAAAGAACTTACTGGGCCCTGTGATTCCTACAGCATGCTGAGAGGGGAGCATCAAATGAGGAACAGGCAAGGTGAGGACTCAACAAAGGAAGAAGCTTGGTTGGTGCAGATAATAAATTGGCATTTATTATATCTCCTGGAAACAACCCAACTTAAAAAATGGAAGAGCAGAATAAGCATCTTAATGTGATGTTGTTAAATACGTGTTGGGGGAAGTGTACCTGGGATCCAGTCTGTGTGCAAGTAATGGATTTTAAGGAAGCAAGTGGGCCACGATCTACCTCGTGAGTTAGCATGGATAGGTTGTAATGCAACCAGAAGCAGATGAAAAGATTTGCATTGATAAATCCACAGGAGCCTGTCCACAAAACTAAATCACACACCTGCAATCAGCATTTCAGCGAATGAATTTATTATGCAGGACTGATTATTTTTTCCTCTATGACCTAAATCATTTTTGCAAACGATTCTAAGTACTGAAGGGAAAGCATGGACCATTGCAAATAAGGTAAAGAGGCAAAGGAAGTGAATATAATTTTTAAAAAAAACTTTACAATTTAAAGGCAAAACTAGAAACAAGGCATTCTTATCCAGCAGTTTCCAGAGGCAACTTTTATAACAATCTATTGGCAGGAATGTAATACAAGTTACAGGCAGACAATAATAACTTTAAGACAAGTGTTTTGTGAAGCTAATGGCTTTTCAAAACAAGCTACTTCTTGTACTTCAGTGACAGGAATTATAGAGATCTATAAACCTGCTGCTATTGTTCTCAATCCGACATTATGCCATATTATACGTCCAACATGCTACATACAGGTTCTTGATTCGATACCCACTTACGTGGGAGAAAGTCCCAGTGAACTCAGTGGAGCTTACTTTTTGAGTAGACTTGTACAGGACTGCACTGAGAAGCATCTCAGAAACAACACACGACACCAGGCTTTCCCAACCTGGTGCCCTCGGGATACTGTTGGGACTACAAATTCCAAGATTCCTCACCACTGGCCATGCTGACCGGGACTGATGTGAGCTGCAGTCAACAACATTTGGAGAGCACCATATTGAGGAAGGACGCACTATTCTTTGAGCACTGGGTGCTGCAGTAGCTGCCTTTAACCCACGACATCACATTTATTACTACAGAATTAGTCCAAGTTCTAACTGTTTTAAGTTAATAGTCTTCTACACATTTTATAGATAACACAGGCATTGGAGTATTCTGCGAAGACTACACCCACGCCAAAAGTCAGGAGTAATTACCGTATTTTTTGCTCTATAAGACTCACTTTTCCCCTCCTAAAAAGTAAGGGGAAATGTGTGTGCGTCTTATGGAGCGAATGCAGGCTGCGCAGCTATCCCAGAAGCCAGAACAGCAAGAGGGATTGCTGCTTTCACTTCGCAGCGATCCCTCTTGCTGTTCTGGCTTCTGAGATTCAGAATATTTTTTTTCTTGTTTTCCTCCTCCAAAAACTAGGTGCGTCTTGTGGTCTGGTGCGTCTTATAGAGCGAAAAATACAGCAGTTTAATTAGTGACATGTAGAAAATGCTCTCTACAAATATAAGCTGTGGTCATGGATAAAATTTAAGATTATACAATTCAACGCTTGCATCTGGTGGCCCGAGAGTTCTAATACGTGGGCTTGCATGTGTGTGTTACAGCCTCATTTCGCAAGCCACCTTTTCCTATCCCTGAAACCATGTCAGGCAAGGCAGAAGGGAAGCCCCGATCTCTCGTAGGGGTTGGCGACTGAGAGGCATATGAAAGTGTAAGGCTGGATCACTTGGCTTTCTTGATCTCATGTGTGTAACCTTCTCATTCAGGTATAGATCCCAAGGTTCCTCACTGTCTTGCTTCTGGGTTTGGCAACCCAGGAGAGCAGGAAGCACCCAGTTGGATGAGGCAACAAGATTTTGTGCACTTCTATAAGGTCTGGACTATCTGGCCAGGATGAGACATATCAGGCCATTGCTAGGCAAGGCTGTTTTGTTAATCCTTCCTCTCTTTCCTACGGGGTGAGAAGGAGGAGGATCTGAGAGAATTGGGGGTGGGGATGTTGAAACAGTAAACCACAACAGGACCTGCCGGCAGCCAACTTTAGGTCCCACCAGTAAAACTAGCCGATGGCCAGGAAATTATTAGCTTTTCTGTTGTAGAGTGGCTTAATGTACAAGCATTCTTGGGATAAGCCTGTTTCATTCAAAGTGTCTGTGTTCATTGCTTTCACAAAGTGGGCATAGTCACTTTTAATGAAATACATTCTGACATACTAATACAAGTATTATGTATTTTAGCTACCAGTTCACAATTAATTAAAAGTGGCTGTGTTCCTTTAAATTCCCCAGAGGCCATTTAATCCATTTTCATTGCTATCAGAAACACTGACTGGGGGGAAAAAATCAATACCCATTTGTGAGTCTTGAGTATGTATTAAACAAGACACGTCTAACCAGTTCATTTGCACTTGAAAGCAGCCATCTGTAGAAGCCAGCTTTGCCTAAGCAGATATGATTGCTAATAATGTGATATCCCTGTAGACTACAAAGCCCACACAGAGCTATTCAGTGTATAGTTCACAGCACTGGCATTAAATTAGTTATGCTGTACTGGTGTTAGACACACACAAAATAAACTTGAAAATTGATCAGCTTCATAACATACAAAGCAACCAACAGCCATGACCACTGTTGTTTCAGCCAAATCTGGGAACTCCCAAAATCAGCTTTGATATATAAACAGAAATAAATAGTGGCCTGTATTGTCTACAATCACAATCTGTTCCAATGTAAAGCCTATGAAAAGTGTAGCTTTCCCAAGCATACACTCCTAGAGCTCTGCATTTTTGAAGTGTACCTTGTTAAAAATTACAGAGGTACCTTGCACGCTTATTTATTTAACTATTCGGATTTCCAGCTTACAAATATTTCGAGATTTGCAGTTTTACAAGATTTCTTTAAGCAAGGCAAATTTATTTAATATTCACATCAAAACACAGAAAAGTCTTCAGCGAATTTTAGTTGATCACAAGACACCTTTTATGAAATATTTTTCACATTTGTAACTAACAGTAATGTGTGTGCTTTGTATAATTTATGATTTGATATTTGAATAAGCTTCCTGGCTTCAAAATATTGTGGGATTTATTTATGGCTGCATTTTACTTGTTTGGCTAGGGCTCGATTTCACTTTTATAAGGTGGTTCGCGTGCCACAACAAACCAATTATAATGGGATTCCCCTCCCCCGCATCACATACACTTCCCGGGGTTCAAACAGACCTATTAAAGCCCTGCTGCTCAGCACAATCTTCTTTAGTGACACTACTGAGAATAACCTACATTTCAAATTACGTTACTGCATACCTTAAAAGCTATCAAACAGAAGACAAAGGGATACAATCTTCTAAACCTTTTAATGCATTCTGAAAGAATGCTTTGAATATTGCCAAATTTGAACTCTTTTCTTCTTCTTTTTTTACCGTGCTAACAAACATGATAGGAAAGCCCAAACGAGACCACCTTAAAAGACTGAAAATCTGAACCATATTGCAACAACAAAAATGTGGTTATTTAACTCCAGATTTAGTAAGATCTAAATCTGATTGTATCTGTTATTATCTGATAACACCACAGTTATGGGCTGTTAGCAGGGCACAACTTTGGGCACCTAATCAGTTTCTGCCCTCTAGTGTTGGGAAAGAAGATGAAACTTCTCATCTTCATAAAGGTAAAGCAACATACAAACCATCTGTTAGAATAAGTGTTCCCTTCTCATTAATTTATGTGGCTACAATAAAGGAAATAATAATAAAGGAAACAATCAGGAAGTAACGTTCTCAGATGCTACAGTTAGAAGAAAATCTTACAGCTTACTATACTTCAGAAATTACCTGCTTAATTATGTGTTCAGGTGTTTTATTCAATCCACAAATAGGTTAACCATTTTAACAGAATAGATCATATCCCATTCATGCTGTATATAAAACACATCCCTAAATGTTTGCCAAAGAACCGTAGTTTTGTTACACCAAACAGATGTAACAGAACCAACAGATACATATTATCTTTCTTTAACTGTTTGAAAATGATCTAACAACTGCTATATATGCTAGCATTAACAAGTGGTGCAGTTTGCAATAATTAAGTTAAAATGGTTAGTATTACTGCCCAGTCTGAAACATCAAGTGTTATTGCTTGCTCTTTAATGTTTACATTTGTCCTAGTAACTGTCATACCATATTATGCCATATCTTTAACTGTATCTTAATTCTTGGCCAAAATGTAAACAGTATGTCTGTGCTCTATTTTTAGCATTGACTTCTCTCCAATAAAGTCTTAAAATAAGAAAATTGTGTTAAGGGAAGGATAGGAAGCTCACCTTGACAGCTGATTCTGAACCTCCTTCTTTAAAATCTTCAAATTTCATTACTTCAGCCATAATGAATCCCTTTTCAAAATCAGTGTGAATCTTTCCTGCAGCCTGAGGAGCCTTCGTCCCTTTCTGTCAAAGAGAAAAACCAGGAGAAAATTAATTGTATTTAGGAAGATTGATAGTGCAAGAGAGATTTCTCTATTGTAATGTGCTTTCAAGATCTGCTGAAACTTAGTTACGTATCAGTTAAAACGTCAGGAATCCAAATAGCTAATTTTCAGCACTGGGCCACAGACAGACACTTTTAGCAGAGATAAACAAACTGGTATTAAAAAAGGCAGGCTTTGTTTCTTCCTAATGCATATCAACTGCTATATTGATTTTGGATACTGTGTAGGTTTTGCAGGAATTCGATCTTTACAGTGAAAGAGAAATAAACACGTTAAATAACTTTAAAAACTATACGGTCCCAGGTGTTAGTTCAAAATAAATGATTCTGATTATCTTAAAATTCTATAAAAACAATTTATTTACAGCATTGATCCAAAACATGGACATTGTCTAAGCATGAGAACACTGAAATAAAGTATATTAAAAATTAACATTTTAAAGTCATTAAATGGTATATTTAAAATGCGATGTAACAACTGAAACAATCCATAACCACCTATTTACATGCAAATAGCCCTGATATATTTAAATTATGAAGAATGCATTATAATTGCTTCATGTGTTAAACTACAAGGGCATCTATTCTATGCACACACAAGCATGCAAAGAAATTTGAGAAATAATGGTGACCTAAAGGCTGCTTAATAAACCATGTTAAAGTGCTAAGGAGTCTGACACTGTAAAGCATAGTTTTTACAATAAAAGATGTATTGGGTTAATATGGCTACTCACTGATGCTTACCTGACTAAATCTCTCAGCACATTAAATCAAAGATACTTACAATCAGTCTTAAGATAAACCAGCTTTCAGATTTCTAGCAAAGGAAAGGCATTTCTGCTACTCTGTGAGCAAGTGTCTCTGAACACATTATCCTGAGCTATGTCAAAGTGCACCATCAAACTAAATACGCGTTTATATTTTTCAAAATGATTTAGTGTGCTTGTTGTGAAGTATCTAAATATCTGTAGCATTATTTTAATTTAAAATTTACTGAAGTTGGTCAGGCCAAACCAAATTATTATAAAAAGATATAAAAACAGTACTAATAATATCCATCACATAGCAAACTCAAACTGAAGCAGAAGCATGTTAATGGACAAAAGATTGCATTTACTATCTTGAAGAACTTATGTTTTCATTAGATCAAAAACAGAGTTTGTAGTAACATGCATCTGAAAAGAGAGCTGCCCTCTATATTAAAATATATTTACATTAAAAAAGCAAACCATTATACAGCTCAGCTTTTACTGTCCTCAGGGAATAAATTAGCCACCCTGACAGTAATCAGTTTACATCAATATACATTTTTAAGGCATATGTAAAGACTTGATATGAACACATAAAACCATCAAAATAAACTACTCCTAAATATTCAAATCTGTATCCCCCCCCAGCAGAACTGTGTACCCGCACAGAGTATAATCATGTTATATTGCTTTTATTGCTGAAAATGTAATCCGAGCAAAGCAAAAGGAGGAAAGAACCACCCGCAACCCAAACAAACTTAGCGAATACAAAATGAAAAGCAACATCAATTTCACTGCAGACAAACCCAGTCACACAGATTAAGCAAGCACAATACTGGTATGTCTTATCTCTGACCACAGGAGGAGGGTAGACAGATTCTACAGGATGAAGAAATTCAGACTATGTAATAGGCAGAATCAATTGTTACCTGCCTCAATCAATGCAGCTCCACTTTCACTGTTCAGCAGCTCACAAATAATTAAAGTTATCCTGGACAAAAACCTCATCTGTAATGACTAGCTAACCGCCACCATGACAAACTTCAAAGTCAGTGATATCAATCTGAATTCAATAGTGTGGAACTGGATATAGCTGATGAATAAGTATGAATCTTACCCTGATGGTCCATGCACGCACTTCATCGGGGCCTGCAGTGAAAAAGTATTCTAGCTGGAGTGCTGCATACCCAGCCTTAATGATCTTTGGTAAAGCACTAAAATAAAATGGAAACAAGGCCATTCAACTTATACACAAGAAAAAAACCTAAATGCCTCAACCATTCCATTTTGGGAGGGGGAGCGGGGGAAGAGACTATCCATTCGAAAGATTCTGAATCTTTCTTCTCATCTCTACTTTTAAGCATACTGATAATTGTAATAAGTGCATAATAAAAGCTCTCAGATGCTATTCTGAAATGGCAGCCATAGAAATCATACTTGATTTCTTCATAAATTTGGCAAAATGCAGAAAGGCAGCGTTTGGGTCTCCCGTTATTGGAGGACCCCAAGTCGCGAGAGCATTGTTATTTGACTAAAATTAAAACACTGAAATAATTTATTGCTGTTATTCAGAGAAACTAACAGCGACATATTCTCTCTCTCCCCCCAACCCAGCCTCCTCCCTGTGGATGACCAGAGAGTTTTGGTGATCATTCCTTTTAAAAAATATACATAACTAATACCTATGGTATAATTAAAACACTGTACAGAGATGACAGATGACAGTTAAAAACTTAATTTAAAATAAATCTTTTCACTCTGTCTCATGGTAAAGAAAGGAGAAGATTCCCTCTTTATAATGGTAATTACTCTGTCATTTATTATTCTATCAGCGCAAGCAATTAAATTACTGCAAGGAAATAGTTGATAATAAAGTGTAGGGAAAATGAATGCTAATTAACCTTTGTGTCATGTTCTCTTCCAGATACTTCTGTTTCTCCTCAGCACTCATTTCTTGCAACTTGAGTTCCAAGGCCCCACTAAAAGGAATGACCAAGGCGCCTGGGTCATGCTTGTCCACCCACTCTTTAATTTTTATCAACCTGTAGACAAAAAAGGGCACAACATTATCTTGTAGTGCATGCATGACTGTACCACATTCATTATTATCAAGTAGCACATACATATTCATAAGAATTGCACGGTTTTATGATGCCATCTTTTTGTGTATTGCTTTCCAAGGTCAAGGCATTAACAGGCAGCAATTGCTTCAGGTGTACTCCATTAATATTTTACTGTTATCTGCTTTTATTCTCGCACATTATAATCTACATGGAACACGAACGGATTTTTAAACGGGCTCGAAATCTGGCTAGGCTTTGATAGGGATCTCAAACTAAAGCTGCACATTCAAAATACACTTTAGGTGTGCTCCAAGCGTTGTGTCTTGCGCTCAAAGAAGTAGGACTATCATAAGTAATATCATTTGGTTACAATAAAAAATAAAAAATCACACCAAAAAGAGCCTTAATTCCTTGCAGGCCTTCTTTTTATTACTGTTTCCAACTGCCTAGAGCAGCTACAATTTGGAACTGTAAAAATATCTGTGGACAACAGACCAAGCAATATCTGGATTCTGCCACGTGTATCGTATGGCTACAAATGCATTCAGGATCTTTCTCCCAGTACTACCTACATCTCCATTAACTCTACAAGGCACATCCTCTTCACTGTACTACCCCTAAACCTCTCCCACCCCACCCCCAAATATGCATACAAATGTCGTTTAGTAATAGATGAAACCAAAGGCCTGTCTAGGCCAACATCCTGTTCCCACAGTGGCCAACCAGATACCTACAGAAAACCCCACAAGGACTTGGAGGGCAACAGCGCTCTCCCCACTTGTGCTTCCCAGCAACTCCTATACAATGGCATAGTGCTGGCTTTGACCTACAAAACCTTAAAACGGCTCAGGACCGCAAGACCTCAAGAATCGCCTCTCTCCATATGACCTACCAGAGCAAATTCTCTTAAGGTCCTTCTTCATGTGCCTCCTCTGCAAGAGGTCCAGAGGTCTGGCAACACGAGAACGGGCCTTCTCTGCAGTGGCTCCCCATTTGTGGAACGCTCTCCCCAGGGAGGTTCAGCTGACGCCTTCATTATACACCTTTAGGCGTCAGGCAAAAACGTTCCTCTTTAACCAAGCCTATGGCTGATTGACATCCGGTGCCCTTTTTAAAATGTGTTGGGGAGGAAGGGGATTATTGGTTTTTGTTTTTGTTTCCATTATGTATTTTGTGTCTTTATATTGCGATTTTATGTTGTGAACACACTAATAATGCAAGCAGCCTTCGAGAATGTCATCCTCCATAAATCACCTGTTAAAATCATCCAAGTTGGTGGTCATCGCTATTATCTTGTGGCAGGTTTCGTAGGAAGAAATACATCCTTTCGCCTGTCCTGAATCCTCAGCTTCATTGCATGACCTCAGGTTCTAACATTTTGAGGGAGAAAAAATTGTCCACTTTCTCCACTCATGAACAATTTTATACATTTCTATCATGTCCGCCCTTCTTCTCCTCTTCTTCTAAACTAAAAAGCCCCCAAAGCATTTCCTCACCAGAGAGCTGCTCCAGCCCCTCGACCATTTCAGCTGCCCTTTCCTGCATCTTTTCCAACTCTGCAATATAATTTCTGAGTTGCAAAACGTAGAACTGTACACAATATTTGAAGTGTGGTTGCACCATGAGATCTTCGTAACAGCATTAGGATACTGGCAGTTTAATTTTCATTTTAGTTTCCCTACTGAACTCCCAACACGGAATTTGTCTTTTTCAAAGCTGCCATACACCTGGTCAACATTCTGAATAAACCATCCACCATCTTTTTTCTACTTAGTCACTGCGGTACCAGCAGCGCATGTGCCAGTTTTTGTAGCGACCAACAATGGCAACGTTAGACCGCTTGAGCTCCCCACTACCGCTATTACCAACAAAACTGCAACAAAACATTGCAGTGTAAAATGTTCCTGTTCAGAGTTCTTACAGTTATAGTCATGCCTTCTTAAACCATAATCCCCTCCTCAACCATTACTATTATTATTAGTAGTAGTAGTAGTAGTAGTAGTAGTAATTATTGAATTTATATACCGCCCTATACCCAGGCATCTTAGGGCAGTTCAGATAATAATTAGTATTCTGTGCCAAGTGAGCATTCTGTTCTCAATGGGCTGCTTTTGGGAGTGTTCCCCTCTTAGGCTTTATGTGCTAAACTAGCCCATTATTATTATTATTATTATTATTATTATTATTATTATTATTATTATTATCATCATCCACCCTATACCTGCAGGTCTCAGGGCGGTTCACAGGATAAAATCAGAAATATAAAACCACAAAATACATAAATCAAAATAAAAACAACCCAGTAACCCCACCTGCACTTCAATATACAAAATACTTCATTATCTATGGTTACTGTCTTGCCAGATTAAACAGCAATAACCAGTATTAGTACAATAATGCATATATGGCAAAAGAAACAAATGGCAGTAATATTTGAGTGTAACATTGATGCTAAGTTGGTTCCGTGGAATAGATTAAAACCTTGGTGATGGGGGTAAGAAACACAACATTCCTTCACAAGCAAAAAGGTCAGTGTGAAAATAGCGCTTGGTTATAAACACAGACAAGATATTAGGATATCAAACAGATGGCACTCCAGTCCAACAGGAGGAAGCTGTGAGCAAACACATTTCCACTTGAAAACCTCCCTACCGCTTACGTATAAGGCTGCTAATGGAGCACGTTATGATCACCAGAGGTACAACCCAGTGCAAAACTCTATACATGCCCATCCTTAACAGTAAACTAGGTTCAGGCACAGCCTATCCCCTGACCTACTTGCCTATACAGTGGTGAACACAATTTCTGCATGCCATCTTCTAGGCTACCACTGGCCAATCTGGTGCTCTCTATAGGTTTTGGATGTTAACTCCATTTAGCCCCATGTGTCCAAAAAAACCCACAACCCTTTAGGGCACTAGGTTGGGAAGGCTGATCTAGGCTGTGGAGAGAGGAATGGGCATAACAGCCTCTTGTACCACTTGTGGTTTGCCTTGGACAATGTCCAAATCCTGCCAGAAAACAAGCAATCATCAGCGGCCAGCTTAGTAAAAATTAATAGCCAGTTGACTATGGAGGAAAACAGAAGGCTTGTTGGCCGTCGGAGACAGCAGCAGAGACAACTGAGTCAGCACCCTGTAAATTAATAGCTGCTAGTGGCCAAGCAGGACCCAGCGCAGGTACAGGGACATCAGAGGCCTAGAACGATGTTTCCAGCTGGTAAAAAGATTCACACTAGTAGGCTGCAGGCCCAGGCACATTATACATTACTCCATTTTCCTGGTTGGCAGTTAGCTGTGGGGAAACAAGACTTTGTTCGTCTCATGTTTCTGCTGAACTCCACAGAATTCACATTAGTGGACACAGGATGCTTGTAGCATAGTACACAATCAATTCGGATGTAATTTAAATGTAGTTGTCTGAGGATTAAGACTAGATATGTGAGGGTTGTAATATTGTGGATGTTACACACACTTTGAAATATAAGGAAGCAAGCCACATACAGGCCTGAAGCGAGTTTTATTTAGATTTTTAGACCTATTCATTTTCCAGCTCTGGACTATGGGTTTTATGCTATTTTGGTAACATAGTTTGAAACTGTGGGCATACAAACCTTTAAATAATTCATGCAAATGTCAAAATTAAACGAAACCAAAAGTTCATCAGTTCTCATTTGTCAAAAAAAACAGCAGGAGATCAGAGCTATTATAAGATTACGTATACGGTGGACAAAGAATACAGAAGTTCCTTCAACAGTTTGCACACGTGTGTTACATAACGCTGTCCTTTCGTTACTTGTGCAAATGCCCAGTCCATAGTTTTCAGTGCTCTTTATATTGCATTGCTGCTTCCTCTCCAGAATATTGGAAGGACACAGTTTAGCACCAAAGACAGTTACTGAGTCATTGTTGGCATTTTAAGAATTTAACAGCAGCTTTATTTTATAGGTATGACAGCTTTGGTCTATAAAATAATTGGATAGCAAAAGTTCCCACACCTGCAATTTCATAACACCCCCTCACACGGCAATAGCCAGCCCATTCCAAGTCGAGGGTCTCATGATTCCTTTCCAGAAAGTTTGTTGTTCCCCCAGGACACTGTTTGCAGCTCTGCACAGTCTTCTTTGAGCAGCTGCCTGCACACTGTGGCGCTGCGGTGGGGAGAACTCACTGCTGAACGTGCACACGGGGAATGTGAAGAAAGCTTTGCATGGGCTAATGGCGATACTGCAGGCCCCAACAAGGGGGTTAAGGGTGCGGGACAGCATGGTAAGAGGTCTATACTAACTTCTATGGAGCAGCTTTCATTTTAGTTCAACATGTGTGGGGCAGCAGAATTTCATCCCAAGCTACCAGATTGCCATTCTACTAAAAAAATTCCCTAATAATGTGCAGAGGTGTGCAAGCATTTGTTTTGGGTTTGTATCAATGTGCTGTGTTTTTGGACTAATTGAGATAATGTACCATGTGACCACATCTAAAAGAAAGCACAAAACATAAAAGCAAAAAGCAGTTTTAATATATTTCTAAAATTCAATACGGGTTTTTGTTTTCTAAAAATGGTCATCATAACTAAAACTAAGAATGCTGTGGAACAAGATAAGAAATAATTACTTTGGCTAAAACACCAATTCCGAATAATAATAGTGCTACACTCATTTTAAGGGCTTTTCTGTCGAGTCCTTAGAGAGATTATTTGCATTCCTCAGGTATTCTATTGTACAATTCAGATGAATAAAGACTTACAAATCATTCCTCCACTGCCAGTGAGAGACTTTGATCCAGTGAATACACTATTGTACCTTAACTATAATTGGCAAAAAACCTGACAGTGTGTAGAGCATCACAAGCTTAATAACAAAGGAGAATATCTCAGAGTGTTGACAGATGATCTTCATAATGCAGAAGCAGAGCTGGTACATTTTAGCAATAAATGAGCATGGAGGTCTAAAGGTCTCTGAAGTGACTGACATCAGACCTGCCACTAGCTCAGTACACAAATAGGGTACTGCATCATCCTGTAAAGACAGGTTCTTTGCTTGCACATCTCACTTTTGTGACTTTCAGTGTAAAATAAAAAATAGTTTAAAAGATGCATTACAGAATACTCAAAACATTAATATAAACTAATGAAACTAAAATGGAAGGTGGCTGTCTCTAAGCAGCAATCTCTTATGTTTAGGTCAACAAAACCACCATTGTAAAGGATACTTATCCAAAGCTATGTTGATATCAAACAACACCAACATATCACCACTCTTAAGTGTAGTGTAGTCAATTGGATAGTCAAACAAGCAAAAAACTGGATAGTCAAACAGGTATTCCGTTCCATCGTATCTACTCCAGAAACCAGTTCTGGGTTTATCTAATAAGAATGACTAAATAATTAATTATTATCTAATAATAATAACTAAAAGGATTCATTGCCCAACATCATTCTTTGCACTATGAAAGAGAGCATAGCAATCGGTCAGAGAGAAGGCAAAAGGCATTTAGTTTTCCATGTATGCTACACAGTGAAGCATCACTTGCCCTGGATTGCAAGACTTGAGCCTATCCATTTGCCAGAGGGAACTTCTAGCTCTTTGGCTCCACATATCAACCCAAAAAATCTGTCTACCAAACTTCATCTAAAATGCTAACATCAACTCCATAATCAACTCACTTCTGCAGACACAGCTATATTATTTTCTTTTCCAGATAAATACAGCAGTTTGAATAAAAAAGGTTCTGGAAAATGCAGATACTGTAGACTTAAGAGGTCTCTTCTCACACCTAAAGAATGTCAACTATTCTCTCTCTCTCTCTCTCTCTCTCTCTCTCTCTCTCTCTCTCTCTTGCAATGTTCTTCTTTGTAGTGCTTCAGTCTTTGCCTCCCTGCACAGCTGCTTTGAAGTACAGGACAAGGCAGTGCAAAATGGGGCTCTTTGAGGTTTTATGGCTTGGCACTTGAATGCTTTCAGCCACACCCAGTTCCAGACTCCTACTTCCACAATCATAAATGAACATGTCAGAAGTAAATGAAAATAGGAAACTATGATTCCTGATGTGCTCCTGAAGTGTTTAGAAATGAAAGGTGGCACTGGGATTTGATTGTAAAAATTAGTTAAAACCTAGAATAAACTGGTTCTGAACCACTCAAAACTCTGTACACTTACAGAGGTATCTGGTTTGTTGAAGAGTCAGTGATACTATCATCCCCTCAAAGCCTTGAGTGTGCAGGGAAGCCGTGCATGTTTAGTGACATCATCAGACAGTGCCTTTTCTCACCTGCTTTTTCTGGAGTTGAGCCAGAACATATTTGCATGTCCACCCCCATCAGAAACCAGAAATCTGGCCAAAAATTCCATTAAGGTAGAATTTCGCAACATTTCTAGAAGTGCTTCGAATTAATTTCTTAGTTTTTGTCCCCTTGTCTAAGCGGCATGAGACACCCAAGAGGCAATTTTGCTCATTTACATTCATTTAATGAGTGGAAGAGATATAGGACAGAAGGTAAGAGTACGATCCTTAAAAGGAGGAAAGATATATCTAATACTGTATTTGCTCAAAGGCAATCCCATAAACTAAAGCTTAATTCCTGAAGAGAGTCAGTTAATGATTTTGACACATTTTCACCTATACAAATCAAATCATCCTCAAAACCACGCCAAAGAAGAGAAACTATTGGTTTTGGAACAAGGCACAATGAAGTAAAATACATTATGACTACTAGATATCTGTCAGAAACTGAAAATGGGTTTTCTTGCTGCACTTCTGCAGATCTCATGAAAACACACACAAAACAGTAAAAAGCAAAGATTGGAAAGCTCTAGTCTTTGCTGCTTTTCTGCTTTATAAGGATCAAGGACAGTAAGCAGATAATTATACCATTTAAGAATCTTCTGTACTTGTGCGAGTTTCAAAGTTATGAAGTAAACATTGAAAACCTGTCTCTTCAGAGCGAAGCCTTAAATGTAGAATTTCAAAACATTTATTTTTTAAATTTAATTATGCTGCTTCAATATTTCAACAGAAATCTGGAAATAGTTTGCATTGGGGATAATGGCATGAGAAAATGAGAAGCAAAGGGTTTCAACATGGCTGCCTAATACTTATTTACATATGCAAACACTGGTGTTTGGACAGATTCAGAAGGTATCTTAAAAGTTGTACTGATTATGCATTTTTATTTATTGTAAACCATTTTGAGAACTCCAGAAGGTAAGCAGTGTGTAAATGGAAATAATCATCATAGTATTTCTGCGTGTTCTTCAAAGGCTGCCCCATGTGAAGTACTTTACAGTAGTCCAGCTTGGATGTAAGAAGTGCATGCATGGCTGAAGCTAGGTCTACTTTCCATAGACAGGCTGTTTTGATAGCATAAATAATAATTAATTTTCATCATAGACCTTTCTGATTCAGGATTTCCCCCATTCCCTGATGCAGTGAGCCTCCATATTGTCTTTTTGAAAAGGGGTGTAAGATTTGACAATTCCACAAAATATGGAGCTGTTTTCGGGATAGAATATATATAAGCTGCTAGGATTCTATCTAGCGTGTGGATCTTTTAAAGCCCTATGGGCCGCACCCCGACATAAATCTATCCTCAGTCTCAGACGCAATGGCTTGAACATTAGCCCACTTGCCAAATCCAGCTTCTAGTTGATACACAAGTTTAGTAGTATACACCCAGCAAATCTCCCAAGAATAAAAGCAGGTGGCCACTGAACAACCCAATGGATTCCTTCACTGTATTTCTTCGAAGGTCAGCAATTAAGCTCATGTAGAAGCAACATAAACAGGCTACCCTGGCAGCAAGGCAAAGACTGCATTATTATAGACATGTTCTTTAGTGATAATGGATTGTATCCAAAGCAACGCTAAGTAACTTGTTCTGTTAGCAGAAGGATTTACGCTCTCCTCCCCCAGTGGCCCTTAAATCTGTTCCCACATCCCTCCAAAGCAGATTGGGGGAGGGTTTGGTGAGTTCCATTGTGCAAGCGTAAATCTTTGTGCTAACAAAACAAGTGCACTGGATGCCACTCACTGTCCATCCTTATGACTTGTTAGTTCCATATAAGCCTGCTCCATATAGTCATAGTCTTTGATATAAATATTTCTAAACAATCAAGTGAATATGCTGGTTCATACATTCACCAGATTCTAGAGCTTAATTCAACATGGTGGAGCAGAATGATCTCCTTCCTTCCACCATTCAAATAACTTCCTGTGTCAACTGCAGCCTCCATATGGATAGCCAATTCCATAAATATGTCTACCTCTCTTCCGCACCTTCTTGAGGTAGATAAACTTTGGGAATGGCATTTCCATGAAGCCTAGGAAGCGGTCACGGGAAATCATCCACGCGGTGGATTATCATGATGTACACTCCACTACCCTATTTCAGTGTCTGCTCCTGATGAATGCATGATCGCTGGCTCAATGGAATCTTAAACAGGAAGTCATGAATGTTGTTGGCATTATAGCAATTACAAGAATATTAATCAGCGAAAGGGTTGTATCATTGCAGATGAAGAGTCAGCTACAGCTATTACATTTGGGACACATACTCCTCCCAAGATCCATCTTTAGTATAAGCAAATAGTGCACCCAATTTGTTGATTTCTTTTGGTTGGATCATCCGTCCTTATTTTGCCCCCCACCTCCGGTACTTCTGGGTTTAAAGTACAGTACATAAATTCCAGGAGGAAGCATATTTAGAATTCTTCATTCATGCTTCCCTCCTCAATGCAACAAAGCAGACATGGTGGCGGTACCAATACTGGAGATATACTAATCCCCAGTTCACTAAAAACAAACAAATAAAAAGCTTAAGAACACTGAGAGTGTACCAGAGCAGCTCATCAGGTAATGAACTAAAGTTATGCTCACACATTCTACATCTTTTTGAATTGCAAAGGAAGAAAACAAAGATGACCTGTTCCTACACCTTTGCAGTTTGCACATTATAAACTTTGTTTGCTAATTTACCAGCAAAGGCACACGCCTGAAAGTCTTGAAGTTGATGATACACTTACTGTACAAGCAAGCAGTATAATTACATAATAGGCTGAAATAGCTTTGCAACAATATACCATTTTTAAAAAACAAAACAACAACAACCTGCTGTATAATTACTAAAATACGAGAATGGCTCTAGATGAAATTCAAGCTTATGAAGAAGAGTATACAGCAAAAAATGTTTTTAAAATCTCAACATAATGCAAGTGTTGACAGTGTCTGCCTAAACACAAATTGCTAAGTACATCCACGTTTCAAATGTTTCCCCCCCTTGTTGCACTTAATTTTCCCCTTGCATATAGATAATTGGAAGGAAAATTTATAAATGTAATGACATTTGTAAGTACAGTGGAACCTCAGGTTACGTACTGCCCTCCTTACAAATGCTTCAGGTTACAAACTCCACTAACCCGGAAGTAGTTGCTCCGGCTTGCGGTACCACTGTATACACAAAGTTTAATATATAGAGAGTAAAAAGATTTCCCTTCAAGTTTTTTTTTAAAAAAACAGTTTGTTTACAGCTACAAACATTAACAAACCATGGTTACAAACATGAAGAGTAAAAATAAGTGCTCAGACATCTTTTTATGCATTCTTATGTGTGCACATTCTTATGCATAAAAAGTGATGGGCACAAGATGGAACTCTAGAGAATCTCCATGCAAGCTGCAATGGGCCTAAGCAGCACACTCCAGAAGTGGAAGGAGAGGAACCAGTGTGTCATTGCACCTCCAATTCCCAAACCACAGAGCTGGTCCAGGAGGATGCCACAGTCAATGGGATCAAAATCCATTGAGAGTTCAAGGAAAACAGTGTGTCTAAACTGATTTCAGGCCTGAAGCCAGGCTGAAATGGATCTAGGTAATCAGTTTCATCCAAGTACATCTGAAACTGCATAGCCACCACCCTCTTGAGCAACTTTCCCCAAAAGAGCATATGTGATTCAGTGAAAAATGACATACATTGAAAGGTCCGGATTCCAATACTCGCTACAAGCAGCTTTAATCATTTTACCTAGGCTTCACAGCAGCTGCATTCTGATGTCATGATGGCTCATTTTGTGGGGAACAAATCTAGGGCAAACCTTGTGTTTGTGAGCATCTCCCTCCCTTCTCCAGCATCATTATGAAGAATTCAGAAACTTTAGCTTAAGTGATAATCCACAGCTTGTCATATTGCAGTGGTACCTCTGGATGCGAACCGAGCCCCATTCACATCCTGAAGCGAACGCAACCCACATCTGCGCGTGCGCAGGTCCCCGCTTCCATGCATGACGTCATTTTGAGCATCTGCGCATGCGGCAAAACCTGGAAGTAACGTGCTCCATTACTTCCGGGTCACTGTGGAGCGCAACCCAAAAATGCTCAACCCGAAGCTACTTCAACTCAAGGTATGACTGTATTCTACAATTAGCTGCGATTAATCTTAACTGTGGGCTACTTGGAACAAGCCAACTTCAGACCATGAGTTATCAACAAAACATACTTAAGAATAACCACAGTTTAGGTTTCAGAGATAACACTACATTATAGTTAACTGAAAATGGAAAGAAAAGTTTCTGAGCAACCACACTAGAGAAGCAGCACTAAGGTTTGTTGCTGTCATGATAAACCACATAACAGCAGACTGCAACCAATGGTCAAATGTGCATGTAAGCCAATAATTGTGGCATAATAAAAGCATACTGAACATGAGCTATAGGCTGATGTGTGCAGCTCATCACTTCCATTTCAGTCGTCCACTGGTGTGTAAACTAACTGGACAGAGGAAAGTGTAGCCTTAAAGCATGGTTTATTGTTGGATGCACAGAAAACAGCTCCTGCATAACTATGTCTTAAAGGAAAAGGTTCTTGGCCATTACATAAATTATAAACACTCATAATTATCAATTATTAGGACAATAAAAGTGTAAACTATGAAAGATAACTTAAAACTAAATTTTCTGAACACAATACTTTAAAACACTGAATGACCTTTTGTTTCTATCATGTATAGAATTAGTCAAATTTCTGTTGTCCCTTAATAAAAGCACAGTATAAATGCTTTCTATCCCTCCAAACCTAACAGTCAGAATTACAGAAACTGAAGGTGCAATTCAATGTAGTGATTCATAGGTTCTCTAATAGAAAGATTCAGCAGTTTTCAATCAAGACCTTTATTCCTTCTCTGAATAAATGATGCCTGAAATTTTTATTCTTGTTCTAATGGAATTTCAATGGCCTTCACTGCAAATCTACTGGAAATTTTCGCATATTAAGTAGAAAAAATTAAATGATGTTAACCACATTTTAATGTGATTAAGTCTGACAGGGTCATTATTTCTGCTAATCATTCAGTTTAAAGAGCTCAAACAAAAGTTTATAACAGACAATCTTTTTAATTGTGTATTGACTGTATAAGAGAATTTAAGGCCACTAAAAATATAGATTCATTGCATTTCACATGTATAGACCCAATAATCTCTTACTCTCTTGAGGGGGGGGATAAAAAAAGACTTAATGGAGTATTTACTTCTATAGTTCCTTTCCATATAATGGGGGGGGGGGATGTTTTCAGAAAGGGTATGCTTTTCAGTATTGTGTTATATTCAAGTCCTGGCTTTTTCTTTTAAACTACTACCACTTTTCTATGTTAGCTACTGTAAGAATCGCCTTGCTGAATCAAATGAAAGGTCTACTATTCGAGCACACACAACAGATAGTAAGATGTACTGAGGTAGCCAGTATGTCCTCAGCATTTTGATAACCAGGATGCCTTGCCTCTGACATAGACCTTTCATTTTTAAGCAATCATACCTAATGGCCCCGGATAGCCTTTTCCTCTATAAATTTATTTAATCCTAAAAAAAACCCTGCTTATGATAGTGCCCATTCCCACATTCTGTGCCACTGAAACTCCTATTTTAGGTATGCGTTGCATATTAGCCCTGAATCCACTTGCCAACTGATTTAATCACACCATCCTTGTTCTCGATTCAGGTAGGTAGCCGTGTTGGTCTGACGCAGTCGAAATAAAAATAAAAATAATAAAAAATTGTCTAGTAGCACCTTATAGACCAACTAAGCTTGTTCTGGTGTAAGCTTTCATATGCATGCACATTTCTTCAGACACACCATTGTATTTTTCTCGTCACAGAATCCACAGTGCTATAAATATCTATTATACTCCCAATTGTCTTTCTATATATATATATATATATATATATATATATATATATATATATAATGCCCCAACATCTTAAAACTTTTCTTCATAGCAAGTGAGCTCTGGCTATTTCAGTTGCTCTATTCTGTCCCTTCTCTGGTTTTAATTACCTATTTCTGAGACCAGCTTGCAAAATGGACATAACTCCTGAACACATCCTTCGGTAGATGAGAAAAGCCAAAACCAATACAAGCAAACAGGGCAGGATTGTGCTCCGATAACTTAAGCTTGCTGTATTTAAAATATCAAATTTTCAGCAATGTCAAAGTTTTATGACAACCCAAGTATAGCATCAACTGTATTACTCCTCTTTTATAAAGACTTGTCATCTACAAGTCCTCTTGTAAGGGGGCTGACCTAGTGAGAAGTAACAAATTTAATATTTGTTATTAAATAATAAATTTAGTTAATAGTTCTATAAGGCCACATTTGCAGTAGGAATTATTAGGTAAATGCAGTTAATTCCATTCACATGTTACTTTTCCATCAGAAGGTGAAGAAACAGTCTCATGCATGTGACTACATTGTCCACACACATGCAGCAGCAGAGTGAGACCACACCATCTCCCATGCCCCCTAGGTCTAGGTATGAAGGGAAGCTTTTAAATATGTCAATGAGTCATAAAGCTTCACAGCTGCCATCTTTTTGGGGGGAGAAGTAATGATTCAAATGTCAATATGCTATTATAGAGGTGTAGGGTTGGAAGGGACCCCAACGGTCATGTAGTCCAATCCCCTGCAAGGCAGGAATCTCAACTAAATCATACATGACAGCTGACCACCCAACCTCTGCTTAAAAATCTCCAAGGAAGGAGGGTCTGTTCCATTGTTAAACAGCCCTTACTGCCAGAAAGTTCTTCCTAATGTTTAGTTGACCTCTCCTTTCTTATAACTTGGAATACACTGGTTCAGGTCCGATCCTCCAAAGCAGGAGAAAGAAAGTTTGCTCCATCCTCCATGTGACACCCTTTCATATATTTGAAGATAGCTATCACATCTCCTCTCAGTCTCCTTTTCACCAGGCTAAACATACCCAATTCCCTTAACCGTTCCTCATAAGGCTTGGTTTCCTGACCCTTGGATCATCTGTCTTTCTTGGTTGCTCTCCTCTGCACATCTTCTGTAATAGAAGGTGAAGCAATGAACTAAGTCAGCTTCTTTACTACAGTGGAAACTCGTGTTACGGACAGGATCGGTTCCGGAGGCCCGTCAGTAACATGGAACTGACGCAAGCCGAAGTGCCACATCTGCGCACAGCGCAATTTAACGCTTCTGTGCATGCGTGAGCGGCGAACCCGAAAGCAACCTGTTCTGGTACTTCTGTGTTGCCATGGGACGCAACACAAAAACATATAACCTGAAGTGGATGCAACATGAGGTATGACTATACAGTGGTACCTCAGGTTACAGACGCTTCAGGTTACAGACTCGGCTAACCCAGAAATAGTGCTTCAGGTTAAGAACTTTGCTTCAGGATGAGAACAGAAACTGTGCCCTGGAGGCGTGGCGGCAGCAGGAGGCCCCATTAGCTAAAGTGGTGCTTCAAGGTTAAGAACAGTTTCAGGTTAAGAACGGACCTCTGGAACGAATTAAGTACTTAACCCGAGGTACCACTGTATTTGCTGTTTAATAGACTTAACTGCCACTAGCCATTACTTGCGTCTGGTACAAATGATATGTAATGACTAGCAAGCAAATCTTACAACAAAAAGTTACTCCCCCCCTCCCCGATGCTCACTTGGGTGGGAGCTTCTCCTTGCCAATACCAATTGTTTTTAATCACATCTGTTGCCCTGTGTAGTTTCCACTGAAGACTGCTGCTGAATTGCAGCCCACGTGCTTCAATTTAGAAAAGGCTACCTCCGGCACACAGTTATATGTGGCTACCACCTAAGTAGCAGGTAGAGAGAGACAAGCACGCAGAACACAAAAACATATCATCTGGCTATGAAAAGATTGCCAGGGGGTGAGGTGGGAGGGGGATGGAATTCCACAGATGGCTAATATCACATATTTTTATTCCTGGTTTCAGGTGATGGTCTCTTGCATTATACAGCCATATAAAACAGTTGCTATGAAAGACTTAATGATGCAATACAGCAACTTATTACACCTACACTTTCATAAATATGCTTAGAAACGTAATAAAACGTGAAAATTTGTAGCTCAGACAACATTATTCATCCTTATCCATCCATAGCATTCCAACAGATTCAAAACAGGATTACACATGGCTGCCTGACTACAAGCACATGCCAGTTCTCATCTTTTGCCTTCCTAGGGGAAAAAAGTGGTGATAAAATGAATGAACGTACCCATTCAGGCACTGAATACACATTTAATGTATTATGCAAATTATCAAGCAATATTTCAGATTCTATCAGTGCAATACCCAAGAATGGATTCCTATAGTAGTAGTCTAGGGCTCTGGTATTGTTACTGATTTGCTATTGTGCTGAATACAGCACGACTCATTGCAGAAGTGCTGAAACCATCTTGGTCATCTTGATAGAACGTTAATATTAAAGCTACATCTACATGTTCCTACCAGCCTGATCTCCTTCCCAATCATTCTTTACATAGCTACCTGTATAATATGGATCAAGGTCCATCAATAAGACTTCATATAGTCTGGAAAGCTGAAGGAAAATAACTACACCATTCAATACTTCCAGCCCTGAAGCATATTACTGATGATTCACCAAGGCAAGGATTTGACCCCCCCCCCAAAAAAAGCAAAGAGAAGCATGGGGAGCCAATGGCAAGCCACTGGTCAGTAATGGCTATTGTATCACAATTCCCATGGGTCAGAGCCAATCTTTGTATACTAGCAAACATAGTTATTGCTAGGAAATAGCATCACTACATCCCCACAGAGCCAACAGAATGATGTCGCCTGCTTTGAGGTCATGTCTTCATCAGAGTCCCCTTCACCAAAGGGGACGCGGGTGGCGCTGTGGGTTAAACCATAGAGCCTAGGACCTGCCGATCAGAAGGTCGGCGGTTCGAATCCCTGTGACGGGTTGAGCTCCCGTTGCTCGGTCCCTGCTCCTGCCAACCTAGCAGTTTGAAAGCACGTCAAAGTGCAAGTAGATAAATAGGGACCACTCCGGCGGGAAGGTAAACGGGGTTTCCGTGCGCTCCTCTGGTTCGCCAGAAGCGGCTTAGTCATGCTGGCCACGTGACCCGGAAGCTGTATGCCGGCTCCCTCGGCCAATAAAGCGAGATAAGCGCCGCAACCCCAGAGTCGGTCACGACTGGACCTAGTGGTCAGGGGTCCCTTTACCTTTACTTCATCAAAGACAGAAGAAAACAGTGATAGCTGACTTTATGAAACTGCTCTCTTCTAAAGGTTCTTTCTCTTGTGACAACAGCATCATAGGAACTGCTACAGAGCAGCTCCAACCACTACCAATACTGTTTCCCATTTCTGTCAGGAGCAACTGTAAAGTGTGAGAAGCCACAATCTGCACTCCTCCCATATAGCTTCCCATGTTACTTGAGCAGCACAGGAAGAAGGTGCATGGCAGTGATCCCATACCCCAAATGTAAAATGAGAAGGGACTTTAAGCGACACTTGCTGATATCGCAACACTCACAATCTGGTAGGATTTCAATTAACAGAAGAGTGGACTTCTTTGCACGTAGGAGGCAACGGACTGCGTAATGTTATGCCTCTGATGCTCATAATCCTCTTCAACCAGGAAATGTATTTTAATGCAAACACACATATTCAGGAAGGCTGCAAAATATGATCAATGTTTGCATTCTAGTTAAACGTAGCCAGAATGAAACTGATATTTTCTTTTATCTATTATAAGATCAAGACATGTGCATAACAAGGACCACTAAAACTAATCATATACCATTGGTTTTTGTATGGAAATTTATGGTTGATTTTTATTTATTTTATTTGTCTGTTAAAACACCTTTCTGATGAACTGTACAAGAACCTTCCTCAATTCAGTAATGTATTTAAAGTTACGGCAGAGATACAAGTTGCATTCAGTCTCATTGTGCTCAACAGAACCTATTCCCTAGTGTATAGCATAAGGCTAACACCTTGTGCACTTTCCACATAACACTAAACTATGGTTTAACGTAACATGACAGTGTCTCAAGGTTACAAAGATTGGAAACTTTTGCTTGGTTACTTGTTCTATGCAAACCCAGACCAAATGTGCTTAGTGTTAACTATGATTTAGGAAACAAGCTAAGTTAAAGCATGGTTTAGGATTTCAGCTAGCTTTCATAAACCATGACAGCACTTTAAAAAATGTTATTTATTTTCAGAATATAAATACATCAACAACAAAAACCAAAAGTATAACAAGAGTTGGGCCTTCGATTCAATACAATGATCAATTACAAAGAGACCACTTAATACAGAGCAAGTATCCAATTGTTTCATTATGTCTTTCTATAAAGTACTACGTGTTATAAGGGACTGATAATTATGTTGTTCTAATTATGTATATAATAAAACTATACCACATTGTGTTGAATGTATCTACTCACATGCTCTTTACTCTAAATTAATGTTGAGCTGACCAGGGTCCAAATTTCTTGGAAACAAGTCTCAAGCACGTGAGGCAATACAGACTTCCAAAATATTTCTACATTAAGCCTGGCTGCTGTAAATAAAATTCTTAGTAGATCCAATGTATATACAATGATGAATCTTCTTCTCTTTTTTTCTTTTCTTTTTTTTTAAAGAATGGCAAACTGCCACATGCAGCGCTTTACTTGGATGTGTCTGGAGTCTTGGAAGCTTGACTACCCTACGTTCTCCTACAAATGGACCTTGAGCTTGTTTGGAGGTTCTAGCAGGGGAGCGCAGCTATCGTATACCCTTGACCGAAGAACGGTACACTCCTTCTATCTGGGATGGCCGTCTCTTCCACTGAGCGCGCAGCTTCGGGAGGGATGCACATGGAGCGGTGAGGGAGGAAGGGGACACCCACCTAGCCAGCCAGATCAGCTGAATCAACCCTGGCGATCAATGGGGTGACAGATGTCGCAGCCAGATCGCCCTCACATCCGATGAATCTTCTTCATCAAATATTGAAAGGGGTGCTATTCCAGGATTCTGAGCAATTTGGTGAATTGTAGTAAGACTAACTTCCTAAAATATCTTCTTCCAAAATGTCTCAACAAGTGGATGACGCCACCCCCATGTGAATATATGTACCTAATCCGCCATATTCCCTCTAGCATGTGGGAGAGCTGGAAGAAGATATTTGGCTAAGGGTGATCAGGTACAATCTATATACAGTCTTTAAGGATTGTTCATTCACCCCGGTAGGAACAGATTTAAAAAGAACGGAAGATCCCAACATGTGCAGGATGTACGTTGGTGCCCAAGTTGTTTTCTCACTGGTGTCTCAGCTGAGTCTAAGTCACCTATTCATTTTTGAAATAAAAGTATATATGGTAGAAGTCAAGTCTTTCATCTCTATAGCTGAATCACAAAACTTTATCAATTATTTTGCTTGTTTTAAGCCTCTCTGAGTTACTTTTTGTTTACAACGTGAATGATATGTTTAATAAATAATAACTATTTATGCTTAAGTAAACAGAAAAACAGAATCAATACTCACTACTATTATAAATATCAGGAAGAAGTTTCTGAAAGCAAGAGCTGTTCAACAGTGGAATGGACTCCCTCGGGAGGTTGTGGACTCTCCTTTGTTGGAGGTTTTTAAACAAAGGTTGGGTGGTCATCTGCCATGGATGCTTTAGTTGAGATTCCTGCCTCGCAGGGGGTTGGACTAGATGACCCCCGGGATCACATCCAACTCTACAATTCTATTATTCTATTGACAAGAGCAAAGATGTGCATCTGCTCTTACTTCCAGGATAGAAAAACTGTGCTCCTCCAGATCTTGCTGGACTACAATTCTCATCAACCTTCATGCTGACTGAGTCTGATGGTTGTTGGGAATCCAATAAAGTCTGAAAGTTCACAAGTTTCCTGTGCCTACAATCTTAAAGTAAGATTGTGACAATTGTGGCGATCACACAGGGTCCCTGGACGTTTCACCGTCTGTTGATCCCTGTGCCACCACTTTATTTCTCGCTGCCACCACCCAGGCCCTACCTGGTACAATACTGAGTCCAGTCAGGGTTAAACTGGAACATAAACTTCTGTTTATTTATTGCAATTTAACAAGCATGTGGTTTCATAAACGGTATCGGTCAATTACAATCATGGGGTGCCTATCCAGACCTATAACTTCCGCTACCTGCTCTCACTCACTAAACCACCTCTCAGATATTTACTTGTCTTCCTAGCCCCTAGCTGTTCCTGACTCAGCTTATTTCGCTACACTAACTCAACCTACCCACAGACTCTATCCCAATCCACTCAACTCCAACCAACCAACCACCCAACTCCCAACTCCTCCCGTCGCCCCTCCCAGAGCTGGTTTTATAGTCCCTCTGACTCCACCCCCCTGGGTTCTGATTGGGTAACCTGTTTAACTATTTCACCTCCAGCACTCTCATATGTTAACGTCAGAACAATATAAATAATTTTTAAGATATTATGTATGCTTCCTCATGATGCAAATGCAGCTGCTAACAAGAACTGAGGTGAACATCGTCCTTTAGAGTAGGAGTAGCATTCTATGTTTTGGACTACAACTCCCATAAACCTCAGCCAGCATGTCCAATGGGCACAAATAAGAATCCATAATATGTGGAGGGCATCATGTTGACTACTCCTGATTTAGACTAAAGACCCCCTTTCTTGCAACTAGCAGTTTAACATATTTAGCATTGTGTTTAGCATTGTGATCAGTCAAAAGCAGGAAAAAAAACAGTTGTCTGCCCATAAACAATTCCTTTCAAATACCATTCATTGAAAAACTTCAGAAAACTTCTCTCCAACATACAAAAAATGCTTCTTAGCACAAATACTTCAATATTATAACAAAGGAATGCCAGAACTACATTAGATTCTATAGAAAATGAATGTGCTATTTCAATATTAATACTCCTTTACTTGTTTCTACTCCTTGAAGTCTTTTCAAAAAAGAAAAGCTTATTGGCATTGTCAGAACTATTATGTCTGATACTATGCACTAGTACATCAACTAAAAGTGCATCAACCTCACAAAAATTTTGAGCTCATCTAAAAAGAGTCCCTGCTGAATGTCCTAATGCATCTTATTGTGAGTCTTCAACAAATAAAACTTCATGTATGAGCTCATGATGTGCTTTGCTGCTGGAAAGTCACAAACTCTGTGGGAAGCTTTTTATCTTCTCAGCAGTCAGTTTTCCGAGAACATCAGTGCAGCTACTGTAGTTACCTGTAGATTACTTGTATTTTCTCACATCTGTGTCCAGCAATCTAAACCATGATGATAAAGGGTCATTAGGTTTTGAGTGAGGAAGGGGATGGACTAGACAATTTGCTCTGATAAGCTCCTTGTTGTGAGCTCCAGTTTAGAATGTGAAATGCTAGGTATGTACACTATAAACTGGAACAAAAATAGAGCTATCTCTTAACGCCAATTAAAATGGTGCTGCTTAATCATTTTTAAATCACTAGAACACATGGTGTATTTTTCATTTTGCAATTAAAATACTAACGATAAAATAATTCTGCCACTGGAAAAGGGCATCAGTGGTCTATTAGCTACAAAAGAATTCAGCTACAATTACTAAGATAACTGCTGTTTGGAGCACAGCAAAGCAATTTCCCACAGTGGGACTTACAGTTCAATTTACCAGTTGGGCAAATATTTTGTGCTCTGTAGTGGTCTAGAGAGTTAACAGTTACAGCTAACATTTGAGCAGTGTTATACTTGGAGAAAAGTTTCTTCAAGCCAAATAGGTTATTTACATCCCAATCCCTGGCACTTTACTTACAATAAAACTCATTCATATCAATCAATATTATTTCTAGGGAAATATGTTTAAATTGCAGATACGCTAATTCAAATTTTATGTTTTATAAGTTTTGCAGATGTCAAAGTCAATACTGTATCTGTGGGAGGGGAAACTGCAGAAATGTAGTATTTGAACTTGTCCTTTTTTTACCTGGAAAAAATCACTTTGCCAGAAACTATATAAAATTGAACATGGAGTTTTTATTTATTAACTTAAAATACTTCTAATCTGCTTTTTCGGGCAATGCCCATCCAAGGCATCTTAGAATAATAAAAATACGGCGCAAGTAAATTCTGATCCAGAGTGTACTATATTTCTTCAGGTCACGATAAGAGCACTGATATAATGCAACAAAAATGACTTGGTAGTCATAGGAAACATAGTATTTTAGAACTAAATTATTGAAAACACGCCATAAAAAGAAAAACCTGGAACATTTACATGTAATCTAGAAAGCTGGTAAATACGAAAGATTGTTAGAATATACATTACAGCTGCAATATAATGCCTCAAGTCAACAATGCTGCTTTGCATTCTTGTACAAAACTTGTAACTTTACGGATTTCCTTCTTCTACAGAACAAACTACCCAGAGACCCAAGTTCTTTTACTAATTCCTTCTTTAAAGGTGACATTCACTTAATTCAGTAGATAAATATTAGATCATTCAAAGGGCCAATCTGATGGTAGAAATGCAGGACACCAGCAAGGTTTGTTCAGAACAGTCATATTTCAAAGTAAAGGTAGAATCCACTATAGAGAGGGGTGGGCTTTCAAATGTCATTGGGCACCATTAAGGACCATTGCTTCTTTTCTGGAAACTGTTACAATATTTGATCTGGCCATTCATTCTTAAGTACATAAATGCCAGGTCTTGTTTAGTCTATTGTGTTTATAATCATGTTACGCCAATGAAAGGTATCTATACTATGTATTTTAGTTTGTCAGAAAAGAATGGTAATTGCTCTACTAAAGCAAAATGCACCCCCCCCAAAAAAAAACCCTAACACCATTCTAGAGAGGTTCTGCTATCATTTTATAAAGAATTCCAATCTTGGTTGCTTTTGCTCTATAAGATTCAACTAGTAGCCTGTACATAGATATCGACTTACATATTAGATGGGCTGCATTAAAGTATTCTATTTTCTTCATAGGCTTTCAAGGTTCCATCTAATGCATTTCCAGGTCTTTTACTACTATTTCTTTGCCTTGCTCCATTAAAGTAAATATCCAGCAGCTAACAGATTAAATTAAGATAAACCAATGTTAATAGTCAACAATATTTGAAAATAAAAATCCATGAAAATATTCACACACTAAGCCATGGTAAACTGGAGGCATTTAGAAGACCTGAATGTGTCAAGAAGTTTGACAATTATGACTGGAGCCAGGAAACTGTAGCACCACAGAATTTCTTATGAATTTCTCCAGTTACTTTTTATAAATGCTGTCTTAGATGACAGCTTAATGTGTACCACATGCAATATTTATTCTTCTTTAGTGTCAGACTGTCTAGCCATCCAAGGGAATACAAAGAATGTCACTTATTAGGATAAAAGCACAGGGAAGGTAATCAAGGACATATGTAACATCAGCCAATCATGTCTTATTTCAACATCCTATTCCATTCATAACAGTTCAACAATTATTTGCTTACTAATAACTTGCTTTCAGCCTGTTTGTGTTCCCCATAATGGTGGTTTGCATTTATTTTTGCTCTTTAGAATTGGACACTTGCTGTGCCATGCATGTTTGTCAAAACTTTGTATCTTCTGTCAGAAAAAGCTTAGCATATCAAATCATTTTGATCTGCTGCAAACCATGAATAGAACAATCCAGTTACCCACAATGTCAGCAGGGCAATGAAATAGCTGGATATTAAAACTCCTCAAAATGTATATAATGCACTGCCATTAAAGGAAAAAAACACACTTAAAAAACAAGGAAGACTTTCATATATAACATATTGATACCCTAGAATATGGCAGACTTCTTGCCAGAAGAAATGTTTAAGAAGGCCTCACACTGACATGTGGCAATTATTTTTTAGGGGCAGCTAGATACATACCACCCCTTGCAATCTGAATTATTTATTATATTTTTATTTAACCAAACAGAACACACAGGGAGGGGTGTACCTGCTGATACATTTATACCTACTCAATCTGTTAGACAGGCATGCGCTGTGGAAAATCAGTAATTCCCAAAGTCAAATAAGAGAGACTGATAGAGGGAGCCAAAGACAAACATTTATCACACTGAAAGGTTTTTTAATGTTTTTTAAAAAAAATTAAGATCCCCAAATTATAGGTGACCCAGGTAATAATGCCCGAATTTCATATTAACTGCTAGTACCACTGAATAGAGTTTTGATTTTTGTTCACAAGACAAAGGCTATTCAGTCATTTGCAGTAGGTTAAAAATGTACAATCTGCTTATAAAGTTTCTATGAGAGGCATGCAGTAATCTAGAGACTGAAAAATCTATGTATTTAATGCCCCTACTGGTTATGTTATCATGTGTGGTTCAGAGAAAGTTATTATTGTTATTTATTAGCACTATTTTGCTGCTGCTGCTGCTGTTAAACTGCTAGCTTTTCAAAAAAATCAGAGTAGGTAACAAAAAGTAACAAAGGAAATAACACAAAATAATATACCCAGCTAAATTCAAGTGCAACACCCTATGCGCATTTAATCCTAGGTGCTGAATGGCAGTTCAGCAAGCAGATCCTTATATTCAAGGGAAAACATAAGAAAAGACTGCTGGATCAGGCTAAAGGTCCATCTAGTTCATCATTCTGAGTGGGATTAATCTACCGAGTCCCATTAGCAGAAGCCCTGCACAAGGACTTTGGCTTGCACAATAGTGATCTTGCCAAAGTTATTCATGTCCTGGTAGGCTTGTGAAACATCTGCAGCGAGGTGATTTACCCTGTGATTGTCAATCTAAACTGATCAGGGAGTTGTATTTTCTGTTGCATAAGGCTGGCACTTCTCCTGAAGGACTCTGTAACAGCCTTGAGGGAAGCCAAGGGTGGCAAGTAGCCAGTGGCCAGTGAAGTCTTGGTCTGGCAGGAGCTACCTTCCCCCCTCGGCTTCCCTGCTCTCGATCACCTTAGACAGCTCAATTAGCACACTGGAAGCACACGTTTCACGATTGCTAAAATGCAGGATGCTGAGTGCTAGCCAGTCAGTAATGATGCACTTGCAGCAAGTGGTTCCCACTAGAGAACCACTTAAGAGGCGGATGCTACTGGAGGTGCTTCTGGACCAACCATTGCTCCAGGTGGCAAGGGGGGAGGGAATGGCCAGGGCTTCTTTTTCCTAAGTTCAGGCTGTGATTCCAGTTGTAGCCACTCCTGGCCATTATGACAGAAGTCCTGGTAACTATGAGGCTCGTTTACTGTAAGAAAGAGAAAGACCCTGAAGACTGTTTGGAAACTTCAATTAGTTCAAAATACTTAGCTACATCTAAAGAGTGAGCCCGTGGGAATGTCTAAAACTGATACTGAGATTAATTTCTGGGCACAATTTAGCGAGTTGTCGTTTAGCAGCAAGTGAGCACGGTCTAGAGTGCCTTACTCCACGTATTATTCCAACGGGGCCAACATAACCACTTCCACCCTTATTACTTTTAAAATGAAATGTAAATATTTTGGTTCTCTATAAAGAAGACCAAGCCTACAATACAGCTGCCTACCCTTTGGCAGGAAGAAGTAAAATTGGTGTTCTCTTAGCTGCAGTGGTTGACAGTCTGTTTCTAGACTGAAGATGATTGATAATGAAAATAATATAAGCTTGGAACAAAAAAGTATGCACCCAGATAGAAATGCATTGTAGGCGAAGTCTTTTCAAAGGCCCACAGAATAAAAAGTTACAGAAGTTTCTTGCAGTGCAGTAGTTTCTAGAGTCACTATTACTAGAGGAAAGCAGGAAAAACCTAGTTACTTGGTAACATTGATGACATTTATGGCTGCTATAGGTACACATATTATGTTGCACAAGCAGAGATGTAGTTAATTGATTTGGGAGTCACAGGAGATGAGACACTAAATGCCAGAAACAGTTCAAAACTTGTCATCTTAACTATTTTGCTGGTCTAAGTTTCTCCACAGCAACAGTAGGGCTCATCTTATGCTCTTATCTACCTTACCGTCTACCCTCAAAAACCATTTACTCAGAAGTAAGTAACAATGAATTAAGACAAGACTTGATCCCAAGTAAGTGTGCGTAGGACTGCAGATTACAGTGCAGGTGGCTTGATATACTTATTTGACATCCTATGGTTTTTGTACCAAAGTAGTTTTAGAAAATGACAAAATATACATCAAAATCAGATTATATAAAACAAGATCAGCATCTAAATAAAACAACAATCAGCAATAGCCTTTTTTTCTAAAGAGTTCAGTTTGCCAAGCAGCTATCAAGCAGATCTCTATTGGAAAAATATTCTGAAGTGTATTGACAGCCAATGTAGCATAGTGGTTAGACTTTCAGACTAGAACTGGGGAGATCCAAATTCTAATACACACTCAGTCCTAAAGCTCACTGGGGGACCCTCATTATTTCTCCATTATACCCCTCACAATAACAAACCTAGACAGCATCTTAAAAAGCAGAGACATCACCTTGCCAACAAAGGTCCGTATAGTTAAAGCTATGGTTTTCCCAGTAGTGATGTATGGAAGTGAGAGCTGGACCATAAAGAAGGCTGATCGCCGAAGAATGGATGCTTTTGAATTATGGTGCTGGAGGAGACTCTTGAGAGTTCCATGGACTGCAAGAAGATCAAACCTATCCATTCTGAAGGAAATCAGCCCTGAGTGCTCACTGGAAGGACAGATCCTGAAGCTGAGGCTCCAATACTTTGGCCACCTCATGAGAAGACTCGACTCCCTGGAAAAGACTCTGATGTTGGGAAAGATGGAGGGCACAAGGAGAAGGGGACGGCAGAGGACGAGATGGTTGGATAGTGTTCTCGAAGCTACTAGCATGAGTTTGACTAAACTGCGGGAGGCAGTGGAAGGCAGGAGTGCCTGGCATGCTCTGGTCCATGGGGTCACGAAGAGTCAGACACAACTAAATGACTAAACAACAACAACATTGTGAGGATAAAGTGGAGTGGGGAGCCTATGGATACTGCTTTGACTTCCTCGGAAGAAAGTTGGGATACAAATGAACTAAATATATTCAATTAAAATGCAGCACCAAAACTGAAAAGGTCCCAACTCTTCTGCCTACCGCACAATCTACAAAGGAAACAGCCTCAGGTGTGGATCTGAGCGCACAGGATGGTACATACAGGACAAAGCAGTCTTTCAGATATCTTGGCCCCAAACGGGTTGGGGCTTTAAAAGCACCAGCACCTTGAATTGGACTTGGCTACAAACTGAAATAAATTGGGATAAAATCATAATTATATGCCATGAGCCCTTGCTAAAAGTCTGGCTGCTGTATTTTGGGCCAGTTGTTTCCAAGCACTCTCCAAAAGCAGCCTCGTGTAGAGCATATTGGTGTAATTCAATATGGATGTTACTGTATTATAGCTTGAATAATTGTGGCCAGGTCATTTTTTAAATGATATGGTCACGGTTGGCATATCAGTTAAAAAGCATTCCTGGCCACCCCTGCCAGGTGATCACAGAGGAGCAGCCATACATCTGTGTGGATTGAAGTCTTACTTCATCCACCTCTATCCAGACCACTACCAAAAGCGATCACACAGATGCTGGCTGGATGGCACAAAGAAGCAGTATTCCAGCAACACCTTCTGAGGCTTCCCCCTCTAGGAAGGACTGTAACTACAGTATTCTCAGTTCTATCCTGGCAAGGTGCCCCAGAAGAATATTCACAGCTGATTATATAAAAAGCCACTGAGAGGTTCAAAATAATAAACAGGGCCACACTCCCCCTACTCATCTCCAGGTCAACCCATGATGACCAAGGCAATTTCAGTTCTAAGCCAGACTGAAAAAGATCCCATTAATCATTTTTTTCCAGGAAAATTTGGGAAGGCCTATGAGACCATGGATAATTCTTCGTCTGGTTCTTCTGCTTCTGAGGTTGATGTCTTCCAGTCTTTAGCACTTGCCATTACTATCTTCTGAGGCAATGCAGACTGAGTTGTTTTGATGACCACACTGATTTTTTATATTTCTTGGTTCTAGGCTGAGCTTAAAAGTCTTCAGGGACTTCTTGGTACATGCTATGGCTAATGGCCTCTACTCTGATTTGTTTTGGGGTGAACTGCCCTCATCCCAAACCAAAGTGCTTTTCCCTCGGCCTGCCTTTAGCCGCAACATTCAGTCAAATTTTGCCATATGGGATAAATGCTGGGTATTTTCACACTTATTAACCTTTTGTTCATTAACAACTGCTGTAACACAAAGTCCAGTTGTCTGAACGGGCTACTTAGCTCCAATCTTAGGCATACTTTTTTAAACATTGCCCTCTGTGCACCATAAGAAGAAATGTTAGAGAAATATATGAGGTACAAATTAGTAAGGATGTTGAGGGGAAAGTGTGCCCCCGAGGACTATAATCATTTCATGTTCATTCACTTACTGAAAGTCTAAAACATGAAAGAAAGAAGGTAAAATAATAGCTAACTGGTCCTGAAGTGAAAAATTTTGGATAACTTTGGAAGCTTCTCATTTTTGGAGGGATATTCTCTACCTCTCCATGGTGAAGCTGAAGAAATGTTATTTGGTTAGACTGCGCACATGCTGTTCAAATAATCTGGACTCCAGTATGGATTATTTCCAGTATCTTCTACAGTGAAGGCTGATGAAGGAATTCTTCCTTCAATATTCTTTTTACATCCTTACATTTGTATCAGCTGTACTGGTTTGTCTGTGCCATGACCTCAGAGTTCAACTTCTCCCCTTTAAGCGACAAGGCCATGGACTTTATGGAAGAACCAGATGGTAAAAGAGAACTGCTCACAGAGCAGGGCACAATGGCCCCAAATACACTGGAAGCTCCAGCACAGGAGGCGGCCATTTTGTCAATCCCTTTATGGCTTTGGGTCACTGCACTGCTGCCCATCCAGCTCGGAGAACTCCAGTCCAGAAGCTCCAACAGAATTATCATGTCTCCCACACTTTAGGAGTCTATGGCTGCTGGAACAGGAAAAGTCCCTTTAACCAGAAGCTCCTTCTGCTAGGGGTGGAGCTAACCACCCAGACTGAGCTACCTTATTTAAGTCCATGTGGGGTTATGTATTGCTGAAGCAATGTTCTAAACTTGCTTTAGCTTGAATCCCACACTAAGCTGTCTGTCCCAAATGCCTTGCCTCCTCTTGTCTACTACACCCACCTGGAGCAGATGAGTCTGATTTTACTGGTTGTATGTGCTTCAATATGTTTTTATTATTACTTTTTTGCAGACACAGTGTATGACCACACAAGGCTCAACAAGGAGCGTTCCATCATTTCCATCATTATGACAGGTGCATGGTAAGAAATGCATGTCTCATGTGTCAGTATCGAGCCCCTCTGATGCATATTATCTTCCTTCCTTGATGCAAATTTCTTCATCTCCAAGCCTTCCATTTCTAGTAATGGCATGGTGAATACATGCATCATGTACTCACCAGGAAACACTGGCCTGTGAGTGCTCCAACAGGAGAACAGCCTTTACCAAAGGTGTTGCGGACTTTGAAGAAGCACAAACTCAGGGCAAAAACTGAAACGGGCTAAGAGGAAGGCACTCTTGGCAAAGCCTGTGATCAACTCCCGCCTGGAAACCTATGTCCTTACTGTGGAAGGACGTGGGGATCCAGAAGCAGCCTCCACAGTCACTTACAGACTCACTGTTAAGACCGTGTTTATGGAAGACAAACATGCATCACAAGGGGACAAGGGCATTAAATGTTTAAAGCCCTAAACAACTTAGGCTACAAATATCTGAAAGACTGCCTCCTTGCCTACAGACCTTCTCAGAAGTTATGGCTAGCCAAGGGACCCTCTTGGTAGATCCACTGCCCTTAGAAACTTGGGGAGCAGCATCTCAGGAGAGGGAATTCTCTGTTGCAGCCTCCCTACAGGTCTGCATCTGGCACCTTAATTGCATAGCTTTCATAGGGTTGTCATATGTCTGGGAATTCCCGAATGTGTCCTCTTTGGGGGAGTCCTACATGCCCATAAATGGGCAGTTTTACATTTTAAAGCAAATGTCCTGGATTTTTTGTTTTTAAGTTTTTTAAATTTTGATTGTGTGGCTCTGGTTCAAGCTTTAGCAACCTGGACTCTGATTCAGGCACTGGTTCTGGCATGGGAGGCCCGGGTTCTGGTTCAGGCTTGGGCTGTATCAACTTGGGCTCTGATTCAGGCTCTGGCATGGACGACCCAGGTTTAGGCTTGGGCAGCTTGGGCAATGGCAGGGTTATCAGGCAATTGCCCTAAAAAAGCTCGACAACTTTTTGTGTCTGGATTTTCCCCTCTTGAAATATGGCAACCCTAGCTTTCATCATATGCTGGCAATGCAGCTCTTTACCCTCATTTTTGTAACCCTATATATGACCCAATCTATTCTTCTTGTATGTTTAATATTGTTGTAAACCGACCTGGAACTTTGTGGTGAACAGTGAGGAAGAAAAAGTAACAGCAATAACTCTACAGTGTTCAGCAACACTACAACAGCATAGGAAGTAGTTTCATGGATTTTTGTTCTCATCCTTAAACTATGAAAATGGTATTGTTTGCATCAATTTATCATGAAATTGGGAAACCTGTTGAGAAGCAAATAAACCTTAAAGTTAAATACTTTAAAATATCTTCACCTTAGAATTAAAAATACAACTAAAGATAACCACAAATTTATCCTGTTGATTGGTACACAACAAATATTCCTGAAACGTCAGGGTCATCATGTGTGTTGGGATTTCCAAGAGTTAATAGCCTAAAGCCCAGACTAAAAAGCACTCACCTCCCCAAATATTCTTTCGTTGCTTGATTTGGATGTGCAAACTTATTAACTTACTTAACTTACTGAGGTTCAAAAATAATATTAAAGTAGAATACAAAATTATCTTTCCATCTGCAAATGTTAGCTCAAATAAATGCAAGCATTAACGAAGAAGATGTGTTTCCAAAATCTGCATTGGGATGTGTACATAATATACAATTCACTTTATTGTTCTAAAGGGAGAATGTGTCAACATACTGAACACATGGGTGACATATGTACTCTTGTATAAGATGATCAGTCAGCATGCACTGCAATGGCCCCCTGGTATACAAAGCTACAATAAATTTAATCCCCAATTGATTCCACAAGAATGTTTGTGCCCCATCCAGTTTCATAGCTCAGGTTTTACAAGGCAGCATTTCACTACCAGAAATCACACTTTATTTCCAGTATATAGTATAGAAATAGTACTAGATAAAGAGTTACATTTCTACATTCTCTAAAGAAAGCTTTAATTACTGTAAAGGCTTTTGATTATTTAACTATTTGTTTAAAGAATAGTAAGTTGTATTTTAAAATGCTGAAGTAGATTCCTATATACATCATGATTAGTGTCATCTGATCATAATAAAAGTGCAACTAACACAGCTGCCATGTCAGTTTCACCTCAGGAACAAGGTCTTAATCATAAATCAACTGAATGACTAATTTAACATTGTTAACACCAGTAAGTAGTTCCTTGGAGTCATTCCAGTTTTTATACCTTTCAAAAGGTCAATACGCTACCTACTCTAGTACACAAAAGTCCTATCATTCACACTGTTTTCTCCCCTAAGATTGAAAAATGACATGTTATTTAAATGTTAGTGTGTTTTACTAGCAATTAAAAATGTTCATTTGTTGAAAAAAGGTGATATACAGGAAACAAAAAATGATCACTTTAGCTTTCCATATCCTCCTTCTGCCACAACCTTAAAACAACTCTTTGATGTTGATGTAAATACTACTCCATTGCAAAAAAAAAGAGAAAAAACCCTATGAAAATATTTACTGCTGCATCCTTCCTGAATTAACATTAACCTCCTTATAGCATTACCACAAATTAAATCAAGAAATATGTCGTGCTAGCTGAGCAACTAATCCAACTGTAGTTCAGATTAAGAACATGTACCAAAAAGCAAATTAAAATACATCTGCCAATAAAATATATTCTAATTGTTTGCATCTGCTTACACTGCCAAAAACAATGAAAGGCTCATCATTACACAATTCATAATAAAAAAAATTATTCTGCACTTTAATGCAAAATATATATACAACATAAAAAGAGTGGATTTAAAGATCAGCAACTCTGCCAGAAGGAAGGAAAAACTGGTCATCATTCTGACTTCAGTAGATGCCATTCCATATCAGACGATGTTTCCCACTCATAAATACATGACAAATACTTCCTCAATCATTTTTTACGAGCAGGGATGCACAGGGGGTTGTCAATGGCTAGCCTGAGGGAAAATAGGAACAGCAGGCGGCAGAAACTGTACTGAAAATGGCTATGTGGTAAATTTTCTTCTGGAACATCACTCAGCTATCCCAGGCTTTGATCTTTCAGCTACAATTACACTAACATCCGTAAAACCAGGATATTTTTTTTAAACCAAACCTCAACCATCAGTTCTGCATGAACACAGTAAGATTTTTTTTACTATGATTTCACAATATAAATAAAATAGTTATAAATTTAAAAATTGTAATATATATGCTAAGTTTTCCATTCCATCATCACAACTTGGTCTCACCAAGAAAGGCAGGGTGGTTGTGGTTCTGGAGACGGCTAAATCACAGACTGGCGTCTCCTAACAGACTGTCTACCATTAAGGTCTGAGAAAAGGTATTTACTATACAATTAAAGGCAGTGAGCTCTACCTGTGATCACCCTAATGTAGGTGTGATGATCCATTTTGTGTAGGGAAACTAACCTGCCCATTTGCAAATAAATTCTGATGCTTATTATCTTTACTGTGGCACTTGAGAAACCTCTACAAGAGCCCTTAATAAAGAATGCTAAGATTTACTACATTACATTTGTGTGAAACTTGAAAATGCCTTCCAGACCACAACACTGAAGGCACGGTTGCTTGATTGCACAAAGTTTCTTGAAGGCTAGATGCAGTTTCAAAAACAGTAACTCATTATGGGGAAAGATTCTGAACCAGAAGTTTTAAAATGCCCTTAAAGTGACCATTTTTAAAGTTGCATTATGCTCCTTAGAATAAGTATAAATGCACAACAACACTAGGAGCAGGGCAGTTTTCAGCTGAAATTATTTTACAGAATTTATTCTAATAACTTATTGGAGTTAACCATCTGACATTAATTATTGCTTGGGCTTCCAGTCTATGAATGTTTATTTTTCAGTTTAAAGCCTTCTCACTCTTTGATATCATATGGAAATGAGAAATTTTAATGGAAAATTGAAACCATGTGCATCTAAGTACTTAATGAAGTACAGGGAGAGTGAAAGGGTATGTTCTAAGAGAATTCTGATACACTGGTCTGGATACTTTGACAAAGCAATAAGCAAATGTGTTTCAGAGTGATATTTTTGTAATTTTGTATGCTATGAAAATGTGTAACAAAACTAAAAGAAGAGTGATTTAATGTTTCCTTCCAATGCAACAGTTTAAGCGCCTCTTCCCTAAAACTACTGTTTTATCTCATCTGAAACTTTTGCACAAAAAGCAAATGCAGCATGATTTTCAATCTCTCCATTTCTAATGTATCCTCACACTCTGGGGTTGGATCTTCATCCCGGTCACTGCCTGTCTGACAGACATCTTATTCTTCAGCCATTATATATGCATTCATACTGACAACATTAATAAAAGTTTCTGAACAGCATTTGGCAAACCATATGCATGACATCTGCTGCATTTTAAGAAGTGGCCCAGCAAGCAGAATGTTGTAAACACCTTGAATTTACCCTGAACTATATGGGACACATGATTCTATGCAAATATGGAGCACTCCATCTCCTTTTTATCATATTACCAACCATATTATGGCATCATTTTTACCCTTCAACATCCAATAAATAGAAGGTTGGCATGAAAAATGACTTCTTTCGAAAGTTAAATATTATAGACAACTTACAAGACTATTTATGGTTAATTTTCCTTCAATATTGCAAAATAAACTAAAAGGTAGGCGAGAAAATTGCTACTTTAGTTTTATGGATCTTCAAGGGAGTTTTTTTTATTTTATTACTTTTACTGCATTCCAAAGACAAGGTAATAGGTACATTGCCAGTATTAGCTTTAAGACATTTAGATTTACTCCAAGTACAAAAATCACGACTAACCATTATTTTGACAAAGGTGCCTTTCAGAAGCATCGTGAATTTTCTACAAAATATAAAGGCAACAAACTCACCATTTGTTTTTCTTTCTAATATAGTCTTTTTCAGAGAGGTTAACCAAGTAGATCATTGGTTTTGAAGTTAAAAACAAGTGTTTGTTCAGCACATCAATCTAAAAGTAAGAAAATAAAAGCTACGTTAACACAGACAACAAGAAACAGAGTGTTGTGTTGTGAATTAGATTATAAATAAATAAATAAAACTGTTTAACATCTGAAGTATAAAGTAAATTGTTAAAAAGAATGCACATTATTTCCAAATGTTGGCATTAATTTACTGGTGGTAAATCAAAAGGTTTACACAAAGATCTGATATACTTTTGTGCTGTTGTTGGTTTTTTAAAGGAAAGGCATTAGACAGTGGATGAGGTAACAGTCATAAGCCTACCTCTTTGTCATTCCAATCATGATAGAAACGGACAGGCTTTTTTTCTTCTATTACCCAGCTTTTGATTTTGCACATTATGTCCTGCACAGAATTAGGAAGAAACAAAAGACATTAAAGTAGAATATACTCAGTTATATGCCAGACTGTTATCAGTTATTTCTCATGAGGGAGTCGTTTTAGGTAACAAAATATTATGTGCCTTCTAACTGAAATTTCATATATAATGAATAAGAAAGGGACACAGGAGTCACGTTAGGGCTAGGAGCAGATGAACAGGAAATAAACCTTTTAGTGACTTCATTGAGAAATACGAATGATATTTTCTGCTCCCCAAGCTGGATGAAATATTACATGTATAAATAAATCTGTTTCCTGAAACTGCGTATTGGTGTAGTAATTAAGCATCCCTTATAAGAAACCATGTATGAGAGAAACATGCTGCTGTGACAAAGGAATAGGTGCAAAAAGTGATGTGTGTTTAAAAAAAAAACCACTGACAGCCAAAGAAACTGAGCTGATTATTGATGATCTACCATTCAAGATATTAATTCAAATGGCCAAAGGCCTCAATATTCGACATTAATTTTTTTTGTCAACACCTTCTCCTTTCCTCCAAAAATGAAACCTGCCAAAGCTTCCATTACACAATGGCAAGAGCCTTGCACTAGTGACCTCCAACCAGCTGCATTCACTTTCAGAACATCTCTCCCTGCAGGAAATCTAAAGGCCTTTTAGTTAGCAAGCTAGTGTGCATTCAGAAGGAGTAACTGCAGGAAGAGCCCAATGTGCTTTGTTTCTCTGGCCTTTCTTCACAGAAAGATTAATCATCTGTGAAATGGAAACGGCAAACAGCAAGTGACACAAACTGAACCCTTCAAGCCTTTCCTCATCAGTTTTGTGGCTCTGAATCTGAAAGCTGCGTGTGGCAAGGTCTGCCTTACAGGCAGGTGTTAATAAAAGGCTCTTAGGTCTGAAAGGTCAAACCAAGCTCTTCTAGAAGTAGTGCGTTTTAGTGTCAATTTTTGCCAGAGATAATTTATGGTCATGCTTTAAATTTTGCATTTCACAAAATTTACCACGGGTATGATATTCAATTAGATAATTTTAAATGGATTTCTAGTCATCAGAATTTTCTCAAAAGCACATGTTTACCTTCTCAATAAATAGGTTAAACATTTACAAACACACAGCTTCAGTATTTAGTGTACTAATGTTTCCCATCTCGCAACTGCTTCAGGGGAAAAACAAGAGGAAAGCTCTTCTAAATCCTTAGATCCTGATTTGTAACCCTCCAGGAACAGGGCTCCCCACAGATTTTAACAAGAAAGGGGCTAGCTGAAAACTTTTAATGAAATATAACATGTTCTGCCTAAGAATAATCACTTTTACTCTCCTATAACTGATTTTCACTCATAAATGTTTTAAAAGTGGCTAATGTAACACCATTTCCTACAAGGAGAAGATCAAAGTGCTATATTACAAATGCATTATGATTAAAAAAGCACTGTGCAGCCTTGCTATTAAATGTTCTTTAAACCCTAAAAGGCTTCCCATAGATCTCACTTGGCACTGCATATACAACCTTTGACAAGTAATGTAGACCATTTTTATTCATTGCCTAAAATTGTAGGCAATTATGTGCGTCACACTGGCCACCTGCAAGTTCTGAATGCCTGCTCCAGTTGTCATAGCTAAAAACTAATGTCGGAGGGGATTAATCTAGGGGGAGAGAGTCCTCTTTAATGGCTCCAGCAGGTGAAATGGCCCAGCTGGTTACTATGATGAGTGGCCAGAATAGCTTATGTAGAGACATGCAACAAGATTACACATTTCAAAAAAAACAACATAGTAGAACTATCTTATCTTGGGGACCTATCTATGTTTTGTGCTTTATTCAATAAATAAATACTTCACTTAAGTTTAAAATATGCATTTCTAAAGCCAAACTTCTCTTCGTTATTAGAAGAATTCCTCAAGTAATCCTTCTTTACTAGTGGTGGAATTTTATGCAGTTTTACAATTTAGAACAAAAACTTAGTTACAAATTTCATCTTTAAAAAGCCATTAGTATTATAGTTTCCCCAAAACATTGATATATTCCATTTTGTAAAGTAGATGGTAAAATCTTTGGGACTGAACAGTTCAGGTTCTAGACTCTACATGATAAAGACTAGAAAGCTGTCTTTTATATTTGGTATATCCCTCAATTATCTCTGCACAAGCAAACAGCAGTTAAAGTGTCAATGTAGATTTTCCATTCCTGCCCCAATTGTTCAACTGACCGTCTTCACTGTTAATATGCACACAATATATTACTCTAGTTTAAACTTAGGTACCTCAACTCATATTTGGCAAACTAGCTCTAGTTTAAAGGTAATTCTAACAATATTTCAGATCAGTGAAAATATACCCTTTTACTCCCAAAACTAAAAATAAAGAATAGGCAGAGAGCCACTCCGTAGATGCTTTTCAACAGTCAAACTCAATTCCCCTGGAAATATGTCACAAACCTGAGCCTAAATATCTGCTAAAAACTGTTTGTAAGACTTCTCTGGGCTGGTTTTCAATGACCAGGGTGAAGCAGACATGAACATGGATATTTAAGTACACACACTACAATGTTTTATATTTCATTTTATATTTCACGTACTGCATTTATGTGCTACTCAAATCAAGCTTTCCAATGAAAGCAACACTGAACATGAACTAAAGAGAGAGAATTTTGAAGTCCTGTCCTTAAGTGGTTAATATACTAGAACAGTCCCAAATCTAAATCTAAACAGATGTAATAATGATGCATCTGAGATTTTTTTTAATTCACAAATCTCAGAAATAAGGTTTAAAAGATAATCCTGAGCAACGTGAATTATAGTTGGTCTTCCTCTTGTTCCATCTGGTGGTTTTAAGAGTTTTCAAATATTTTGCTTTATAGGAATAAGAGCACACAACTACCAAATTAAACCAAAATAATGGAAAGGTTGGGAAAGTTACCAGCAAACCTTACAACATGCTGTCTATGATCCAGCAAGTTATGTTGTGAGAGCTGCTGGGATTTCTCCTCTTCTTTCCATTCTAGCAGGCTCTCCCCCCCCACCCCCTCACACACATCCTCCACCACCCCCTCTCAAACAGAAAAGCCGTACTTCAAAACCTTTGGAGGAAAAAAACAATAAAGTCACCAGCATGTGCTCTGGAGACTTGCTGGACCATGGCCATTATGAATGATTATGGTATTCTACTGAAGTAAAGTACTGCATGACATTCCTTCTGCTTTTGAGACCAGATAAATGACTCAAACAAAGAAACAGAAATGGTATTTTTGAAGCAATGTTCAGACTTTTGGAAATGTAAATAAAATAAATATAATGTAATGTGAATAGTTTGAAGGTACAGAGGGAGCACTTCTGAACTATTAACCATATTTGAATAGTGGTTGAAAAGGGAACTTTGGAGTTAGTATTCCTTTCTCCTAAGTGTATGGAACGCAGTCTCTACCAACCTAGTTTTCAGAGAGGTGGTTAAACCTATGTGTGTAACACTTCACATACCTGAATGGTACTACATGGTTGTTGTTTTTTTAAAAAAACAAATCTTGTAGGTATAGAGCTGAGTTTCAAGAAGGAGGTTTCCAACCCCTGCCTTTCCCGTCGCATGCCCCTTTTCTTATATGCCAGGGGAGGGTTTTGTATGGAGAATGCCATTATATTAGCAGTTCAAAGCACACCTCTTTGTAGGCCTTTGGTAGGGACTGAGTTAATATGCTGGTGACTATTCATTTTATCACTTATCCATGTTTTGTGAATTGGTGTGTTGTATTTTGAATTTAATTACTTTACTGTTTTATTTATAACCTGCCTTGGGGTAATTTCATTCTTTTCAGCTGCTTTGGATGCCAAGCAGAAAGGTGGGATATAAATATTTCAAAACAAAACTGGGATAACATCTTCTTCTGTTAGGAAGAGACGAACAAAATTTGATCTTATCAGCAGGATGGTTTCCCTACTTGACCCTAACTGGCGGAGCAGGAAGCAAACTACTTGGCGTTGGAGTGCGGGGGAGGATCACAGTAACTAGAAAACGAAGTATAACCACACCCAGATACCAAAATAGTAACATTTTAGAAGAGAAAAGAACCAAAGCAGTAAAAACAAGAAACTCTGTGTGGTGCCTATGAGTGTAGATCATGCAAAACACAAAATTATGGTGAGACCAGCAACCTTTGGTACACCTAGAAGAACAAAAAAATATGCTAAGTAATAGTCTCACTCTCCTCCCTTCCACCATGTACAGAGGGCTCTCTCTCTATCTGGAATATTTTCTTATTAAACCCAGTATTCTCCCTCAAGTAAGTTTGTGCTTTATGCAAGGTCACAACTCTGGAAACAGAAGCCTCCATCCATGGGATGTCCACCTATGTGAGGAGATGCTAACACTGCATATCTATAGAACTCCTCCAAGAGAAACCTGCCCTCAAATGCTATGTTATCAATGTGTGTGCAGTAATACCAGCAGCTGATATCCACTGCTTCCCAAGCAGAAATGGCGGCCTCCTTAAGCCTTCATGACGTTTTCTGGCCTGCAACATGAAACCCTAGAAAATACATTTCATTTCTCTGGTGTCAGCTGTTCTCACAGGCTAGAATGTAAGAGCACTTCTCACATCAGCCTGGATAGCTCAGTTGGTTAAGAGCATAGTGCTGATAATGCCAAGGTTGAAGGTTTGATCCCCGTATGGGACAGCTGCGTATTCCTGCAGTGCAGGGGTTGGACGAAATGATCCTCAGGGTATCTTCCAACTCTATTATTCTATGATCAAGCTAATGCCATTGCTGCCTCCTTTGAATGAGTGCAGACTTTTGGTAAATCTAATTTCCAAGACCTGTGAAAAACATGACTTTTAGCACATGCAAAGGCTAAAACCTGAGCAATACTTCATTTTGACGAAGATACACAACTCCTTATTGGCTGACAGTGCACCCACCTATGAGAACCTCCGAACTGCAGTGTCAATTCAAAAGGAGAACAGATCAGAGTCTGATTACCCAATTCAGAGCCTACTCAGGAAGTCCATGGACAAATGAAGAATTCTTTAACACAACACACTGCCCATCTCAGACCTTCAGAACCTCCCTTAGCTCTGTAGCTCTGCCTTGTCAAGATGAAGACTTTCTTCCTACTTTGACCAGGACAGGCAAAAGGCAACTCCCCAAGGACCGTAATGCCTGCCAAAAGAAAACTGGGCAAATGTGACTGAAAGCCTCAGTACCTCATGGTATTGGGGCACATCTGGTTCTGCTCTCCAAACTAAGGTACACTCCAGTCAACCTTGGTGAACAGAGAATTGTTAAATGTGCAAAACTGCCACAGCGGAAACTTCAAAGCCCTTCTTGAGAACTGCCAAGATTCACTCAATGCAGGAGAGCCTGTGAAATCCTTAACCATCAAGCTAGCATGATTGCTTGGGGAGCAAGGCTATTATATGAGCTCCTGACTGTAGGATCCTAAATTGCTCCATAATGGCATCTGCAAAAACAAAGTGCTTGTTAGCTAGTTTGGATGTAATCTCTCTCCTGGATTTCAACATTCTAACAACTATTTTTAAGTTTGGCAAAGTGATGACAGTAGCTTTTGGGGAAACCAGAGGAAAACTAGATCTGTCTCTCAGGGGTCCTCCATTTGTAAAAGCTTATGGTAGCTAGGGCCTGTTGTGCTACACTGCAAATACAGGAGAATTCTTTCACCAGTGACTTATTTCCAAAAATCCAAACAGTATTAAAAAGAGAACAAGCAGCCAAAACAGATCAGAAACTTGAACAAAGCTTGTAAATCAACTCTGTCACCTAGAACTGAGACCTAGTTCAGAGCAAGGAGGTAGTATGCAGAAAGGCCTGTCACACAAACGAGAAATGTGGACATCTCACATGACATATTTAATAGCTTAACAGTAACATTTTAACAGTACAATGAGAGGGTAAGATTTTTTAAATCATGAATCACAGCCTAATCAAACAATAACATTGATAAGCAAGTTAAGGTACCCATTTCTAGTACATATATTCATGGAATAAAGGTGTGAGTTGGGAGCCAACAACAGCATTTCAGATAATTTTACATTTCTGGCTTTAGGGGGTGAGAGACAGGGACTAAACTTCATTTCTTTTTAAAAACAAATTCTAACTTACTGCCTTTGTTAACTAACAGTGTTTTCTATAAATACTTAATTATTCTGGTTAGCTTAACATTGCTTTAAACTAAAAGACAAATAACTTGATACTATGTTTTCACCCCCATCTTTAGACTTCAAAGTAATTATGTGCAGGAAGAAAGGTCTGTTCCTCCATGCTTAACAATGTGCATGTACTCTTTTTCGGGGGGGGGGTCAGCCAGACTACAGGAGCATCATGAAAATAAAATCACATGCCACAGCAAAAATAATAATAAGAAAATTGGATGGCCAACTCTCTTTACTCCCTTTTTCAAAAAGAAGATGAACTGTCAACAATAGTGTAACCAAGCTTTCACATTCCAAACACACACCTTGATTGTTTTCCTGTTTACCCAGTGGCGTAGCGTGGGTTGTCAGCACCCGGGGCAAGGCAAGTAATTTGCGCCCCCTAACCCGTGGATTTGCGCCCCATAACCAGTGGATTTGCGCCCCCTAACCCTAACCCCCAGATGTTGCGCCCGGTGCGGTCGGCCCCCCCTGCACCCCCCACGCTACGCCACTGTGTTTACCCATGACTTTAAATATTTGTTTAAGGAAAGTATTGCCATTTCTGAACTTAAGATTTTGAAGTGACTGGCCTCATCCAACAGGTTCTTCATAACTCACCCAGTTTGGTATCATCTGCATATCTGATGAGCATTCCCTCTCCTTCTCCATCCTATTCACTTATAAGGATGTTAAACAATGGGCCCAGGACAAAACTGTACTATCACATCTCTCCGGGGTGACAGGGAGTCATTGATATTGGCTCGTACAGTCCATCAACCAGCCACAAACAGCAGTAGCAGCATCTAGCCCATATTCTACCAGCTTGTCAAAAATTTATCATGGGGGCCTTTTCAAAGTCTTGCCGAAATCAAAATAAACTACACCCCCATAATTTCCTTAATCTACCAGGCTATAAAAAGGAAATTGTGTGTATATATGTCTGTTAGTATGGAGACATCAACAATTGTGTGCTATACACTGACAATTCCCTTGCAGTTTTTCCCTATATGTCTGCGGGAACTTTCATCATGGTCCCACTTTCACTCACTCTCCTGGTAGTACATGGAGTCATGCTGTCTAGCACCTCATTGCCACCCCACCCCCCCTTGGCAGGAATCATTTAAATACCTTCTGAAGAAGCTTGGGAGACTCCTGCAAAACACATACTGTACTTCCAAACCTTTGTCATGTGCCTCTGCCAAAAGTCCAAATCCAACTTCTGCCAAATGTCCTTGCCCTTGAAAGTAAAGACCAGGCAGAAGGTATATCAGGGTCCACTGGTAGATGTCCAGGTGATTTTGCAGTTCATCGGCAAGTTTTGAATCCCAATCGTCTAACAGCAGCAATAACTAAAAGGCTTCCCAGACGTGTGCTAAATTAGGCTGCTGGAACTTACAAATGTTGAAGAGAATGGAGTTTTGTTCTGGAGTAAGCAGGTGCTCAGAGCGATCCTGCCCTTAATTCTTAGAGTTGGGTAGAATTCAACGTAGTACCAAGGAAATCATTCCGTAAGTGCAAGCATTTCTGCCTTCCCAGTGGAACAATCTTCCCTCTTCTATGGGCTGTTCTGGGGGTTCTCCCCTCCCTCCAGTACAGATTTGGGAGATGGGACAGCAGCTGCACAAAGGAGGAAGCAAATGGGGAAAGCCCCTTGCACGAGCAGGACTCCTTGAGCTGGCTTCCACTAACAAAATGAGTTAGTTGAATCTGGACCACAGTCTGCCCATCCTGGCATAAACCATGTTCTAAGAATTCAAACCTTTCCTAATGATACCAAATTCATAGCCAGTATTCTCTCTCTTCCTTAGACATAACCTTCAACAGGAAAAGTGACAAAAACACCACCCATGCACCAATATTCTTCCTCTTCCTACCCAGAGCCAGGGGCTTGTAACACTTTCAACTCTGTGCCTAGCAGGAGTATTTGTTCCCACATGGATCCACAGGAAGGGATAGCGGTCAGTAGACTGTAGACATTTTGAATGCACACACCTGGGAGACCACAAACATCCCACAACTTGTCAGGAGGACAAGCTATTGTCTCGGTCCCTCTCAGTAGTGGGGTCACCAACTACCACCACAAATCTCCTCTTCGGAGCAGAAACAAGAGTCCTTCTATCTCCAGAGGTCTTCAAATCCTCCTTCAGGTTTTCCAAATGGTCTGGAAACAATGTCCATGGGAAGGCCCTGGAATCAATTCACCGCTTCAAAGACACAATTGTCTTGTTCCTGTTTGTAGCATTTTATCATGTTCTGCCACCTGCACTGGTTTTCTTCTTCTTTTTAGAAACTATCCTGTCCCTTTGTCCTTTCAGAAGCACTAAAATTATAGAGTTTTCTTGATTTTTAACTGTGGTGAGCAAAATTTTAAATATACAGAGAGGATATTATGTTATTTATAGCAATTTATTTGAATTTAGATTGTGACTACATCTAGATTTCTAACATCAAACAGCCAGGCTGACAGTCTTACTTACCTGGATATATACAATCACTTATATTATTCCAATTAACAATGTGATTAATATAGGAATTCTGAAATAAGGTACCCTTTCACCTTCATGGAAATCAATCTATAGCTCAATAGTGTTCATGTTACTATACCACTTTCAATACTTAAACCACAGTGAATACAACTTGCTGTTCTAAAATATTTAATGAGAAGCTTATATGTGAAATCAGATGCAATACCCATATTAGATTGTATTATTGGAAATGTGAGCATGAAGATGTTCACACAAATGAATTTCTTCTTCCTACTGCACTCCCCAAAAATCCATTCTTAAAGCTTGGGGGAGCCTCTAAAATGTGTGGGATGAGTATGAGAGCTGCACAAAATTTCAGTCGCCCCCCCCTTCATTCCAGTGGGTCTCCTGAGGATCAGGAGGGGCTTTCTGGGAGTCAGAAGAAGGGGTGCTTGCAATTCTATTAATACAACCTATTGTGTACTTTGGAATTGGTATACAAATACATATCATACAAAGACCAAATTTTAGATACAGAAATAACTAAAGAAATATGAATAGAAGAGCAGAACATATGAGGAGTATTTTTGCAAAATACAGTGTGGAAAGTATAGAGACCAGAACAATTATGATTTCTCCTAAAATACATTAAGTAGTAGAATCGGAAACTGAGGATGAAAACACTGGTACAGCATTTCCAAGCAATTTTTAAAAATAGGCATAGCAAATGGTCCTCACTATTGAACTGTTTTACTCAGTCACCATTTACATATGCAACTAGAATTGAGGTAACTAACACATTGCAACACGTTACGTACTAGATGGAATAATTTTGAGGTAGAAAGTTGAGGTGTCTTAAAACTGAGACTAGCACCTTTTTCCCAGTCTGCAGCTGATAAGCACCATGCCTGTGTAAAATCATTCCTACACAAGAAAAAAATATTTTAAAAATTGAAGAAATTCTTACTTACATATTCAGGTTTTAATTTCTTGTCACCTCCTCGTACAGCCACTTTTTCTAGTTTGTCTATAATGGGCATGATCATTTCCTCATCTTTTAGCCTAAGTTCTTCATGTATTATTTCAATGTCACGAACAGGTGCAACACTTCCTTCAATGTGTGTGATATCATCATCATCAAATGATCCTTTGAGGGGGAGCAAAATTCAGATGTTAAGCAGTATTCTGAGTGGAGGGGGGACGACGACGAAAGAAAGATACACAAAGTAGAAACAATCTACCAGTCATAGGCACCAGGGCAGAGCAAAACTTAATGACAAGCATTTTAAGTGTTTTTCAAACAAGAAATCTGTCAGTAATCTTCAGTATTTTCAGTCACTGCATCTTACAATGTATTAGAGGTGGCCAAATAAAAGTATTTTTTATATAGCACTTAATAAATAAATGGTTCAAAATAATATAGGAACATTTTAAGTCACTCATTAGACACAGTAAACATTAGAATTGCTATGAAGTTTATGTCAAAGAATTCTGAAGTTCTACACAGTACTAATGGGTTTCCAAGGGAAACAGGATTTACAAAAAAGGGGGGAGGCCTGAAATCATCTGGCAGACCTCTTCTCTGCTTCAAACTACTTTATCACTATGGTTCTGACGGTGATTAGATAATGAACCACTCAGACACACAATTTACACAGCAGCTAATTTCATCGGTCTGATTTGAGGGTACGGTTTTTAGGGGGCCATCAAAGAAGCAGATGAAGGTGCATTTGTCATATATGAGTGACAACCATTCACACTATCTCAACAAAATGGTGCTGGCCCTTATTAGAAACACATGCTATTATCACATATTTAAAGTGCAGTTGAAGCCATAATTTCAAATTGCCAATGGAAACATAAGGGTAAAACAACCAGATATTACTGAAGCATGTGTACTGACTTTATGCCCCTCTAAAGACATAATGTGGCAATGTAATTCAACTGAGATACTCTTGAGTTATCAATAAATAATAGCATGAAAACAAAAATTAAAAATATGTCTTAGTAGCAAACTATAATTTAAAAATTTAGACCTAGTCATGAATTAATGCGCAACATAAATTTTAGGCACTATTTAGTAACAATCCCACTGACTCTAGAAATGAGACTTTAAAACATTTTAAAGAATGAATGCTAGCTACTGTATTTTCATATGAGGTCATAAAAAATAAAGGAACATCTACTACATATTTTTAGAGAGATGCAAGTCTTCCATATTTTGAGACAATTCACACATCACTTTCCCCTCACATGGGGAATGTCACAATACTTACACCTCAGGACCCATGGAACAGTAGAGCTAAAAAAAATTTGTCCTAATTACACAACCGGAATCATTAACAGCAGCTTCTCAATTAGCATACTGAGGGCAAATCAGATGCATTTTGCCATGTGGACATTGAAAGGTACAACATTGTTCAAAGGCAAAAATCCCAGTAAGTGTTTCTTCTTTTGGAATATCTCTATTTTTTACCTTCTCTCTCTCTCTGTTGATGTTAACCTGGACCATAGCCTTAGAAGTATCATCTCCCATTTTAACTTTTGTAATATTCTATGCCGCTTTCTCACACACATTAATTTCTGTGAATTCCATGGTCCTTATTAAATTTTTGCTCATCATATCTAGCGAATTTTCATTCTTTATCATCTGCTCCATCACCTACCAATTTTTTTCCACACTAAATTTAAAATATTCCTCCTGATCTTCAAACATGTTTATTCTTCTTATTTATTACTGTTAATAATAATAATATCGCCCTTCATCCAAGGACCACAGGACAGTTCAAAGTGCAAAAAGAGAAAATCACATAGCATAGCAACTTTCACAAATGAATCGAAAAATCTCGTTTTGTTTTTTTAAAAAACAACTCAACAGCTTTTGGAGTGTCCTGGTTTTTACTTTTTAAAATATGGCAACCCTAACACAGAGAGAAAGAGAGAGAAAGAGAGAGAAAGAGAGAGAGAGAGAGAGAGAGAGAGCTTAAAAGGCCATTGATTATTTAATTTAGGGAATTCCCCGTTTAGGGAAGTTTTTAATGTTTGATGTTTTACCGCATTTTTAATATTCTGTTGGAAGCCACCCAGAGTGGCTGGGGAAATCCAGCCAGATGGGTGTGGTGGTATTATTATTATTATTATTATTATTATTATTATTATTAAGCCAAAGACCTGAAAGAAGAGGAATGTTTCTGCCTAGCACCTAAATATATGTAATGAAAGCACCAGGCAAGCTTCACTCTGGAGAACATTCAGGAAGCCACCACAGAAAAGGCCCATTCTCATGTTGCCACTCTCCGGATCTCTCATGGAGGCAGCACATTTTGAAGGGCCTCAGATGATGATCACAGGGTCATGGTTGGTTCATATGGGGAGAGGTGGTTGTTGATGTATTGTGGTCCTGAGCCATTTAAGGCTTCATAGGTCAAAACCAGCCCTTTGAATTTGACCTGGAAACTAACAGGCAGCCAGTGCAATCAAGTCAGGATTGGCGTTATATGCTTAAACTGTCTTACCCCAGTGTTAGCTGCTAGTTTTCTGTATTTACTCTTTTCATTCTTGTAATTGTGCATAAACCACCCTTGGATGATTTGGTGAAGGGTGAAATTATAAATAATAATAATAATAATAATAATAGTTATTATTATTACATATTTTGTTATCAATGTATTCTAATAATTGCAGGTTATTATATATTACTGAAAAAATAATAACAACATTCTTAAACATTTATTTATACTAATGAACGACTGTAATAATAATTTTCTTTAACATTTTATTTATACAAATGAACTGATAGGGTCTAGCTTAAATATGTATAGTAATCACAATGTACAATTTTAGGAGAGCCTATACTAACAATTTGCTGAAACTATTTTCTCATTTGTAAAAACAAAACAAAAACAACAAAAACAACCTACAGCAAGTGAAATCTTATCAGCTAACCACAGAAGAGATAATAGGCTGCAAATCCTCAGAACTTGCAACTTCTCTCTCAGATTCCATGAGTAGATGCATTCTTACCCCCTCCCCTTGCCTTTTCCATTCAACTAACACAGTCTAGCAGATTTGGTAAGACTCTTAAAGGTCCAACTCTCTGCCAGTTCAGGAAATGTACTAGTACTTCATCCTTGATCGATGGCCATCAAACCTTTCCTACATTTTGTAGCATTTCCCCACATATCGTGGAAATGTATTTTACAAACAAAAACAACTTCAGATTAGCAACTACTCAAACTAATGTCACCTGGCCAACAAAAGGAGTTGCCTTGCCAGACTCCTTATGCACACAGCATATAGTGGTGGGAAAGCATCAATAGTTTGTGTCCCTTTCCCATTTGGGGACAATGTGAATGTCCAGTGAAGAGGAGAGTGTATGCATTTAGCCCTGAATTCTTGAGATCACCCACCAAGCAAAAGCAGTCACAAGCCACCAGTTCAACTATCTTCCCAGAATTACCGTATTTTTCCATGTATAACATGCCCCCATGTATAAGACGACCCATATTTTTGGGGACTCCAAAGTCAGAAAATGAGGGAGATTGCCCAGAGTTGTTAAGCTTTTGGGGGGGGGATTGCCCAAAGTTGTTGAGATTTGGAGGGGGGGGTGCTGAAAATCACTCACCCGCCAGAACGCCACTGCCAATCTCACGCATTGCCGAAGACAACAATCGTCTGCCTGCTCGCCACCAGCAGCCACCAATCACCCGCACAATTGCCGCAGTGGCAGCCAATCAACAACAGCCCTTGCTGCAGCCGCCAGTCACCTGCTCAATCGCCGCTGAAAATCTCCTGCTCGTGGCTCCAACCAATCTCCTGTGCCCCCTCTGCATTATCCGTGTATAAGACAACCCCCAATTTTGAACATTCTTTTCTATTGAAAAAAACCTAGTCTTATACTCGGAAAACTACGGTATCTGCTGTTTATGAATCATATGCAAAATGCTTTACATCAAGCTTGTGTTTCTCTGTAGCCTGAGGAAGGAGGACAAGGAGGTGGTGTTATGCAGAAGGGTTGTGGCTTCATGACAAAGCAGCTGCTTCACACGCAGAAGATCCCCAAAATCTCCAGGTAGGGCTGGAAAGGACTCCTGCCTGAAATCCTAGAGAGCTGCTGCCAGTCAGCACAGACAACAATTAACTAGATGGATCAACAGGCTGACTAAGTATCAGGCAGCTTATTTAAGTGTTATTTCTAGACAAAAAAAAATGGCTTTTTAAAAACATAGTTAAACAAGGCTGAATGACTGTTAACAAGCCAGCAGTAAAGAGAAGTAAACTCTTTATTAGGAGGAGGGAACAGGATTTTCACAGCAGTGCCAGGCCTAATGAGCACAGCAAGTAATCTCCAGAAGGTCCCAGGCCCTCCCCTCCCAACTGCCTAAAGTCACCTCCTCTCCAGGGTTTTCCCTAAGCAATCTGGGACTGTGCCTATGTGACACGAATTTCTCCTCTGCCCTCTTCATGCCTCTCCTGGTTCTGGTAGACTAGTGGGGACAGGAGCTTGTCGCAGCAGGAGGGGGAGGCACCCATGCCGCTTCACTAGTCAAACTCATCTTGGCCTCCCTCATCCCACTTTCCTGCATCAGCTTCTGATTCTGGACTTCTCTCTGCCACAGGCTCTCACTGATCATTAAGCCCTGTAACCTCTTCAGCTTCCAACACCTCCTCCTCCCTGTTTTTGCCCTCTGACCACTCATTGTCGTCCCACCACCAATCCCCGGGCTCTGAGCCTTCTTCCCTTGAGGGTTCCGCAACTGGTTCCTTCCACCATTGCTTCAACCAGTCCCTGACATCAAATAAAACTTGCACTGATGAGTAGTGACCAATATACCATCTACAATGAGAACTGAGAGACTCCCCATCCTAGCCAGAGCTCTCTTCAGTACTCTAAAATCCAGGAATGCACTCCCAGCTACTGGATTAGATAGGGGAAATACATGTGCCGCATCTGGTTATACACATGGTCCTCCATCCAATACACAGTGTGCCACACTGGAACAGGGCAATAAGATAGTACTACAATGATATTATTACTTTATTCGTTACATTTGTAGCTCACATTCTACCAAATGCTGCTCAAGGTGGCTTGATGAAGGGAACTCCATGAGTAACTGCGGCACTTGCAACTTTTAGAAACAGAGCTCCAGAATATGGCCTTCAGGGTTCTGAAATCAAGAGTTTGTAAGAGGAACCATATTATAGTTCAGCACAACATCCAATGAACAGATGTACACATAATTAGAATACACATCATTCTCTGGAATATGTGTCCTGTGTAGATTGACAAAAATGCTTTCTTTTTCTTTTTTACATTTGCAGAGAAGATCTGGAAAATATTGTCTGATATGCAGAAAGCACTGCAAGAGAATGCAGAACTAATCAATCAAATGAGTGGTGCTGTTGCTTCAAAGAGTACAAACTGCATTAGGTAGGACACTGAATACTGTATCATTCATACAAGCACTCAGTGAGTTCCATTTCTGGAAGCAAATGCTTGTCAAAGCCTCTGAAGGGTAAGTTTTGTATGATAACAGAGGAAGTCACAAACAAATTCACTGAACATTGCAACATTATAGTACATTATTACCCTTCACACGTTTTGCATCTGTTGACATATAAAGCAGAAGTGGTGAACTGGATCTGTCCAGTAGGTCAGACTGTTATCTATCCCACCCCTTGCAGGCTAAATGTGACATAATAATGACATCAGTCAACACTTATTAACCCACATGATTTTAAATCCAACTATGCAAACAAATACACAGTCCACAGCACTGATCAGGTCTTGTGGGGCACTTCATAAGGGCTTCACAAGACCCAACGATCAGCTGACTGTCAGGTGTTATGGTGGCCATGTAAAGCACCCCACCAATGTTTCCAGGGTTCACACCTGGGACTTTCTGCATGTAAAGCAGTTGCTCTTTTATTGAATTACAGCCCCACCCGTATCTCAGTGGTAGACTGTTGGGTGCAATTACAGTAAACCAAAATAGGTAGCTATCAGAGCACAGGCTATCTCTGTCCAGGAATGACTGTAGAATGGCAAACCAAATGAAGCTGAAAAAAGGCACTCTGTATCACTGAAGCCACTTGAGCCTCCAGTGAGAAAACTGTTCCTTAAATATTCCCATATAAAACAGGTCATCTACCCAATTCTTTAAATAAATAAATAAATAAATAATCAAAATTATATTATGAAGTTGAAATAGCAGTTCTGTAAAAAATACAAAAGAAAACCTATACAAAACAAGAAACTGGTTTCACAGCCGTTACCACCTAAAAGAAAGTACAATTTCTAGAGACAATGCAACAAATTGTATGTTACTATAAAACTGATGTGATACAAAGAGAATACAGTGGTACCTCTGGTTACGAACTTAATCTGTTCCGGAGGTGCAATCGTAACCGGAAACCGTTCTCAACCAGAGGCACGCTTTTGCCAATGGCGCCTCCGGCACGCAATTTCCGCTCACATCCTGAGGCAAAGGTAGCAACCAGGAGCAACTACTTCCGGGTTAGCAGAGCTCGTAACCCGACGCATACGTAACCAGAGGTACCACTGCACAAAAAAAGGGTTATGAATATCAAATAAAGCCATATTTCACCAAGGTTTGCCATCCCCAGAATTGGCATAATATGATATAAATAACAAATGGCTGCCAAATGGAGGCAAACCCAATAGGTTTCGCTGCAACCTGAGATATCTGTAATTTATTAGTCTTTTTTTTCAGAAATGAGGATAAAAATAACTTTATTAAACCAAATATTTAAAGAAAAATCTGAGGATTCTTTCCAGTCCTGTAATATGGTAGAACAAAATCTACTAACAGAAAACTTGCATGTTGTTTACACATTAAGTGCATATTGATAAAAGACATAATTTTGGGGTTTAAAGGCACTGGTAAAACTATTACTTCAGAGATTTCCTTCATCATCTTTTCCCAAAATGTGTATACATGTTTACAACACCGTCACATGTGCTAATAGCTTCCATTTTCATTACATCCCCTCACAACACATAGGGGAAACAAGTCTATTTATATGTGCAAGGTGGACTGGAGTCAAGAACCATCAACGGGCTATTTTTAAGAAGTTTTCTTGGATATTTGCAGAGACAGATCTAAAAGCGGGGTAAGCCATATCCCTCCATGCAAGGCTTTGTACAGTAACAGGCAATTATAATTCCTGTACACTTTGTACAAGCAAGTCCTGAGTTTGTACACTGAGAGTACAACTCTCAAATGCAAGAGCAATATTCTGCCTCTTGGAGGACACAGTCACAAGAGAAGGAAGAAGGATTCAATGACTGATGTTCCTGTGACACAGACATAGAAAGCACAAGTTTTCTTCCTGTTTAGGCTCAAAATTCCTAAGCAAGCCCCTATTGAAACCATGGAACCATGCCTAATGTATGAAACGAAGAAATTATGTGAACATTTATAAAGGCCATCTTTATCTAAATAGGTGCAAGAACACCTTCCAACAACAACAAGTAAGGAAACCATTACAGATTTTAATAAACCAAATAAGCAACTCAATTCCATTTGATCTGAAATCCCAGCTTTGCATGGGCCACACAGTAAGTCTGCCTCAAAAGAGTACGCTTGTAGTTCGTTTGACCCCTATCAGATAGCAAATTCCCTTTCTTGCATCATTGCCAGGAGCAAACAATTCCAGCATCCCACCTCACACCATCTCCAGTTTGTCTTCATCGCTTTACTCCTTTGATCTTGATAAAATGTTGAGGAGCAGTCTCAATGACTGTGCATTCCTCCTCCTTTCCTTGCCCAATTCATGATTCACCTAAGCAGAACTTTTAAATAACCACAAATATTCAGCAGCAACACTTTCTTTACACGGAGTTCTTTCCTTACTCTATGTAGCTTTATTCAGGGCCTTTTTCCCATCCTTAAGGACCACACCTCACCAACAGCACTTTTTTTCTCAATCACAGGCTGAATTTTCTCTTTCTGCACTATAGTAAAAGCACCATGATCTTCTAAGACATTCTTAGCAGTCTACCTTGCTTCTCCCCACCCCCATATTTTAGTATGGCAAAATCTATCTACATTTTGTATGCACACTTTAAATTATAAGTTGCCTTCAGATATATTCTACAATATGCACACTCTTCTGCCATTTCTTACACCGTCCATATGACAATTATTTCAAAACATCCAGAGATTTTGCCAGTGCTTATGTTATACCTGTCAAGATCTGATGACTCTATGTTATGTATTCCTCTGAACAGAACCACTACACTTAGTTACAGGCTATCATCAACCAATTCATTCTCTTGCTAAAATCAAGTCATCCAATTACTCCTTGACTAATCAAGGCTGTTTTGGCTTTTTCTTTTTTCAAAAGGTACTCAACAGCATAAACAGTTCACTTACAAGAAATGGAAAGGGGCTAATCAGCAGAATTATTGTTTTGCTGCTACAATTTGCAGTATTTAAATGCAGTTGCTGATTGGACTGAAAGTTTTATGATACAGCACAGGAAACTAGTTTGACTTAAATATGAAGGAGCCTGTGCTTTGTCTACTGTGGAAAGTAATGCAGAAAACTAAAATAATATGTGCACCAATTCACTTTTGATATTTATGTCTCTAAGCAAACATGGAATAAATAACTGTTATGGTCCAATAGACAGATCTGCTCTTTCACATTTTTCTAAACATGTCCCTTTTACCTACCAATTTGCTTATTTCACTTTTATACTTTCATTAGAAAGAAACTGGTCTCTTTCTTTTGATACATTCTGTAGATGAAAAAATACCAATTCAGCTACAAAACATTAGGCTGCAATGTAAGTATACTGTAGCTTCTATATATACCTTGGGAAAGCTCAGCAACATAGGAGCCAACACCTAGGGGCCATGGGGGCTTGATCCCCCAATAAAATGTTTGAGGGGGCGGGGGCCCCACAAAGTTGATGGGCATTCCCATTCAAATTGTGTGTGGGCATTGCCTCATGTGATGCAGGGGTGAGGCTTACCTGGGCCACCACAATATTTTTCTCAAGTTGGCCCCCCTGCTTAGCGAGCATGAGGGATGAATTGCTCTCTAACAAACAAATGACCTGTAACCTGTGGCTATTGATGCAGAGACATAAGAGTTGCCTGGCTGGATATTTGGACTCTCACAGAAGGAGAAATGTGAAAATGAAACCACAAGGTGGGATCCAGAGGCAATCAAGCAGACCTCTGTTTGCACAGGAAGGATTTCCTGGCTTCTATTCTATTCTATTCCTCGTCCCCCAAAAAACACCCCACTTGATGCTCCACCTAAAATGGTGTAGGATGGGCTACAGGGGGCTGTAGAAGAATGGGAAAACTGGAGGAATTTGGCAAGCCTGTACTGTACAAGTGCTTTTCTGATCATGCAAAAGACATCTAGATCCAAGCAGCATTCAAATTTGCCAGACTCCAGTAGCATTTTGCAACTGGCAACCGGCCTTTTGTGACTCGTTGGAGATGTCAGGTGTCACCCTTGAAGCCTAGCATCTCCACCTGCCTGGCTGCAGTCAGCTGGTCTGCCGGGCACAATGGCAGCAGAAGACACACATCTTTTGCTGCAGAACTATCCCCGCCAAACAGCTCTTCACTGCTCTGCCAGGTGAATCAGGTGTTTGGCAGGGTACAGAGGTAGCAAAAGCCTCTTTTTCCTACCGTGCTACCCTGCTGACCACCTGATGCACCAGCAGCAGCAGCAACAACAACAATAGGTCCCTAGACCTTTTGTTTTGGTGCCCACAAACTAGGTCCCAGGAGCCACATGGTTCCTAGCATTCCTACCCCAGTTTCTAATATTGGATCCAAGGCCTGGAAAGTATTTATGCAAGTTCTTTGCTCTTGCTTCAACTCTGCCAAAAAAGAGAAAAGCTCATTCTTGGTTTAATCAGGTTATAGGCAGAAAACACTGGCTAAGTGACCTGAACTACTTTCCCAGCATTTCTGTCCATTTTTGCTTTGGCTTCCTCTTGATGAAGCCAAAGTTATTCCCCCTAACTCATCAGTAATTAAAGGAAAAGGGACCCCTGACCGTTAAGTCCAGTTGGGGACGACTCTGGGGTTGTGGCGCTCATATTGGCCGAGAGAGTCAGCGTTTGTCCGCAGACAGCTTCCAGTAATTGGGAAAGATAAAACACTGGCTGCTCAGTCCAATTGCTAGTATTATGATGCACCTGTTCAATAAACTTTTTAAAACCTGCTCAAAACTTTCAGTTGAAAGGAGGGAATGCCTTCTCTCAGGCTAACACACTATCTTCCCAGAATTGTTCGATAAAAGTATAGAATCTGAGACCAGAATAAATTTCGTGGGAGATAATATTGTGAAGTCAGAGTGGAAGTCTAGCTTTGATTCCATGACAATAAATTTCTATGTAAAGAGGATAACACATAAACATATGCTGAAAGAATTAAAAGTCAATTTATGCAATCTCTACTTCAGCATTTTGTAAGAATGAACATTTTTTTCCAGCTAGAGGCATGCATGTCAACAAGTTAAATATATAGCTGAAAAAGAAAATTCTCTTGACAAATGCCTTCGGGAGAATAATTTTTCAAATACTTTATAACTTTGGTTCTACAGTGCTTCATAAAACACTAACTAGTTGTAATCATTTGCAGTGTAATTGTGGACATTTATATGCTTTTCTTATGCACAGAACATAGCTATTAAGAGCTGAATGGTGACGGTGTGAAGTATAGGTTAGATTGGGTGAAATTAAAGCAAATTACTCAGGGATGTGGAATTCTGAAAATAGAAACAGTCAATGATTTGCAACCCTCTTGATGATCAGCTTCATAGAACCCTAAATGGCAAGAACTTACATATTTTAAAGTTAACTAGATATTTTTTTTCAATATTATGTATAAATATAGTTTAAATGGAAGTACTCAGTGACTTTGGAAATAATCATTTTGTTTGATTTACAAGTCCTGTTTAGAGTTTGTGCCACCAAAGCATATTTTAATTCTCAATTTTTCACTGGTTCTAATGAACTAGTAACTTATAGTATGTGCAATTTATATATATATATATATCTATACACACACACACATACAAACACACACATTTTATACGTAATGTACATACATTATACACAGAGACAGACAGACACACACAGAGAGAGAGAGAGAGAGATTATTCTGTTAACTGAAATTCTATTAGATTGTAATAACCTTTAGGGAGGCTCAAGGGACCCAGCCAGTGACAAATAAGAAACACACAAGAACTAGGACAAAGGCTCTGAAGTGCTTCCAAGTAAATATGTACTGTATAGGTTTGAGTGATAGCAATGCTAGCTTACTCACCCACCCACCCCATCTACCATCATCTTGCAAGGATCAGAGAGGATCTCTTTGTCCCAATTCCCCCTACTTTTATGAACGGTAAGACTAATAATATGCAAGTACTAAATTTATGTCAGAAATGCACTGCTGGTGAATGGGAAGAGCTTAGTCATCATGATAACTAACCCAGTTGTTCTCAAACCAGGGCAGGGCTAAAAGATAAAAATGCCTAATATGAAGTGGGGCACTAGCACAGGAGAACAATTTAGACCATGTGTGTGTAAGTCAGAAGGAGATCCAAGATTTGCCAAAGTGTGTTCTCCAACCTCATTGGGATCATGGGCCTCTAATGGTCATTAGTTCAATTATCTCATATTGGAGATGAAGCAATGAGGTAGGGCACAGGAGCTATGCAGGGGATAAAGTAGAGAGAGTAGAGTAACTGGATAATAATACCTGATTATGGGGAAGGGTTATCTAGCCATTTTGAAAGAGGGCACAAATTGAGTAAATTCTGCAATCATTGCAGGTGCATAGATGTTGCATAGTGATCTGCTATGGAAGAGGAGCACTCAACTGTTCAGATGCTAATAGTGGCATTTTCTTTTTAAGAAAGGGTGATGAGAACTAAGAAATATGCTTTTCTAGCTGCTGAAACATCTGAAAAGGTTGATCCAGTCAATAGTGAATGGCCTAGCAAATTCAAGCAGTCTCAACCAGAACTACAGTTTTTGCATGTTGCAATTAACTAGTTATCAACTTTGCAGCCTAAATGGGACTGTTGAGAGCATGATTAGAATCTGCCAATTAATCTGTAAAAGGAGATTTTGAAGTCTGGAAGATGCTTGCTTGGATCTTAAAATGTGAACAGCAAAAAGCTAACGGAAGAAAACTTCTCTATCTTTTCCTCACCCCTGTGGTTCCCAAGTCTCCTGAAAAGCCTTGGTGGGGAGGCAGGATCTGCTACAGCCCCAAACCAGTAGGTGTCTCAATTTGGGCAACTACCCACTCTCCCCAGCAGCAATCCATCCATGACTGATCAAACACATTGTTCACAGTGGGCTTTCCTCAGATTAGGGAAATTAAGTACAAGCTGTAATATTAGGATAAAATATACAGAAAATTGTCAAGATGCCAAAGAATCTTACATACATCATCACCTTCTGTTGGTAACAGCATTATGTAACCATTTTGTTCTTTGTGTTTGTATTTTGGAAACAAAATTTTTAAAATAAAATAAAAGGTTGCTTGAAGCAGAGAAGAAGGGAAACTTTCTTTCCATAAATTTATTTCCTTCCCGTATTGTAGGATCCGTCACTACCTTTAATATCATTGTGAATTGGCATCCTTTATATATAGATTTGTTTTTGTTTCAGATTTCAAGTCCTGTTTTTATACCTCATTGTCTGAATTTACACTTGTAAACTACCCAGAGAACATGTGTTACTGGACAATATACAAATTAAATAAATAAGTGAACGTTGGCAAGTCAGCTGTGTAAGGAACACAGGTCCATCCTTCCTGATAACAGCAAACTGGGGTCTTTGCTAGCTGAGGTTCTTAGCTTCTCCATCTTGAACAACAAGATGCCAAATAACCAAAAACGTTTAAATCCTTGCTCAACACCCCAACTCAATTGTAGTCTACTTCTTCATAAGCAGAATGTAACCAGCGTATTTCCTTGAAGGACCAAGAACAATTGGGATTTGCTTGGTAATAGGGCTCATTCTAAATATTGTGTAGATCCTGAGTTACAATAAAATCACATTTTAGTGGTATTACAATTTTTTTTAAAAAAAAATGTGATTATGAATACCCCACCCAATGCACACACCATATTCCCTTCATTCATTTAAAAAGGATTTTTGCCCAGATGGATGCTAGAAGACCGTATTTCCACTTCTATCCACTTTACATGCCACATCCATCACGGAGCAAATTTCTGTCTTTAAAAAGGCTTCCAGATAAAGCAGTTCTGTTCTCCCGCATTTAGTTGACTATATTTTTACAAGCACCAGACTAACAAACTAAGATTGAGAAGCCATCTCATGCATATTGCTGTTGTCCCACATCATTCAGAACAAACCTTTTTAGATCGTTAACTACCACAGGAGTGCTGATTACACAGGCACCAGCAATTTCCTAACCAATGACCACCTGAACAATGATGTGTTCAGCTTCTCAGACCCTGAAGCCTTTCAAAGGTGAATCATTTCACAGTTTGGAACTAGATCGCCATAGCAACTTCCCTTTGAGGGTTTTAGAATCACCATCCAGTAATTCTATGATCATCAAGCTCGACCATTCCCAATGGTTCTTTTCACAGCAGATGGAAAAGGAAGCCTTGAAATTTTACAGTCTATTTCAAGCAATTCATCTGGCAGCCTATTAGAATTCAAAATATTTCGACCTTCAATCACAAAGCATGTTATCTGAAGCTGTGGTGATCTCAAGTCAAGACAAGCAGACATTTTAGTCTAATCATCCATGATGAGAAGAGACTGACAAAAAAAACTCTTAATTCAACCACCATCAAAATGCTTATTTTAACTGCATGCAAGTCTTTCAACAGGCAATGAAAACACACCATGCACCATTTTTATCACAATCATCTGTTCAAGGGAAATATGAATTCTGAATACTGACATGCATCTCTGCACTCTAAGCCTGCTTCTGTAAATGTTTCTTACAAACAGTAAAAAGGCTGTATTCATACTTTTCTTTAAAAACAAATGCATGGAAGCAAATAAATGAAAATTTCTATATACTAGATTTGGCTTAAAGCACTTAAAAAGAATTGAAATGATCAGTAAAATTCTGAAGGAGTTTGAATATGTGCCAGTAAAGTTTGTAAACTAAAGCATTAATAATGTTCCTAAGGCATTCCTCATATTGGTTTGCTCCTGAAAAGCAACATTTTTTTCTCTTAAGTACTGCAGCCATTAATTACTAAAGCATTAAATGTGGTAGGTGGCACATTCTTAACATTTTAGTCCAACATTAATAAAATCTACACAACAAACTTCACCAGATTTTGCTTAATTATTGAGAAATCTGCATTTACTGCTTAATAAAAAAATAGTTTTAAATTTTTAAATGTTTAAATCTTAGTAAAATATACCAAGGACAAATTTAGAGAGATTCAAGTCCTAATATTTTTTAAAAACAAATACAACAATAAACTATAAAATTTAATTACCCAGACTGAATAAGACCAAAAAGAGGTTTAACCAGTAACTGCCAATAAAATGAAATTGGTTTGTTTCTAATTATTAGCTTATGTTTGGACTAATATGCATTTGATCTGCATCTGTGTCTAAAACCCATATTAATCTGCACTGCAAACAGACTTAGGCTGGTTCAAACAACCATTCAAGGCTTCATAAGCCACAGTTTGTTTATCTTACTCAGATTTAATAAGTCTAAAGGGAAGCTAAAGTAGTTTAACCACATGGGTCATGCCATGGTTTGTGAAGTTGGGTGTGACCACCTAGGCCAAGCATGGCTCTCTTGCAACTCCCCATCTCTCTTCTCACTGTGCACCAGCTTCTGAACCAAGATCTAAGATGGCACTAAGCCTGCGTTCACAATTATTTCCATAATGAGCAACTCTGGCTTAATGCTTGTCAGTTAATGAACCAGGCAAATAAGCCATATTTATGAAGCCTGGAATGACAGTCTGAACCAGGCCCTAGACTCACTTTGATGCTATATTTTCTATGTGAGCCAGGCTGTGTTATATATGGCAAAAATGATCTGATTTTTCATATAGAATTTTCATATGAAGTTCCAGAGGTAGCCTATTATAGATCCTTGATGTGGAAATTCCCTGTAAAACCACATGTAGTTACTGTGACATACAAATACTTTTGTATCATGGGCACAATTGTGGGAATTATAAGCAGTGTTCATTCTTTGCTTACTGCTCTTGATTTGTTTTGGAGTTTAAAACCATAAGCCCAGGCTCAGATGACATATGTGATGTGGTTTGTTGCTCCTGGCATGGCTAGGAGCAGAGAAGAAATGAAGCAATGACTTTTGAGAAGCATGCACCAATACACTTCCCATTCATATTAGCAATAGTTAAACATTAGGCTCAGAAATGGAAACAACAGGAAATACCGACAGTAGAAGAATGGCGAATGAAGCTGTTAGACTATGCTGAGTTGGATAAATTGACTGGGAAAATTAGATATTTAAGAGACCAAAAGTTCATCGAGGACTGGGGGAAATTTGTGGAATATCTGGAAAGTATAAGTGAGGGACAGATAACGCTAGAGGGGTTTAAAAAAGCACTGTGAAAAACTAAGAAGTATTGTTTAAAGAGAAAGGATACTAAGGGTATAAATAATGACAATATAAATTATGAAATGTGCATTTAAAATAATGACTATGGATGATTTACGGAGAAGCTGAAGAAGTCCAGAAAAGAAGCAATTTGTGAAAATTGGATGTGAAAAATTTTATGTATGTTTTGTTTTGTTGTAAATTAATAAAAAATTTTATGGAAAAAAAACAACAATAGTTAAACATTAACTATGGTTTAACATGATGTATGAACACAGTCAGCACACCTTATTCCCTTTTGTTTTATGCTGTATATAGAAATCCATTTTTGCTTAAAATATGAAGCAGAATAAAGGTAAAGGTAAAGGGACCCCTGACCATTAGGTCCAGTCATGACCGACTCTGGGGTTGCAGCACTCATCTTGTTTTATTGGCTGAGGGAGCCGGCGTACAGCTTCCGGGTCATGTGGTCAGCATGACTAAGCCACTTCTGGCAAACCAGAGAAGCGCATGGAAATGCCATTTACCTTCCCGCCGGAGCGGTACCTATTTATCTACTTGCACTTTGATGTGTTTTTGAACTGCTAGGTTGGCAGAAGTAGGGACCCAGCAACGGGAGCTCACCCCGTCGCGGGGATTCGAACCACCAACCTTCTGATCGGCAAGTCCTAGGCTCTGTGGTTTAACCCACAGCACCACCCACATCCCATCAAGCAGAATAGGATGAACCAAAAGGTCAAGAGCACAAACAGAACTGTGTTCAATAGGCCACAACTTTACAGGGGCACTTCCAATATTGCAGACAGTCTGTAACTCTTACGTATTAGTCACCTGTAACTATTACCTAATAGTCACCTATTAGGAAACCCAGGAGAAGGTACCATTTTTTTGTTTACCTCTTCTGCAACCACCTAAATCTCACTGATGTGCTAAGACACCGTCAACAATCCAGAAAGCTATTACAATTATTTCAAAACATACAGTAGTGGAAGAATAATGAAAACAATGTTCACTAGTTAATTAATAGTATAAAAAACTTCACTTAGCGGAGGGCCAATGATGTTATAAAATATATGGATATTTTCAATTTACAAATGGACAGAATTTCGCTTATGGAAAATCTACCTGTTAGGGAATTGAGACTTGGGCTGCAACCCTAAATCCTCTTACCTGGGAGCAAGCTCCAATTAATTCAGTAGGACTTACTTCTGAGTAGACATAGTTAGGAATGTACTGTTGATCTCTGAACTGCCTATTGTGTAAGAAACTATGGAAGAACCAGACAATGTGCTGCTAGGGTATAATTTCTGGGGTAAAACATCACCAGCCCCTTTGCTACCAGCAGCAACACTCACAGTGCCTTACTCTTATATACATGCTCCATTTCACTCCATGTAAAGTAGCAGAAAAGTTAATACATGGAAATATCAAAATAATTTCTCTAAAAATATTGATGACTGCATGTGTTTTTTTAATAGGAAAATCAGATTCTCCTTATGTGGCAGTGGTGAAGAATATTTGAACAAACAAAACAAAACAAGGAGGCCAATACAATGTATGTAACAAGGTTGTTGACGTTTTCCATTCTTGCTTACTTTTTGGAAGCTACTTTCTTAAATAAAATATTTTAAGGTCTTAGTTTTAAAAAATCTCAAAGCCACTCTCTGCAGATGTATCTTCAATCTCAATTGCAAAATTAAAGAACTTGCAATTGTTCGCATAATTCATTGTTCTCATAATTCTGAGACATACATTGCTGCCCCACACAAATAGCACACAAATGTACACTGAAGCTAGCAGTTCTATATATTTATACAAACTTTTTCTTCTTCCACCACATTTGCCAGCATCCGCCGGTTTTACTTCTACAAGTACCGTAGATGACACTTTTACCACTGTAACATCACACTAAGCACACCGCAAAAATAGGGAGAAACTATAGGAAATTGTACTCACATATGCTTAAAGCTTCCAACTAGTTTCAGGTTGTCATTTAGAAAACAATCAAAACAGGTAGTAACCTTGTTTGCATGCTCCTTTTAGGGTCTAATCACTGAAATCCTGTAGCGCTTTAGTGAACAAAATCACTGTGGGGGTTGTCAGGTCAATTCAGTTTGAAGGTGTACCTTTACCTTACTAAATGTACTTACACTGTACTTTCAGTTTGTAACAATAGCCTTAAAGAAGCCTAACAGCAATACTTTAAAAGGTTTCTTTAAAAATCAACAATAATTTGCTTGAAGATAGCAATTCTGTTCCATTAACACTCAAAGCTATTGTAGTTTTAAAATACAAAGGTAAAATGTAGTCTTCCACTCCCACCGCCTTTCTGGCAGCCAGTGCCACCCTAGTAGCTCCTGGGCGGCTTAATGGGTTAATTTACTAAACAGCAGTTTTAGAACCAGATTTAGTGTGCAATGCCTTCCACTTTCCAGCTTCAACTATTGCCTTTGATTATGTGGGACTAATGGCACTGCCCTACACTGCTCCTGACCATCGTCACCAGTTATGCTAACCATCACTGGAAGATTCAATTTCTGCTGTTTGGAGTTTTGTAGCATCTGGGCAATTCTCTTCCTACACACTGTTGCTGACCATTATTACTGATCATCTCCAGCAAATTATGGGGCAGATGAAAAACATCAATGCAAGAGGGCGCTGGTTTCCCTTTCCGACTTCCATGACCAAGAAAGCCAGAATACCTACTTCCTACTTCCACTACCAAGAAACCTGCTGGATATGCCAATGCTATAAAGCAAATCCAGAAACAATTCAATAAGTTGGTAACTTCCAAGCATGCTACATAATCCCCCACATAGAAGATTGGCCTGCAAGAGGGACATATGCTAGCAACTGAATTGATACATGTCATATTCCGCACACTGGGGGAGGACAGAACCAACCTTGTTTTGTAGAGCTTTGGATTCCGAAATACACAAATGCTTACTCACACAAGCACCTTCTGCAACCTGCAATGATTCTCAGGGCTCACATATAAAGCCTCGAAATCTTATGCTAGTATAGGGCAACTGTTTAGGCCTGCTGGAGGCTTGCTTTTAGCCAAGGTCAGCCTTCCTCAACTTGGTGTCATCCAAATGCTGTGGACTTCAACTATCATCAGCTCCAGTCAGCACTGCCAATGATCAGGGATGATGGGAGCTGTACTCCAAAACTTCTGGAGGGCATCAAATTGGGGAAAACTGGCCTAGATTCTCCACTTCCCCTACAAAAAAATTGTTCTTAGCTTCTTATTTGACTGTATCTCATTAAAAAGATACCAGAACAAACTTGTAGAAGATCCTGATCATTCAATTTCATGCTTGGGGACATAAGAATGTAGGAATCCACCTTATGTTGAGTCAGACCATTGTTCCATTGAGCTCAGTATGGTCTACACTAACTGGTAGCAGATCTCCAAGGTTTCAGATAGGGGTGTCTCCTAGCTATACTTGGAGATGGTGAGGATGAAGCCTCAGACCTTGATATGCAAGGCATATGGTATGCAAGGCAAGTGGTAGGCAGATGTCTACCACTGAGCTACATTCCTTCTCCATTGTTGAATGCTTTCACTTGAGACACTCTTGGGCAGTGTTAGAAACTGAGATATGAAAGCTAGGAGCTAAATGGCACCTTAAACCTAGGTTATGGGCGCAACAACGGAATGTCTAGGTGCACTTTTTTATAACAAGAATTCAAAGCTAAAAATGAATGAACTGCAGCTAAAATATTGTGTTCATTTTTCACATGGTCTAGTCCGTCCCCTCCCCACACCCCTAATATTCTTAAGAGGGTATCTTCTCCAGTTTTCAGAAAGTAGCTGGAAGTTGGGAGGCAGAAAAAGGTCCTCCTTTCCTTCCACTCTGCAGTTTTAATCTGATATCTCAGGTGCAGTACTGTGCCCAGAGCTCAGAAACTGCTCACGCTAAGGAAATTCCCTGTCACAAAATGTACCTAGAACAATGGGGATTTTTGAATGCTGATCTTGGGTTTTCCTCTATATTTCTGCTTTCTAAAGAAATGTTCTCTGGAGAAACCAGTTCTTCCAAGCTGTATGTATTCTTCCAAGCTGTATGTATTTTTAAAAATTATGTGGCAAAACATTTTGGCTTCCACCTTCATCAGCTGCTGTGATGAAGATGGAATGCTCAAACGGGCTTCACTTGCTGATGCTAAGTGATACTAGTATTATCTTCCTGCATGTACACACTGGACACATTGGCACCACGTGGCCCCAGTCTGACATTCTCCCTCTTAACCAAAATTGTTGGATCTGTTAGCACCTTTATAGCAGTTATTGATATGCCTGACAGTCTGTGTTTCTCAGAACTGAAATGTTTTAACAACTGATTGCTCAACTTTCTGTCAAAATTGCAGATTTGTGGTTTCTAACACGTGTGCATAGGTCAGTTGTAGTTTTACCTATGTACTGGATATGACATCCTTTTTTTTTGCACTCAATAGAGATTATACTGCAGGACCTGCAAGTGATATTCTGCTTGATGTAGTATGTCCTACCTGTCCTGGTGCTTTTGAAAGTAGCTGCTTCCATGAGATGCAAACAGGTGATACAGTATTTAGCGTTACAAAGATGAGATCCAGGAATGTTGTTAAGTGGATTCAGTAAAGCTCTCACTGATAGTCTGCATGTATTTAGTTGGAGGCTGGCAAAATGCTGTTACCAGGAGGCTTGTTGACAGCTTTAGCATGACATTCAGAATTTGCTAACCAGGGGTATCTTTCTCTGATTGCCAGACAATGGAAGATATATGGAAAGCTACCACAAATGGGAAACATTCTTTGTTTACTGACACCTCATTTTGATGGAGGAGGTTTTCTCTAGACACAATGGAAGCCCAGTGGATCAATTACATGTGTTGCAATCAATTACACGTGGATATGTAGAAGGTGCTCTTTAAGTCCAACGATCCTTTTTTGATATTTATCTTTGTTGTTGCAAATGCATTTGATTCCAAGAGCCAAGCTGTAGACAATGTTTTTCTTTACATGTTTTGGATGGGAGGATTTTCAATATAGATAGGTGTACACACCCACACCACACCACACCCCCATATATATATATATATATATATATATATATATATATATAGAATTGCAAAGTTTGGAGGTACAGCAGACAGAGTCACTTAGCCTAGAGCTGCACCTGGTACATGAGCCCAGTTGCCCTTAAGGGACTAGCACAGTTCTAATGTTATACACTATAACTGCTAACCATGTTGTGAAACATTATACAATCCCCCTTGAAGTATAAATTACTTCATTTTATTATAGATCTCAAAATCACTTAAAAATGCTCTTAGTTTGCTATTTTAAAAAAATATAGGGAATAAAAGACTAATCATAAATAAATGAACTTTTTAATGAGCATGAAAAGCTTTCCGTACTAGCAGGGGGAAAAGCACTTCTCCAAGGGACCTGTCATGTTAAAGCAGTAGTCAATAGCTGCATACAATCAGTAAACAAATTCAGCTCTATGAAAAAAAAGAACTACATCACCGTTTAGTGGCTGCAATTTAGATTATTCTAGCGTGTAATACTTTAATTGTATAAAACAAAGCTGGTGTCACAAACACAAAAGAACTTCTTGCAAAGCAAGCACCACAAGTAATTTTTATGCTGCCACTGATGGCTGACAAGTGATGAGCACTTTGTTCAAATTTATACACTTATGCATCGAAGGCAACAGGTGGCTTGTAAAAAGAAACACTGAAAAGAACTGTTTTAACCCATTCAGAGCAGCATTTTTACAAAATGATTTATTAGATCACCTACAAAGCCTCCAACAGCCAAACACTCAACCTGTTAGTTTGATAGACTTACAAAGTAAAGCAAAATTATTTAAATGAAACCAGTACAATAGCACTGACATTTAAAATCAAGCTTAGAGCTGGAATATGCAAGTATTAGCTACCTAATGCTGAAATATAAAATGTATGAAGCTAAAATCTAGTGCAATAAAGTAAATAAATCATATGGTATCATGACTATTCAATGTGAGTGAGCACTTTAGTAGAAGGTATTCTCCTAGGCATTATAATAAAACCAGGAGACAATCAGTGGGGCACAATTATCTCTGGGTACAAAGTCTATAGGAAGGGCAGGGAATGGCATGCTGGAGACAATGCTACTCTGCACCATCAAAGAGGACATAGTGTTCAAGGAGCTGAAAATCCCAAAAGGGGTAGATTTCACCACAGAATAGATGCGAGTGGCACACCAAGTCCCAAGAGTAGCTTAGGAAAGAGGGTGTATTACCATCCCCATGACCAAGATGCCTAGAGTGGTCTTGAGATAATGAATTCAAAAAAGTATCAAAGGAGGAAACGTTGTAGTAATGGATGACTTCAACTGCCCAAACAAAAAAAGGATAAATGCTTGCTCCAGTCACAACTAAGATAAAATTTCTAGATACCCTATATGACTGTGCTCAAGAACAGTTGGTCATGGAGTTGATCCAAAGGGGAGGCAACCCTGGACTTAAGTGGTGCCCAGGGCCTGGTGCAATATAAAAGCGCTGTGGGCAGTTTAGAAACAGTGACCATAGTGCTTTCAAATTTAACATATAAGTGAGTAATTGCTCACAAAGCCTAGTACAGTCAGATTACACTTCAAAAGAGAAAATTTCTTTAAAATGAAGGGATTGGTAAAAGGGAAGTTGAAAGGAAAGTCAAGAGGGTCAAATCTCCCCAGAATGCTTAGGATGATAATTAAAATCCACAATAATAGAAGCTCAGCTAGAACATATACCACAGATCAGAATACTCACTACCAAGGTCATGAAACTTCTAGCATGGTTAACAAGTTGAATGTCAGAAGCTAAGGCAAGGAGGCTTCCTTCAGAAAATGAAAATCTGGTCCAAATAAGAACAAAAAGGAACACAAACTTTGGCAAAAGAAATGCAAGCAGAGAATGACCTGGTTCACATTTCGTGCAAAGCCAGACTATGATTCAGTGGGACTTTGGGAGAATGTGGACTCTTGAAGAATTAGTACTTCCCTTACAGTACAGGTGGGGTGACCTTTTTGTGCATGTCCAATTGACACGCGGCCGCTGACATGCAGGTCCTTTTGGACCCAGAAGATGGAACCGTGAGGTTGGCTTCCTCCACCAATGTGTGTGGAGGCCAGGAACGGAACCCTCGAGCAAAATGGTTGCCCCCTGTACTTTCAATTATAACAGGGTGGGATGCACACTACCCTGACAGAGCAGGGCATTTTTAATGTTTTGTTTTTATTAAATTTATATGCTACCCTTTATCCAAAAAAATTGGATCCTTGGTGGATAAGCAACAGAATGATGAGCTTCCCCCTGGTCTTTCTTGGGTCTGTTTCACCAGATTGTTGTTTTAATTATACACTTATCGTTTCAGTTTCAAGGAGCTTGGATTAAAAAGTTAAAACTCACTCCAAAAGAAGCCATAAAAAGTATAGTAAGCTTTGTAAGGCAACACATTACTCTTCAACCTTCTTGGTACAGTATATTACCTTGATATACTGTTTGGAATAGTAAGAAAAACTGTCATTGTTGCTTAGCAGGCAGCTCTCTTCTTTCTGGACTACAATGTCAGATATATAAGTCCCTGCTGGGAAACTTAGCAAATGCTGTCTATAAATAGTATGCCACTTGTCACTACTATATTGCCAGAGATGGTTGTCCTTCAGACATATGGGCTTTTTATGATTTATCTGCTGTGTAAAAAGATCAGAGGTGCTTAGAACAATCTTGGTCCAAAAGCTAGGCTAAACTAGGCTAGAACAGAGTGATATCATCAAATTCACACAAAGAATATAGTGCTGTACACTCAATTTGACAAGATTTATGACTAAAGTGCAAACTGTATGCATATTTTATTGTTAAATGCCACTTCCAAGTAAATAAATAAATCTCACTTGCATTTTAAAGTAAAACAAGAGTGTAGCTGCATGAAGTCTTCTCTTCACCAAGAACTGCAATATTTTAAGTTAACTTTCAAGAATGTACAGCAGAAAACTTTCCCGTGCCTTCTTTTTTGAATTGTGAGAAATTACATGCTCAGGATACCACTCCCACCCCAAAACACTTCCCTCCAAGTTGTTTGGTCCTCTTTATGCCTTCTTCTGTCTTTTAGCCAAAATCCACAGGGTGCCCACTAGGCTGTTTGCACGAACTGTTAGAATAGCAACTGTGATGAAAATTCAGACAGAAAGCGGAAGGGAAAGGTAAGGAATTCTGTAACACTAAACTAATCAACACAGACTATGTTAGGCTTCCTCAAACTCAGTCCTCCAGATGTTTCTGGTCTACAACTCCCATGATCCCTAGCTAGCAGGACCAGTGATCAGGGATGATGGGAATTGTAGTCTCAAAATATCTGGAGGGCCGAGTTTGAGGAAGCCTGGACTATGTAGATATCTGTCCTCAGAATCTCTAGAATCTGCAACTCTGAAAAAATGAAGCACGAACGTCGGCCATGAGCTGTAGGTCACACATTCTAGCAGTTTTAACCACTTTAAAAACAGAGTACACAATTTAAAATCACACAGCAGTATACAAGTTCACATTTTGTGAAGTTACTCAAGACTGCGACAAGCTAGAAAATACTAAAACAGGCCACCCTTAGCCTTCACCTATGACTCGCCAAAAACAAGCCTGTTGTAATGGTAGATTCAAAATACTCATAGTGACACAATCTTTCAAGTCAAGCATCCCCGCCCCCCAAACAAACAGAACCATGTAAGATGCAAAACTAAATCGCGTGTTACACTGTAATGTAAAAGTTGCAACATTCCTTGGCCACAAATATTTAAGACACATGGGCCATGCAGAGACATCATGCTAAACTTAAAAGTGATGTGAACAACCAGAAACAACTGCAACAAACCCTCTCCCTTTCTGCTGCTAGTTACCAAGAGCGAGAAAAGGAGGGGCGCAGCAAGGAGTACTTTAATGCAGTGTGGAAGCAAAAGCAGAGCCAATATGACACTCCTGCCAGCAATGGGAAGCCAGGTGAGCAATGCTTGCCCTGCCCATGCTGCCGAACCAGCCACTACTATTTACACACACACAGAGGAGGGGAGGAGTTGCTCATTTTCATTTCCAGAAATCCCATTATACCACATTAAATCTCATTCTAGAAGCTCCGCAACCTTCAGGAGAAGCTTTATGGATAGCATAAGGCGAAACTGAAAGGTTCCAGTGCTTGTACAGCATACCCCCCTGAATCCATTTCAGTCCCTGCCATTGTTATCTGTGTAATCTACTGAATAGGTATTGGTCTGTAGCAATCAAAAGCTGTTTGAAGGCAAGGTATTGGCCAAGTCTAAGCCTTCAGAAGCTAAAAAGGAGATAGAAGATTTTAACTAATAATGACAGTTTCAGAACAGTGTCTAGGCATGTATAATGGAAGATTTACAGTCCTTAAATCAAGAGTCGTTAAGATAGCGCTCACTCTTTGCCAGCCTTCTAGGGGTAAGTATGGCTAAACGTAGATGTGGGCACCCCACACTCCTGCACATGCACCACACAGAACCCAAATTTACCTCTCTTCATGCCCAATACTGTGCCTTCTTTTTATTGGGGTGGAGGGAAGATAAATATGTTTCAGAGGCCTCAGGCCAGAGATTAGACACCCCTGCATTAATGAATAAAAATATATCCTACCTGAACGAAGCATTATACGTTGACACTTCTGTGATTTTAAATTCATCTCAAAATGCATGTGACACCTAAAGTTACAAGTTTTCAGAGATGTGCTAAAGTGTCACAGCGTAAATAGAGCTGCACAAACAGTACTACTATAATTGGCAAAGGAAAGCCACACATGCTGAGGGGATGAGATGTGGCTCTTGCTTTGTTCACTAAAATGGTGGTGCAATGGAGTGTGGCTAAGTGATATCATCATACATCTCTCCTCTGCTGCAAGCAGCTTCCAGCAATATCTATCAGCAGGGAAGATTTCTACTTTGAGAACATAAAAATACAATGTGCCTGGGGAATACAGAGTTTGAAAAAAAGGAAGATGTTGCAGATGCTACATCCAAGTCCCTTTCGACAGAACTGGATGAAATTTTCATGCAAAGTTACCCCACTTGACTAAATAAAGTCTGCAAAATTACAGACAAATAGGTCCAGAGAGTTGGTGGCTGGTCACCTTTAGAATTTATTTTTTAAAGGAACTGTCTATGATTTGGGGGAGCGGGGGGAGCAGAATTGGATTAAATTTGCAGGATTGTTTGTCCCTTCTGAGAGGTTGAGTCCTGCCAAATTTCAGAAGGAAAATTGCAGTGGCTTTCCTGAAAGGCTAGCCTTTACAGTTGGGGAGTGATTTTTAAAAGGATTCACTTACGCTCCCCTATTCTTCTATGAGCAACTTGTATAAAATAGCATACATGACAGAGATGTCCCTAAGTAAGAAATCTGCCAAATTACAAATTGGTATATGGCAGTTTTTGTGCTAGGCACCTTTAAAGTTGACTTTGTTGGCATGGGTGAACTTAAAGGGATTTGCTGCCCTCCCTCTAGTTTTGCGGGCAACAACTTTCTTATGAATATGTGCTCCTGGGAAAATAACCTGCAAATTTTAAGAAGGCTGGGTGTAAGGGCTAAGGAGTTCTGATGCATAAAATGAACAGCTTCGGGCTTGCGTTCTGATGAACTGCCATCCAAAGTCACAAAAACTAAATGCCAAGCTGGCTTGACATGAGAGGATTTGTGGACATGCTACACAAAGGCGGGACTTGAATATTTTGGCATTTTCCAACCAAGCACCACTAGGCAGAACTAGCAAAAGACCACAGAACAGACAAGAAAAATGCTACATTATTTCAACTTCCCTACCCTAAAGCAATGTTACTGGAGAGACCTGGTTAAATCCTGGTTTTCTCTGGTAAGAAGCAAGATGTGTCGGACACAAAAGAGCTTCCTGACAGTGTTTTCCTCGCATGACAAGCTTGGGAGAGAAAAGTTTCAGGTTTTGCAGACACTGTGTCTGCAGAGTTTAACACAGAAATCTAAAAACGCTTTGGAGATCCCCTCTTCAGTTTAAAGAGCTTAAGAAAGATTCCTCTTCGGCTTGGATAAGCCCCAAATCCATCTGAAGTGGCCCACTTTAGTTTCAGGATTACTGAAAATCCAATGCACACCCCAAACTTTTAGTCATTGTAGAAGCTTTTTCCTGAAGTGACTGTCAAACCAACCAATCTCTCTCACAACACTTTGCATTTTCAAATCACCTTTAATGCAGAGCACATTGCTTATTTTTGCTGTGACACATTCATGAAAGCATAATTTCTGAGTTTCAACAGCATGTATTGGCAAATTGCACTACTGATATACATTTTAAGTAAGAAAACTTGCCAAAAGTTCAAGCAAAAATGTATACGTAGCGTTCAACTAATTGTGATTTGTTACAACAGTGTGTTAACCACAAAGAAGACATCTAGGTAAGCTGTCACCATCTAGCAACCACATTATACAAAAACTCAGCTTGCAGGAGGTAAAACAAACAAGTCTTACAAAACATATTTTTTTAAGTTGGAAGTGCAAACATATTCCTGGATGTATCTTGAAACTGAGCAGAGTTTATATAAAAAATAAAAAACCTTTACAAACTAAACAAGTTGCCCTCAGTTGTGTTTAAAGAAATACACACACACACACACACACACACACACACACACACCCCTACTTCATTCTGACTTGGAAGAACCAGAATGCAATACAGTGGTACCTCTGGTTACAAACTTAATTTGTTCCGGAGGTCCGTTCGTAAGCTGAAACCGTTCTTATCCTGAGGTGCGCTTTTGCTAAAGGAGCCTCCAGTGCACAATTTCCATTCACATCCTGGGGCAAAGTTCGCAACCAGGAGCAGCTACTTCCAGGTTAGCGGAGCTTGTAACCTGAAGCGTTTGTAACCAGAGGTACCACAGTAAAGGATAAGAGACCAATATTGTCTCATTGGCTCCCATGGAGAAAATAAGATATAAAGTAACCACCATTTCATATCTGAAGTTACACCTCAGCATTGCTTGTAACAGCAGATAACTGTTTAAAAATAGGTCTGAAGTAGGACTACAAGAGCTGAGTAGACTTGACAGTAATTTTATCTTTCCATTGCTTTACAGTGTATTGATCTTGAAGAAAATTATTTTTCGCTATGTATGTTGTTAAGTTTACTTTGTGTAGCTGAACAATATCAACTTTTATTCCCATGGGAAATATCATTTGCTGAATACTCAATCTAGCACTATTCAGTAATTTAATATTAACTGCCTCAGCAGACCAAATTCCAATAATCAATATCAATAGATTGATTGATTTACAGATTTACCTTACAGTAGAACTAACCTCTGATCCTCAATGCATTCAAACCACAATTATCCTAATGAAATTTGATTCACCAATATGTTTTTGCCACTCTTGGAGAATGGCAACTTCCTCTAACCAAAACCAAATTTAATCTGCATATATTTACACTAGAAATGTTCTGGAAGTCAGTGCTTTTCCAAAATGAAGAAGAAAAAACTACTACAAATCCATAGCAGTGGGAAATTATCCTAAATATAACTTAAGTCCAATACTTATCAGTGGCAGCATCTCTAGGGGGCCCTGGCGGCCCGAGCACCCACAAGTCACGTCCGAAGCCTTGTGAGACCTCGGGATCTGACTTCCAGTGATAGGTCCTGAGGCCACAGGGCACATGATGTCATGACGTCATGTCACGAACGCTGGGCACCAAGAATCTGGGGCCCAAGTCGGTGCCCCTGCTACTTATTCTAAATGGATTTGACTTTTGAACATCAAATGGATATTTTCACTGGGGCATAAGAAACGTTTTGCCTCAAAGTATTTAGACTGGATGAAAAATTTATTCTTTATGGTTAAATAATAATTCCCTGGTCCTATACCTTAATTAATAATAATAATAATAATAATAATAATAATTTATTTATACCCCGCCCATCTGGCTGAGTTTCCCCAGCCACTCTGGGCGGCTTCCAATCGAGTGTTAAAAACAATACAGCATTAAATATTAAAAACTTCCCTAAACAGGGCTGCCTTCAGATGTCTTTTAAAGATAAGATAGCTGCTTATTTCCTTCACATCTTAAATAAATACTGTTACCTTGCTCAGCATTTTGAAATGTTATGAAAAATACAATTCAGTATCTCTGAAATAAATTATTCTTCATGATGTACTAAATGCAAAGTATATTTGGGCAAAGCCACGCATTACAATGGAAACACAAGATTGGGTCCATATTTTTCAGCACTGAAACTCCACTAACAAGACATTTCAGCTGCTAGAGGGTGGGTTATTTTTGCTGATACTCTCTTCTACCTATATCCTCCTGAGCCCCTAAAATCTGCTTGGGTGGACTGGGGACCCTATAGAATAGTGTAGGAAATGGCTGGGGAGAGGATGGCTTCAAGGGGAAAACAGCCAAAAAATGAGTTTCACCCACCCCTTTCTTCAGCAGAAGCCTCTACAGTGGTACTTCAGGTTAAGTACTTAATTCGTTCCGGAGGTCCGTTTTTAACCTGAAACTGTTCTTAACCTGAAGCACCACTTTAGCTAATGGGGCCTCCTGCTGCTGCCGTGCCGCCGGAGCACGATTTCTGTTCTCATCCTGAAGCAAAGTTCTTAACCCAAGGTACTATTTCTGGGTTAGCCAAGTCTGTAACCTGAAGCGTATGTAACCTGAGGTACCACTGTACTGTGTTCTCCTCAGAATACCACGGTGGAGTAAGGTTATCATATTGTTATGACTTAATCGTAGCAGATGCACATTTAATATGGCTTGAGTAGCTTGTCTTTAGAGGCCCCAGTTCTTAGGCAAGCCACATCCTTAAATAATATAAAAAAATTTCAAAAGTAAGTTTACATACGCAGTAGATGAAAGATTCCATCACAGGCGCTAATGTGTGACAAAAAGGCATTTCCTAGTCCCTGTCCAGCATGGGCTCCTTTCACAAGGCCAGCAATATCCACTACATTCAGAAAGGCTGGAATTTTGCTGAAAGATAATTTAAGATTTTTGTAATTAGAAACATAGTTCAATATTACCACATATCTGCAAGTATCTTCAGAGCACACACACCCAGAAAAATCTATGCTGGGCTGGGGAACATGTGACCCTCCCGTTGTTGATGGACTAATAATAATAATTTTATTATTTATACCCCACCCAACTGGCTGGGTTTCCCGAGCCACTCTGGGCTGCAAAACCACAGAAAAACACCAACCATTAAAAACTTCCCTATACATCATATAGTCCTATATATCCTCCATCTATATCCTCCATCATCCCTGGTTACTGATCATGCCAGCTAGGGCTGATCCAAGCTGGAGTCCAGAAATACCCGGAGGGCCACAAATTAGCCACCCACCCTGCACTCTGAACACCTACATGCAGTTTTAAGTGAACAGCTGAAACTAGTAATAAAGAAAACATACACCCCTTGTAACTTCAATATTTGCTGTTGTAGACTTTTCAATTTGCAGATCCTGAAGTTGTGGAAAGGACTCTTTAAGAATTGAGGCCTACCACATGCATACTTGTGGCCAAAATTGTGGAAACCTTTAGAAAAAGTTGCATTTCTAAGGTCTGTTGGCTCATAACATCCATCTTTTTTATAATAATACTATAAAATTTTTGTATCATTAGAAAGAAATTTTAATGCAGAATATAATGCAACAAACTCTGTCAAATTATCTTTATTCTATTAAAAGTTATAGTCAAATAATCAGAAAAAGAAAGCACAACTGCCTTATGTAATATGAAGGGGATTTCTTTAACTAAAAATTGACCAATGACAAACAGAGTGAAAAGAGTTGACTAGTCACCTAGAAAGCGATGTAGTAGCCCTGACCTGAATCCAAAAGAAAATCTGTAGAGCCGATTAAAGAAACCTGTCAGTCAGAAGCAAGCAAGGAATAGAGCACAATTGATAGAAGCAATCATACAATCTTGGTTACACGTTATAACACCTGATGAACTAAAATCTTTGGTTCACTCAATGGGATGCCGTTGTAGGGCTGTAACTGCAGCAAAAGGTTTCCACACTAAGTACTAACAGAAATGGTGAAAAGTTATGAGATACCCTTTATCATGGTTTTCTGTGTATAACTTATTTCATTTGGCTATAACTTTCACTAGAATAAAGATAATTCAACAGTTTATTGCATTATATTATGCATTAAATTATATTTCTAATGATAGATAATTTTATGGCACTATTCTAAAAATGACTGCTGTCAAAGCTCAGAAATATATATTTTCAAAAAGGTTTCCACAATTCTGGCCACTAGTGGACGTTCAACCCTTGTCCTTCCTGGCAAATAAGATATAAGAAATAAATAATAATAATAACTATTATTATTATTTGCAGCAGCTACTAAAATAATGGAAGTGGTCAATGCCTCTCAAGAAGAGGGAAATTTTCCACTGGGCCTAAAGAGGTGGTGGTAAGGCCTTTATTTTTAAAAAGCCACTTATAGGGAGTATATGACTCCTAGATTACAAATCCTAGATTACAACTCCCTCCCAAGGTACATATGTTTAACCCCTTTGAGGCTGGCTATTGAACAAGCTTTTAAAACCTATTTATTCTGAGCTACTTTGTGCTAATCATTTTAGGGTTTTATATTATTGCTAGTTTCAAACTAATAGTTTGAATGTTTTAATCATTTAACTTTGATTGTATTATATTGGAATTATCCTTTCTATGTAAGCCACCCTAAAAAGGCCTTCCCAGTCTTTGAAACTTCCTACTGCCTTCCACCAGCAAGGATAAATCTTATTCTAATGGAACTTAAATAGCCGCTCCCTAACATAGGTTGCCTGGCCAACTTACAAAACAAATACAAAACTTACAAAACAAAAACTTATAATACATTAAAAATGATTTTAAACTAAAAGCACAATTAAGATTTTGAATATAAGATAATCAGATAATAATATGTTAAGTTGTTGTGTGTGGTTTTTAAACTCTTCCTTCAGTTCCAAAAAGACTACAAAGGTGCCATCAAGCAAACCTGTATGAGAAAACTTTCCATAATTGGGCTACTACCAAAGAGGTCTCTCCCTGGTGATTACCTGCCGCATCTTGGATGGCACTTAGACAAGGGTTTCTGAGGAAGATGTTAAGCTTCAAATAGGTATATATAGGAAAAACCAATTATTTCAGGTAACCTTGCTCCACGCCATTTAAAGCTTTAAAACAAGAGTGCATAACCTGTGGTCCTCCAGATGTAACTGGACTACAGCTCCCACTCAGCATGGCAACAAGATCTGGATGGCCTTCAGGTTAGCAACCCTTGCTTTAAAGCTTAAAACCAGCACTTTATATATAGAATTGATTTTAATCAGACTTCTATTTGGCAAACATTCATTTCCTAAAGAAAAGTACAAGATAAGTAGTTCATATAAATATTTAATATTGCTGTCATATAGCTAAACCATGCACTATATCTAACATGTTTTGCAACACAATAGCAATAACCCAAGTACTTACAGGTTAATAAAAATCTGAATTATATTTCTAATGCCATTTTGATAAGTATTAACTTAAATCATAAATAGTTATGATTTAGTTTGCCTTTAGGGTGGGACAACTTAAAAAAAGGATAGAAAAATCCTCCTGAAGAAAGGGGCATTTTGAGTATGTTAAGCTCCTGGGCTTAATAGCATGATCATGAAATCTTCAAGGTAATACCTAAATGGTTATTTAAAGTCAGAAATTTTAGCTCATGACTTAAGTATTAGGGTGGGGAATGTTTTTCAGGCAGGAGCCACAGTGCCTCACAGAATCATAGAACTGTAGAACTGAAAGGGACCACCAGGGTCATGTAGTTCAACCCTGCAAAGCAGGAAACTTTTGCCCAATATGGGGCTCGAATCCACAACCCGGAGATTTAAGAGTCTCATACTCTACCAACTGAGCTATCATGCCTTAACAGTGGGCAGGACCAGAGACACAAAAAAAGGGGGAGTGAACTCTTGTCTTTGTACAGTAGATCAGATTTGGGTTTTTTATTGTTTGTTTAATATTTTAGGGCCATACACCTAAAACAAATAATTTCCAAACACATGTACTTTTCTTTATCTTTTTGTAGTTGGTTACTTGTATATTTTTTCTTTTATTTTTTATTAAATAAATTTTATTTTTATTTTATTTTTTATTAAATAAAATTTAATAATAAAAATTTTTTAAAAAATAATTTCCAAACACATCATACCATGCAGACAATTTCCAAACACATCACATCATGCAGACAAGCAAGACACATTATCACAATTCAAATACACAGCACAGCAGAAGCACTCAAGGAAGACACACAGCAGAGCCAGTGAGGCATCCCAAGAGCCAGATAGAGAGTATTGAAGAGCCAAATTTGACTCCCAGGCCTGACATTCCCCACACTTATGTTAAAGAGTCTTAGTTCACAAAGGAGACATCAGACAATACTTCACATACTATATATTCTTGTATAAACTTTGGAATGCATTCTTACCCACAACCAAAACAAAAACTGAAAACACACCAAAATGTTTAGACACCAAAAAAAGTTATCTATGTATGATTATAAAAACTGGAATTTCTTGTTCTTTACTAATGATCTTCAACTAAAAGAACGTCCTTTGGAAAAATTGGGTATTTACTAAATCTTTACAGACATTATATTCACGTTAGCATGCCTTAACTCCATTAAAGCTTGGGATATACAACAAACTAACTTCTTACTAACAAAAATGATTTAACAGACTATCAGATTAAAAGAGCCAGGAGCTCAACATAGCTTTTTTAAACAATACAATTGTGAAGCCTGTTTACTCAGAAGCAAGTCCCACCAACTGCAGAAGAACTTCCCCCTGCAAAGCATCCTAAGAATAATGGCTTAAGTTCTCTACAGTCAACACCAAAGAGAGCCCAGAAAATAATGCTACACTATACAGAATGGTGATAGAAGGATATAGGTCACAAGCAGAGGACTCTACAAGAATTAGTTCCATGGGAGAGAAGTTAGTTTGATCCCAGAAGGCCCATCAGCTCATATAACAGCAGTGGGAAAGTAGTGGGAATTGATGCTCCAAATATCAGGGGCAAATGAAATTAGAAGTTGGAAAGAATTTAGTTTTAGTGTTTAAAACTAAAGGAATAATTTGTGGTTTTAATTTCTTGGTTCACTGTTCACTCTGCCTTAGATATAGGGGTATGAAGAAAATAGGCAATAGTGAAGCTTTTTATGTGATCTACTTTAAAGGCAGACATCTAAGCAGCCACTTGTATGTGGTAAATACGAATAATATCCAGGTAAGGAGAATTTTGTAGATGGAAACACAATCTTTCCCCCCCCTCTTTTCAGATGTTCATGTGCCACAATGGCTTTCACATGTATGAACAAGCAGGCTAATAAGAAAGTTCAGGCATGTTGACTTGCTTGCAAGATTATTTCAAGTTGCCTGAAGAATTCCTATTTTCAAACTATGAGGTCCTCTCACTAGATTATTGTTCAAAAGCAATCCTTTTTTAAAAAACCAAACAACACAACTTCAAAACACTTAAATACTTAAAAATGGATTTTGCGAAAATATTGCTTATTGAGAAGCTTATTTCTTTACATAGAAACAACCAACTGATAACATGTGTGGTACTAACCTTGGAGGCTTGTGGTACTGGCAAAGGAAATCAAATCTTTCATCTGGTACAGGTACTCTGCTCTCATTTGGATCAATAGTGCAGAAAGGAAAGTTCTCTGCTGCAGCTTGACTCTTGGTTAATACATTGAAAAAGGTAGATTTCCTTTAAGAAAAGAAAATGTTGCAATATTTGAGATCAGCTTCCCAATAATACCATATGTGCAACATTATATAGTGTACATTTGTGTTGGACGCTGGGCACCGCCGTGTTCTTTTATACTTTTAATGCCGCCTATACATTATTTTTGCATTATTTTTGCACAGACAGCAAGGGAAACATCTAAGTCTTTCCAGGTTTCCACTGGAATCCCTCCAAAGTTGTTTTATCTGTAGCTCAGCAATTCTTTAAAGTAACATTTCAACTTCTTACCCACTGTAATGACTTTCTAGATTTGGACAGCTCATGTTCAGGCTTTGGTTATCACATTAAGCGCCCTATTCAATCATACAGAAGCTCCATTTAGTCCAGCATCCTGCTTCCCTCAGCAATCCACCACATGCTTCTGAGAAGCCCACAAGCATGAAAACAATGCCCATCTGCCACTGTAACTTCCCAGTTATAGGGCCTCTTCCAAGTTTTCTTTCTTTCTGGGAAACAGTTATTCATGCTGAAACTTTTTTTTAAAAAAAAATAGAAATTGCTTTTGCTAAAACAATTCCAACATTTTGGTCTAATGCACCATTGTGGCATCTATGGCATAATCTGACAGAAGCTTAGGTAAAAGCAAAGTCAGCCTATTTACTCTGAACAAAACTGGCAGATCAGCAAAAACTTTTTCTACCAATGATGAGTGTGTTTTAGGTTACATTGGTTTCTAACTCAAAGCACTTATTTGAAGACCTGAAGTGCAATAATGTATCCGCAATACAATTTGTGACCACTATTTCATCAATATCTCATGACAGCATCTCTTATCACAGAAATCAGTGGCAAAATTCTTATGTATCTCCGTGTCTCTTGCATCTTAACCCATCATAATTCTATTTACAAACAACTTTAAACGCTGTCTCCACCTTCCAGTACTATTCCCAGTTTCAGCTATACTGCTCCATTTCCAAAACAGGCCTCCTTTCTGTTTGTGAACCACACCAACATATATTCCTATATTACTATTGCTACACCTCTCTCCACTACTATTCCCCAATATTTATCTGTCAGTTCTCGACTCAGACTTCACAAGCTCTAGAGAGAGGCCACAGCACCAATTCTTCAGAACATCTAGTACACTGTTGGAACTAAATACTGAAAGAGACAGACCCCCAAAAGAAAGATTGTTTCTATATAAACTGTGCCCCTTCTTTCTGCATAGTATAATTACCTTTATCGAGTTTAAATACCTAACTAAACAGAAAAAAGTTGACAGTCTGACAAGGTTCTTTACCTTCATCTCTCCACCCGCTGTATCCATACAGTCAGATGGGGGGTATAAATAATAAATTATTATTATTATTATTATTATTCTGCATGTATCAGCCATAAATAGGTTAGAAGCTGTCAGCTAATGTGCTTTCAGTGCAGCATTGCTTTTAATAGTAAATGTTTAAACTTCCTCACATCTTTAAACAATCCAAGGAAGCTGGTCTAACGAAAAGTGCCTATATGAAACAAAGACTTGTGTTCTTTTACACATATTTCCAATAAATAATAACTATTCCTTTCCAGATAATTTACAGACAAAATAACATCACAATAAAAATCAACGGTTGGATAATTAAGGTTAAAATGTTTGTAGAGAAAATTCAATTATTTATAAAGGTATTTCCATTCATTAAAATAATTTCATTTCTTATCAGTTATCTATCAATCTATTTATTAAGCCCAGTTCAGTAAAATATATCTTTTTTCAAACAGCAACTCAAAACACCTTTTGTTCAAAAATGATCTAATTTAAGTAAAACATAAGCATGAACTTATAAGCATAAATGCTAATCTCAACCAATATTTCACAGTGTTCATACTGCAGCATAACACTAATTTATTCAGGAGGGCCTACTATCTTTAGGATGACTAAGCAAAGTTTATCCCCCTTGAATCACCTACCCAACATTTGGCAAGCCAACAATGCCAATTTTCAGGGTTGTCCCGAATCTTCCAACGATTGGATGTGGCTTGAGTCCATCACCTCCCTTTTTGGGGGGCATCTGAAATGAAAAACAGAAGCCACTTAAATCCCAAACTCCCTTGCTTACCTCCAGGACTCCCAAGGCAACATGCGTTCTGATACATAAACCGAGGTGAACATGTCAGCTTTCTAAAACATGCCCAATACCTTTTTGGGAGCCATGGCGAGAATGTCCTCTGGGATGCCCAAGGGCCAGCCACCAGCCAGGCACAACAGGGCTGCGCATGGCACCCTTCGTGCAACCACAAATCCCAAGCCAGCTGGACTGGGCTGCTGCTGCTGCAGCAGCTTCTGCAAAGTCCCTAAGAAATGCCGTGCTAAAAATAACCGGCTCGGATCCCAAAGGACGGATTGAAATTCAGCACCCGCTACGGCTCCACCTGACGTGCTCGGCTCTGAGTGGCAGCCGCGGAGGCTTCCCCGGGCAGTCAAACGAGCTGGCGGGAGGGCTGAGCGGAGGGAGCAGCACACCGGCCGGGCGAGCAGCACAACTTGGCGGCTCGCGAGGAGAGCAGGATCCTACAGCAAAAACCCCGGAGCCGAGCGAGCCAACACCGCCCGCTTCCCTGCCAGCACCGCGCCTGCGCGCACGCGGAGAAAGGGCTCGGCTTACCGGCTGCCCTACCTCACGGCCTCGGGCGGCCGAAAACAGCGAGCGGCCCATTTACCTTAAGCCACCCCGCCGCCTCACGAACCGGGCATGGGGAGCACCTTCGCTTTCCTCCCCACCCCGTCACAACCAGTAAGGCATGCGGCCCAGCCCACCCCACCTCAGGCGGCTCGGCCACGGCCCCCAAACCACAGCGGGCTGGCAGGTGGCGGTGGGCAAGTGAAGCCCGGCGCAGCCTCAGAGGGTCGCTTCCCAGCCACGCAACGCACCGACGGGCAGCAGCAGGCCTCTCTCTCTCTTTCCAGCAAGCCCGGCCCGCGTGGCAGCCGCCGCCGCCACAACTGAGGCGGGAAAAGCCGAGCTGGGCCTCCTCCTCCTCCGAGCCGCCGCCTCGTCCGCCGCCTGAGAGGCACGCGGCGAAGAATGAAACGCGGACACCCCACCCCCCACCCCTCACGAAAGCCGCGCGGGCCCAGCTGAGCGTCTTCACCGTTGCCTGTGAGGGGGGAGGGAGGGACGGTTGGGACTCTCGCTCGCGCTCTCCCCCACCGCGAGAAGACCCCTCGCGCGTGCCGACACGCTGCCTGTCGCCCGACTCAGCCAGCCGGCGGAACAGGCGGGACTGCCAGCTTCCCTATTGGGCGGGGACTCGGCCCGAGGGCAAAGGTCACGCAGGGGAAGCGGAGGGACGCAGGAGGGGTGGGGGTGTGCGTGCGTGCGTGTGTGTGTTGAAGGACTGGGTTGCCTGAGTATACCTGCGCGAGGAGGAAGGAAGGAAGGAAGGGCGGGTCTCGCGAGGGGTGGGGGCGGGAGGGGGCAGGGAAAGGTGGCGACGCCGATGCCGCCTCTTACTTCCGGGTTCCGGGATGCCAGACCTGGAAAGACGCAAAAGGAGATGGAGATTCCCGTCTCTGGACGTGGCTCAAAGACTCTCATCGCTTATCTGCTGCTGCTTCCTGATGTGCCACCTCCTCCCGACTCTTGCGCGTGGTTCCTCAGGGGTTTTGCCTGCCTGCCTGCCTGGAATGGAAACTGCATCAGCCGGTGTTCCCAAACTTGGGTCTCTCCAGCTTCTTCTTCTTCTTCTTCTTCTTCTTCTTCTTTACTGCAGTTCACATCATCCCCGACCACTGGTCCTGCTAGCTAGGGATGGTGGGAGTTGTAGTCCCACAACAGCTGGAGACCCAAGTTTGGGGAAACCCATCTGTACAGCAAGAGGACCTCAGAGGTCACAAAGGCTTCAGTCCTAAACCCTGGGGAAATGACCCCTATTGAAATCAATAGGACTTGCTTCTGAGTAAATGTGCTAAGCCTTGTGCAACTCTCGATTTCATTGGGAGGCGGAATAATTCAGTGGGGCTTGCTCCTAGAAAAGTGTGCATGAGACCGCTGCTGAAGTTTCCCCAAGTATGGGAAACATAAAGTTATCTTTTTTGAAATCCTTAGAAGTTACGTATTGTCAGAGATTTATAGGTGCTATAATTTAATTAAGGTTAGGGGTTGTCAGGGCTAATTTCCTCAGTGGAAAAAGCCAGGCTCGTGTGTATTAGGGCGTAGTAGTAAGGGGTGTGGTGAACCCACTGATAAGTAAGCATACTTCCTGGGTTGTGAATTAGACATTGTAATCCGAGCCAAATCAACAAGTGTTAAGAGGTCAGGCAAACCTTTGTGAGGTGACCACCTGGGGGAACAGGATTGTCGTCAGTTGCCAATCCTGGTGGAGCCAAGGCTATGAAGTCCTGTGCATGTTTACATGGAAGTTAGACCTGCTGAATTCAATTGAGTTTAGTCCTGAGTGAATGTATACAGTACAGGATTGCACCTTGCCAAACAGAGCTTCTATAACGATGAATCTCCATAACTAAGGATGCTTGTGGCCCTGGTTTCTTCCTGACTTGAGTAAACACCAGTTCCATCCCAGTATGGGTTTCTTTTTGTCACTTTTTTTTTTATGACTGCCATTTCAACTACACCAGGAGCAGAAGACGAAGACTGTTTTCCCCATATGTGCTTTGTACAATAATCTGTTCTGAAAATAACAAGCCCAAGTGCTGGTCATTTGACATGTAGAAATGACAGCCGAAGCACCGAATACCTCACTTCATTGTCACTCTCTAGCCAACATCAGCAATTTAAAACATTCTGCACAAATGGAAAGAAAACAAGTTACTGTGTCATTTGGAATGACAGGAAGTTCCCTAGGTTACATCTCGTTTATTTTCTTTGAGAACTAATTAGATTTAAGCCATGGGTGTTGAACATAAGGCCCTGTTGCTTTATCCAGCCCCGTTTCTGATGTGTGGCCTCTGCCTCCTCTACTGCACTCCACACAACTGCTATCACTTTCAGGGCAAAGGAGCCAATGCTCTTAGTAGGGCAAAGTGCTTACCAATAACTACAGTGGTGCCCCGCAAGACGAATGCCTTGTAAGACGAAAAACTCGCTAGACGAAAGTGTTTTGCGTTTTTTGAGCTGCTTCGCAAGACGAATTTCCTTATGGGCTTGCTTCGCAAGACGAAAACGTCTTGCAAGTTTGTTTCCTTTTTCGTAAAACCGTTAATACCCGGGATGCATTGCTTGAAGAGGTGCAGTTGCGACTTGACTTCGAGGAGCAACTCATAGCACGCGGTGTGGTAGCCTTTTTTGAGGTTTTTGAAGACTTTGCTGATTTTTGAAGCTTTACCAAAACTTCTTTTGCAGCCATTTGGTAAGTTAAACTTTTAAAACTTTTTTGGGGTTTTTTGGATTTTGGGTTGGGGTGTTTGGAATTCAAGGACTTGGTGTTGGGGAGGGGTTTGCAAGAATCTGGAAGCTTGTGTGGTTTTTTTTTTAATTTTTATGATTTTCTGTGACCATTGGGCCATGTTGTGTTTTTTTTAAAAAAAATTCTGCATTTGAATTTCTGTGTGGTGGGTGGCTGGGGGAACAGTTGAGGAGGGGTTTGCAAGAATCTGGGAGCTTGTGTGGGGTTTTTTTTGAATTTTTATGATTTTCTGTGACCATTGGGCCATGTTTTTTTTTAAAAAAAATGTTTTTCTGTCATGTTTAGAAACTTAATTTATTGTTCCTTCAATTTTTGAAATGCTCTTTACAGTATGTGTGACTTCAAAGAGCACTTAATAAACTCTTGTTGTACCAAATTTGGCTTTGTTTGGACTTTTTTTGACCATAGGAACGCATTAATTGAATTTCAATGCATTCCTATGGGATTTCGTGCTTCGCAAGACGAAAAATTCGCTAGACGAAAAAACTCGCAGAACGAATTAATTTCGTCTTGCGAGGCACCACTGTACTAATACATCAGCCTTGGCCCGTTCCTCTAAAATTTGCTGTATGGAGTGACGGGGCAGAAATAAGTGTATAGTATACTGTGAATTTGTTCTAATCTGTAGCCAAATTAAGACAGTCCACACCTGAGTTCTTCCTTTATCTCCCCCCACCCCCCAGCTTTTCATTGCCATCTGCCCTTCCTTTCCACACAAGTTGCCACGTCAAACTGTTGCATTTAAGTCCTTTCCCCATTTCAAGCAGCAAATGCCAAGCAGGTCAACATTCTTTTCACAGGATGTGGGCAGATATTAGCAAGTAGATTCTACCTATACATCATTTTTTTTAAAGCATTTCTTCCTCCTTGCCCTCACTATTGAGTGCCTCTGCCTCTCTGCAGTGCTGGACATCAGCTGGTGCGACTCATATTTTTGTTGTTTTTAATTCAAATTTAAACTGAATCAGTGTTTTGCTGAAGAACCATATAGTCCCACTGCTGCATACTCACAATAGCCTTACCATGTCACGTACAGGCCTAGTTTGCACAGCAGCGTAAGCCAAACTTACTTACTGGAAACACACAAACATGCAGGCCCCTGGAGAGAAGCACATAGTTGCTCTGGTTTCCCCTGGAGTTTTTTTACTGCTGCACTGCACTGTGCTAAGCCAAGGTTTGTTCTTGGCTACAAGCTCATGATTAGTGAACAGAAAGCTTAACCATGAGTTCTGGTTTGGATGACATCCTAAGCCAAACCTTGGTTTAGCTCAGCTTGCACAGAGCAGCATCTGTGAGCTGCTTTCCAGGATCATTGGTCCATCCATCTCAGCACTACAGTGGTACCTCGGGTTAAGTACTTAATTCGTTCCGGAGGGCCGTTCTTAACCTGAAACTGTTCTTAACCTAAAGCACCACTTTAGCTAATGGGGCCTCCAGCTACTGCCGTGCCGCCGGAGCACGATTTCTGTTCTCATCCTGAAGCAAAGTTCTTAACCCGAGGTACTATTTCTGGGTTAGTGGAGTCTGTAACCTGAAGCGTATGTATCCTGAAGCATATGTAGCCCCAGGTAACACTGTATCTTCTTACTGATTGGTAACAGCTCTTCAAGATCACCAGCTTTTTCCTGGTCTGCTACTAGAGATAATTTTAACTGAAGATGCTTACAACCATGCAAGACATGTACAGTGGTACCTCTGGTTACAGACGCTTCAGGTTACAGACCCCGCTGACCCAGAAATAGTACCTCGGGTTAAGAACTTTGCTTCAGGATGAGAACAGAAATTGCACGGCGGCAGCGGGAGGCCCCATTAGCTAAAGTGGTACCTCAGGTTAAGAACAGTTTCAGGTTAAGAACGGACCTCCAGAACGAATTAAGTTCTTAACCTGAGGTACCACTGTACTCTACCTCTGAGCTTTAATCCATCCCCAATTACATGTTTCCAGACCTAACTGACCTATTAACAGGTGGCAACCATTCTAGGCGCATCAAATTGATGCAAAATCACTGATGTGTGGGTCCTTTTGGACCAGGAATAGGATAGAATAGGAGTGTAATGGACAGGGCGCACTTATGCACGCTCTGCCTACACAAACGGGGGCAGGAATAACACTTGCAATGGCCATTGCCTGTATACACCAGTGCTTTTTTCTGAGGGGATGCAGGGGTACGCATACCCATAAACATTTTGTGAACCTAATGGGAGAAGAAACTAATTTTTAAAAAATTTAATTAATAGTTTTTTCTCTAGCACAGTGAATCGTCAGTTCCGTTGCTACCTCCGATGGCGGCCTCATTTCCTGTCATGGTGTTTCCTGAGTCTCAGACGGAAGCGAGCGTTTAATGTGTGAAGTAGGAGTTGGAATCTAGCACGGTGATTGGTCAGTTTCGTTGCCACCACCTCCGATGGCGGCTTCATTTCCTTTCCCGGCGATTTTCTTGAGTCAAAATGAGAGTACCCCTAAACATTTTTTAAGAAAAAAAGCACATGTTAACCAAAACTAACATTGTTCCATGTACAGCCTGAGCCTCTGCATATTTACTCAGAAGTAAATTGCCCTGAGTTCAACAGAGCTTCCTCTCAAATCACCATGCAGATGATTACAGAGCTAGGCTTATGAAAATTACGAAATGATTAGCACAAATGAAAACAATACCTCTTAAGAGTCACTTCAAAGTCACCACCACAGTCACTTCTTCGCATGTCCTTAGTACAGTGGTGCCTCGCAAGACGAAATTAATCCGTTCCGCGAGTGTCTTCGTCTAGCGGTTTTTTCGTCTTGCGAAGCAACCCTATTAGCGGCTTAACGGATTAGCGCTGTTAGCGGTTTAGCGGCTATTAAAGGCTTAAAGGCTTAGCGGATTAGCTGCTAAAAGGCTATTAGCGGTTTAGCGGCTTAGATAAAGGGGGGGGGAAAGCGAAAAAAAAATCTCAAGACTCGCAAGACATTTTCGTCTTGCGAAGCAAGCCCATATGGAAATTCGTCCTGCGAAGCGCATCGAAAAACAGAAAACCCTTTCGTCTAGCGGGTTTTCCGTCTTGCGAGGCATTCGTCTTGCGGGGCACCACTGTAATTGCCAAATTATCTGCCAGCAATTCACAAGTAATCCCAAGAAAGCAGTTATCGCCGGAAACAAATCTGAAGAAATACCAGCTAGATCGAGGCAACAGGATCTTGCCATGTTGCTCAAAGGCGCAATTTGCTGTCTAGCCCACTTCCAATACTAGCCAAGTGAAACTTCTCCAAGTTGTGAGGAATTAGTACGTTTTATTCCAAAATGCCTTCTTTTTCTTGACAGATTTGACCAGACAGCCCCTTGCAGCCAACTGCTAGTGCAACTTGTTCTTCCCCCAACCGCTAGTCAGCTGAAAGCATGGGCATAGCCAAGGCCGGGCAGGTAGGGGCAGCTCCTCCCCTTCAAGTAAAACAATAGGACTACTTAGCTAACTGACTAATCGCTTCTGTTCTGCCCCCCCTAACAAAAGACCTGCCCCCTGCTAACAAAAATCCTGGCTACGCTCGTGGTTGAAATCCCAACTGTCAAAACTTCCACAGAATAGAATCTATGCAAATAAGCCTGTTGGAGAACAATTGGTGGAAATCTACTTCCATTGGCTTATTCAATAAGCACAAGCTGTGATCTGACTGCATATGTCCATCCATCTTGCATGGCCTCTGCCATGAATGGTGGTGACGAGTGCTTGGGATCTAGATTTTGATGAATTTCCTTAAAAATAGCTCCAAAACTACTACTACTACTTCTTCTTCTTCTTCTTCTAGAAACAGCTCAACAACTTTTGTGTCCGGATTTTCACTTTTTGAAATATGGCAACCCTATTACATACAGTCTTCCGCCCGGAGGCTGGGAATGCTTCACTCAGTTTCAGGAAGCTGTTTTCCCTGCCTCCCCATGGTACAGAATGCTGACTTGTATGTAGAAACCTGTTTTGTGCAAGATATTGGACTATGCAGAACTGGCAAAACTTAACAGCAAGATTAAGAGAATCTAACAATGAGTGTTTTATGGAAGAATGGATGCCTTTTTCGGATTACTTAAAGAAACACTATCGTATGATGAACACGTGAGCAGGATTTGAGCTATGAGCAACAGAAGTAATTAGATTATAATATTGTGGTTATGTCTTAATTGATAGAAGATAGGGTGCAGCAGAAAGGGAGAAACAGCAGCTCCATGGAAAACGGGGTTGGGAAGTCAAAAAGAAAGAAAGAATAAAGGCGTAATTGTGTTTTGATTGTATGTGCTCAAAATGTTGAAACTTAATAAAATATGATTGTGTGATGCCTGCTCTTAAACCTGCTTTATTTATGCAGAGTAACAGGACTAATTCATATACAGTGGTACCTCGGGTTAAGTATTTAATTTGTTCCGGAGGTCCGTTCTTAACCTGAAACCGTTCTTAACCGGAGGTACCACTTTAGCTAATGGGGCCTCCCGCTGCCGCCACGCGATTTCTGTTCTCATCCTGAAGCAAAGTTCTTAACCTGAGGTACTATTTCTGGGTTAGCGGAGTCTGTAACCTGAAGCGTCTGTAACCTGAGGTACCACTGTATTTTGCTGTGTTGGTCCAAAGTAACTCAGACCTGATAAGCTGATAAAAGGGTGAAATTGTTATGTTTCCAATAGTCTTTTCGGTAGCAGACTGAGTGGCACTCTGTGCTACACTAAAACTTGGTGTTCCCCCATCTCTCGCGCTCCGTTCTTTGGCATTGTTTTGGTGCCCCCCTACTGTGTGGCGCCCAGTGCGATCTCACCAGTTGTGCTACCCTAAAACCACCTCTCATCTTTTCTCTTACTCTATCAAGTTAAGTGACAGGTAGAATCATAAAACCATCGAGCTGGAAGGGACCCTGAGGATCATCTAGTCCAACCCCCTGCAATGCAGAAATATGCAGCTGTCCCTCACGGGGATCGAACCTGCGACCTTTGTGTTATCAGCACCATGCTCTAAGCAGACACAGCTGCCACTCATCAGAGAAGCTGCAGACAAAATAAACATTTTGGGTCTTCATAATCTTCAGAATAAAGGGATAGTGCGTATTTTCCCCACCCAGTGCTTGTTAAGTCAGCATTTTCTCTGTCACAGGGCCCAGTTACAACGTGCCAAAAGATCCTTGTCTGTTCGGAACAGCAATAGGTCAGAGAAACAAATCCTCAAAGGCATTTTTTTAAAAAAGAGATAATAGCAAAATGCATTTCTGCATCTCGGGGAAGATTCAAGCCGGGAACGAATGGCAGAGGAAAGTTAATACGAAGCACTAAGCATGTGGAAATGTCTAACAACCTCGAAGGGTGAAATGAAGCGTAGAAATGGGATGGGGGGGGACAACATTCAAGGACAAAGTGGTTGACAGAAAGAAAAGGCTGGTGGGAAACCGATCTGAACAGATAATAAATTCCCACAGTTGCGTAACGCTTGCTTCAACACATAGGGTGACAAGCTCAGCCGCCAGTTTCTCGCCATTATGAAACTTCTTTTCTGGAAAAGCTGATCTTTTCTCAGTTGTTCCAAGTGTTCAGATGTCCTGACCTGGCTGGGGAAACATTCTTCTCAACTTTAAAGTGTTGTATAATTGGGTGTTTAAGAAAATTGGGTGCTAAGATAACAAATGAGCTTGCCGGAATCTGCCTGTATGTTAACAGACTCTTCTGAGCCCCCCCTCTTTGGATCCTTACCCCCACTTTAGAGGCTCAATGGTAGTGACCAAATAGGTTCAATTTGTGGGTGCAAACCATGAAACTCCCTAGCCATGGAGGCTTCCTCTGTGCCTACTTTTTTATTGGCCCCAGGTGAAGATTAAAAAAAAACACTTTAGGCCTTTTAATAATCTGAATATGGTTTTAACCTTTGCTGGCATTTGTTCTGTTTTAATGCTCTGCTGTTTTAATATAGTTTGACTGTTTCCACCTTCTTATTGTGATTTATTTGTCGATGTCGTAAGCTGCTCTGAAAATGGAAAAACGGAGGGGGCAGAAAATAGTGAGTAAATAAGTAAACAAACAAATGGTTCAAAAGAGGAACAAATAAATTCAGACAAAGTTATTTAGAAAAATTATAACCACGCCAGGCAATATCCCAAGTATGTATATAATAAGCTGGCCTTAGTAACCACTCTTGTGTTTTGTTATGAATACTGCTTAGTAGCAATTATCACTGTATGAAGTTTTGCCTTGGAAACAATGCTAATGTCTTAATGGATGTAATCTTAAAACACCTTGGAAATCACATAACTGGGATTTCAAAACCTCTAAGTTTGGACAAAGATAAGGAATTCTTAGGAGAACTGGAAGTGATCTAACAAACGATTTACTTTCCATGGCACACACAAGTTTTTATTTTGTCTCATGGGACTCAGCTACATTAGTCAAAAGACAGTGTTTTGAATGCGTTATAAGCATGCAACACCAGATGGTGCTGGAGAGCAAAAAAAAAAAATCTAACCAATTTTCCATAGAGTTTTTTTTTTTAAAAATGTGATAATGATTTAATTTCTGATTTATTTATAGTGGGGGGTTTTCCTGTGTGTAGATCCACCCCTGGTTACATCTAGTCATACAGATTTTGTTGGTGTCATTGGGTGCAATTAGATGTGCGGGTGACGCACACCAACCTGGGTCTTGCTTACTGGAAGGACCTATCAGGAGTGAACACAGACCGCTGGTACCAAAATTTATGTGAAGCTGTCCTACTAGAGAAGTCAACCAACAAACTGAAACTAGCACGGGGACAAGCAAAGGAGGATGCCTTCACCCTGGTATGGCTCCCTTTCATCACATACACAGCACAACAGAACAATGACCTATTCCCCTGCAACAGCATGCAAATCAATATGACTAACCTGACCCAACAACCTACCCCACCACACACAAACAAGCCACACTGCAGTCAACTGAACACAGCCAGCCAAGCTCGGGACCCCTAACTTCTTGCACTATCAACAAAAATATAAAAATATAAAAAAATATAAAAATATAAAAACAAAGGACCTACTCCCACGTGATGCTGACACAAACCCCCTACACTGTGGCAACAGAACGAAAGAACAATACCCCATCTCTCTCTGCTCCCCCTCCCAATGCATGACAAAAGTGTCTCTCACTAAATGTAAACGGACTGCAAAAAAGACTACAAATCAAAAGTGGAGGCAATAGACGTTACCTTTCCCTCTTTATTTGTTTTGTAACAAACAAAAAAACTTTAATAGAAACTTTGTCGTTTAGTCGTGTCCGACTCTTCATGACCCCATGGACCAGAGCACGCCAGGCACTCCTGTCTTCCACTGCCTCCCGCAGCTTGGTCAAACTCATGCTGGTAGCTTCAAGAACACTGTCCAACCATCTCGTCCTCTGTCGTCCCCTTCTCCTTGTGCCCTCCATCTTTCCCAACATCAGGGTCTTTTCCAGGGAGTCTTCTCTTCTCATGAGGTGGCCAAAGTATTGGAGCCTCAGCTTCAGGATCTGTCTTCCAGTGAGCACTCAGGGCTGATTTCCTTCAGAATGGATCGGTTTGATCTTCTTGCAGTGCATGGGACTCTCAAGAGTCTCTTCCAGCACCATAATTCAAAAGCATCAATTCTTCGGCGATCAGCCTTCTTTATGGTCCAGCTCTCATTTCCATACATCACTACTGGGAAAACCATAGCTTTAACTATACGGGCCTTTGTTGGCAATAGAAACTAGGTTTTTTTAAAAAAAACCTGGGTCTTGCTGAATTCCTATAAAGAAGGGAGTGGGTGGGAGATTTAAATTCCAGTGCTGCTAGGGGCAGCAGGAGGAAGAAGCTAGATTTTCCCCCAGCACACATTGGCCTTTCAAGCTGGTTTTTGCCTGGGGGTTACTTCCAGTCACAGAAGCCTCCCACCAGGAGACAATTGGCCAGAAGAAGAAGAAGAAGAAGAATTTTAAGGGGGAAGCATAGGTGAAGCTGGGCCAGCCCTATCATTAGATAGCAGTTGCTTCAGACCCCAACTGAATTTTATTATTATTGTATCTTTACTTTATACCCTCCAACATTTCTCTGATGAAAATAGAGATGTCCTATTCCATTATTATTATTATTATTATTATTATTATTATTATTATTATCTTATTTATACCCGGGCAATCTGACTTCCAACACATATAAAAACGTAATAAAACTATACAGGGCTACCTTCAGAGACGTCTTCTAAAGGCTGTATAGTTGTTTATCTCCTTAGCTCAGGGCCACATAATTTCATACCCTCCAACATCTCTCCCATAAAAATAGGGACATCCTAAAGAAAAGTGGAACATTCTGGGATCAAATCAGAAACCAGGATGGCTTCTGTAAATCCAGGATTGTCCCTGGAAAATAGAGACACTTGGAGGATCTGGAAATATTGGAGGGTATTGCTCATGTTGCAGTTGCATGACTTCATCAATTCAATTTTGTTGTGATTCAACCACAGCCTAATCCTTACACAAATGGTTGCTGGCATTGCAGCTAGTTGCCTCTAAAATACAGAGGTGACTATAAACACCACAATCAGGGATTTCGCTTTTGGACTATATTCAGTTCTACGGGGTGAGTGTAGACTGTTTTCAATCCCAATCGTTTAAGGAAGCTGTCTCCTTTTTGACTTGGCTGTGTTTCTTTGCTGACCAGATATATATGACTATTCTCAATGTATCCTCAGAAATATATGCATATTTCAGCATTGTTAGAATATTTCTTTTTTTTTTAAGTGTTTGGTTTAACAAGAAAATGGCTCTAGTTTTGAGTCTCAGTTCATATGCCATGTCCTTCAGCAAATATGCCAAGTAAAATAAGCGTTCAGCAAGTAAACAACAATTCTTTCCACCTAAATAGGCCCTGTCAAAATACATGATGCTGTTATTTAGGACATCCGTCTATCTAGGCTTTTTCAGGGATTGTGATCTCCAAAAGCTTTTTGAGATGATTACTGCCTGTAAAGAAACTGTGAACAACAGCCTAGACACTTCTGGAAACAATAACTTAAATGAAAAGGAAATGTCAGGGCCAGTTTACCTAGAGAGAAAATATTGTGTGCCACCTTTTGAGAAATATACTTCCATGTTCCTTTGTTTTCTTTTTGGTTTGCGGCATCCCAGAAGCACAGCAGAAGAGTAAGTCACAAATCCTCAAAAGTTGGGCTAAACAGCAATGCTTTTCACCCGATTCAAAGAAAGGTTTATAACCCAAATGGCATTTGTAAAGTGGATGTGTCATGTACATATACGCAGGATATCAACATGATTTGATTTTGTATTTGATTTGATTTTGTATTTCTATGCCACTTTTCATTCAATCGAACCCCATAGTGGCTTATAAACTACAAGAAATAGCAGCATGATAAGGAGTCAGCAAACTTTTTGAGCAGGGGGCCGGTCCACTGTCCCTCAGACCTTGTAGGGGGCCGGACTATTTTTTGGGGTGGGGAGAATGAACGACTTCCTATGCCCCACAAATAACCCAGAGATGCATTTTAAATAAAAGCACACATTCTACTCATGTAAAAACACCAGGCAGGCCCCACAAATAACCCAGAGATGCATTTTAAATAAAAGGACACATTCTACTCATGGAAAAACACTCTGATTCCCGGACAGTCTGCAGGCCGGATTTAGAAGGCGATTGGGCCGGATCTGGCCCCCGGGCCTTAGTTTGCCTACCCATGTGATAAAACATCACAGTTACCAGCACAAGTTATATACAGTGGACGCTCGGGTTGCGAACGTGATCCGTGCGGAAGCATATTTGCAACCCGCAGCGTCCGCAACCCACAGCGCCACATCTGAGCACACTCGGGTTGCGATTCGGCGCTTCTGCGCATGCACAAGCACCAAAACCCGGAAGTACCCGTTCTGGTATTTCCGGGTTCAGCGCGGTGCACAACCCAAAATTGCACAACCCAAAGCGTCTGTAACCCGAGGTATGATATAATTAGCAAACACTAAAGCAATTTTAAGTAATATTTTTTTTTAAAGCAGCTAAAAATTAAGATAAACATTACATTCAAACGCACAAACACACACACACACACACACACACACACTAGCTTAAAAAACATGCACTCTGCTCATTTCATTAAAATACACAGCCAGCGAACATGGAGACCCTGATCCCATAAAAATAACTACAAAAAGAATCATACTATAATAAGCATCTAGTTTCTCACACACCAGTCATATAGATGTGTGTTCATAGAATCGGAAGGGACCCTGCGGATCATCTAGTTCCAGTCCGACCCCCTGCAATGCAGGAATATGCAGCTGTCACATGTGGGGATCAAACTTGCAACCTTGGCATTAGCAGTACAATGCTCTAACCAACTGAGCTGTCCAGGCCTTAATGCTTGCAGGCTTCTCACAGACAACTGGTCAGCCACTGTGAGACCAGGCTGCCGGACTAGATGAGCCACTAGCTGGAGCCAGCAGCCTCTTCTTATGGTTTTCTGCAGCCGCTCTTCTCCCACCCAGGTTGCTGTCCCCCAAACGCAAACTCTCACTCAGAGATTCGGATAAACTCCACACCCATTCGCTTGGGACTTTCACTCAGTGAGAGCACCACCGCTCAGCAAAGCCGGCACACAGATGAGGCGCAGGGAACTCGCCGCCTCAGGCGGAAGAAACACGAGAGGCGGCACCCCGCCTGCCCCACAGCTTCTGCAACCACCAGAACACTAAGCTCTTGCCAAGCTTTGGAAAGAATAGGCCAGTCCGCTGCTCCCATTTTGCCGCTGGTCTCCCCCCTCCCACCCCTTTGCCCCCTCATCGCCATCCCTCCTAGCAACAACCTGGCTCCCCTTATTAAACCTCGTATGGCCAACGGCATACAAACTTCATTCCCACAGCATGCATTCTTCCCGCAGCACAGGGTGTGTCCAGCTGCGCAACAAAATGAGCGCTGATCTGCACTGTGCAGTTTTCAAGGAATGTAGAGGTGTGAACCTGTATGTGCATAACCACAACACCGTATCAATGCAGTGGAGACAGGCAGCATCTGTGTTTAGATGCGTTCTTGGTTGCACATCACATTTAGGCATGCAGTTTGCAGTCCACCAAGAAGAAGAAGAAGAAGAGTTTGGATTTGATATCCTGCTTTATCACTACCCGAAGGAGTCTCAAAGTGGCTAACATTCTCCTTTCCCTTCCTCGCCCACAACAAACACTCTGTGAGGTGAGTGGGGCTGAGAGACTTCAGAGAAGTGTGACTGGCCCAAGGTCACCCAGCAGCTGCATGTGGAGGAGCGGGGAAGCGAACCCGGTTCACCAGATTATGAGTCTACCGCTCTTAACCACTGCACCACGCTGGCGTAGCAAAAGGCCACACACAAATCTCCTTAGCTGGATTGAACATTAGAGGGACTGGGGAAATTGGGGTGGGGTGGGGCGGGGCAGGGAATTAAAAAGGAAAAGATTCCCCCTTTTGTCTTTGCCCTGCTCTGCTTTTTTGAGGGTGGGAGATGAAAAAAGGAAAGGTAGGAGCATTTACAAAAGCCACAAACATTTTCCTTGAGTATGCGGATGTTAACATACATTGTGGAAAGATCTCCCTTGTGGAAGTCTAGCGTGACTATGGTGTATGGCACACTTTTTGTATTTTATCCTTTAGATCTATAAAAATGCACTCAGAAAATGGGCACGTCAGCATTCTGAACGTGTTCACAGTTTGTCAGAGCAGTAGCAGGAGGAGACATTACAGTTAATCTTTAGCGAGAAGATCTGGAAGTCTCTAGACACTGAATTCCTACCAGTCATCTCCAGCAGTGCCAGTTTTCGTTCTTCCGTTTTATCTATCCTCCAGACTGAGGTGTTTGTTTTCTTTTTGGTAGAAAGTTTATTCTTTCAAGGACATATTTGAACATGCGTGCACACACCATGCAACAGGGGTTTTCTCACTCGCCTCTAAAACCTTTATGCTATTATTTTTATTTAGTTTGAAATTCTCAAAAACCAAATGTCTTGCATTCCATGTATTCTGTAGTTTTCCCTACATACCTACTATTATTCCCCTGGATCACCAGCAAAGAGCATAGCCAGTTTCCTTCCTTCCCATTTTATTGATGTCATCCTCTATAAATATGTTAAATGGTACAGGGAACAGCAAGCACCCTTGACAGACCTCTTTACTAATTTTGGCTCTTTGTTCGATGTAATTTACTCTAAGAATAGCTGCCTGGGTTTTGTGTAAATTATGATTCTTCTATCCTCGTAATCTATTCCTGTTTTCAGCAACATGGTGAACGTTTTACTCCATCTGAGCTTATCAGTGCATAACTTCTGGGCACAAGGTGTCAAAAATCAGAAAGTATCCAGAGAGGAGGGAATAATTCTGCAGTTGTGGTTTTCCTATGCTTGCTTGTGAGTAAGTCCCGTTGAAGTCTGTAAGGCTTGCTCACAACATGCCTACAATCAGGCTGCACAGCTGCAGTACGTATTTGCTTTCTGAATAAACATATGTTTGGGCAGCACGGCTGAAATCTCAAGCAAATGTACTAGGACATAGGACACACAGAATTTAGAGATGAATGTCTAATTTGGTACCCACATGCTCAATGGATGAGGAATGCATGAGTTTTGGAAATGACAATTAACAGAATGGATATAAAAGGTGGTAGACAATAAATTAATAGATATTAGCTGTTTCCTTGACTTGAGATCTTCTTGTTTTTGGAATTGGGGAGGGGGGAACCATACTACTATAGTATTAGAAAATTATTATCTGATACAGTAGATAAAGAGACTTGTAAGGATATTAAAAAGAAACCCAAACCTGAGTTTTTGAGTGAACTATTAAAGAGAGACGCTGTCAAGCATTTGCCTGCTAAGAAAATTGAAGGACAGAAAGCTTATAAAAGCTGTTCTTATGGTATGTCCTAGTTTAAGACTATGAAATAAAATTCCCATAGAGATTCTTTGTAAAGTTGTCAAGGTTAGGATATAGCCACACAAAAATATGAAGAAACGTATTTGTGCCATTTCACATGAAAAGTCTCTTGATGCGTTGAGTTTTTATTTTATTTTAAATGGATAACACAATCTGACATCAGTGGCAGATACAATCTTAAATAATAATAAAAAATCTTCAAAAAGGTGAATGTAGCACAAGTAACCCATAAGGAAGCCTTTAAACTTTGCAATCCTGTGAAAACTATAAATACATCTTTAAAACTTGCAGTGCTGACACTACTTACAAAAAATATTGAAGAGTTGTAATCTAAATGTCAAATTAGGCAAATGGTTATATAAAAGTTACACTGATCCCTCATTTTTATTTTATTTGTGGTTGGAAGAGATACAAAACTACATTACATTTTTTTTATCCCATCCATCCAGGACAGTTTACATAATATTTATCTTTACAACAACACAGTGAGGTCAGTTAGGCTGAGAAACCATGACTGGCCTCAAGTCATCAAGTAAGCTTCCTAGCTGAGTGTACAGTGGTACCTCGGGTTACATACGCTTGAGGTTACATACGCTTCAGGTTACACACTCCACTAAGCCAGAAATAGTGCTCCAGGTTAAGAACTTTGCTTCAGGTTAAGAACAGAAATCGTGCTCCGGCGGCGTGGCAGCAGCAGGAGGCCCCATTAGCTAAAGTGGTGCTTCAGGTTAAGAACAGTTTCAGGTTAAGTACGGACCTCCGGAACGAATTAAGTACTTAACCCGAGGTATCACTGTATACCCTCCAACAGTTCTACACTGAAAATAGGAACGTCCCATTCCATAATAATAATTAGACTATTTATACCCCACACATCTTATTGGGTTGCCTCAGCACTCTGGGCAGCTTCCAACATATATAAAAACATAATGAAACATTAAACTTTAAAATAAAATTAAAAAACCTTCCCTATACAGGATTGCCTTCAGATGGCTCAGGGGTCGGATGACTCCATCCCCTCCAACATTTCGCCAGTGAAAATAGAGACATCCTGAGGAAAAGCGGGGCATTCAGGGATCAAAACAGAAACTTTCCTGAACAGTGCTGCCTTCAGATGTCTTCTGAAAGTCAGATGGTTGTTTATTTCCTTGACATCTGATGGGAGGGCATTCCACAGCGTGGGTGCCACTACCAAGAAGGCCCTCTGTCTGGTTCCCCATAACCTCACTTCTCACCATGAGGGAACCGCCAGAAGGCCCTTGGAGCTGGACCTCAGTGTCCGGGCTGAACAATGGGGGTGGAGATGCTCCTTCAGGTATACTGGGCCGAGGCCTATTTAGGGCTTTAAAGGTCAGCACCAACACTTTGAATTGTGCTCCGAAACGTCCTGGGAGCCAGTGTAGCTCCATGGAAGTCCATTGCTCCCTTCTTACGGATGGTTCAGAAAATTATAGCTCTAGATACAGAAATCTTCCACTTCTCGTGGAAGTTGTGGAAATAAGAGAGTGCCTCAACAGAATGACCTGAAAACCAATGTCACTCTCCCAACACAGAGCTCATTGTACAACGGGAACACGTGCCGAAGTCAAGCAGTCTTTCAGCAACTCTGCTTGATTAAAAACAATGTTTAAGGCAGCAAAGTGATGCCGCCAAAATAAAAATAAAAAAGACCCACCTTGTGGTTTGTGTCACCAACATGCTCTTTCCCTTCTCCTGGGTAGAACATATATTTACCGCAAAGTCTGCAGCAAAAATAAGGGGTTGGTTTTCTTTAGAATATTCTCCGGGCTTCACTCAGGGTAATAAGTACTGTGTGCTGCTAGGAGGTGTTAGAGAGGGGGGCAGGGAGTGACATTGCTAACCTTTCGCCAACTGCTGCCTGGTGACTAGTTTTTTATATACATTAAGCTCCAATTCTGTGCACGCCTTACCTGGGAACAGGACCCACTGCACCAATGGGATTACTAAACATGGATAGGCTCAAGCATCAAGGCTGCAGTCCTATGCATACCAAACAATCATCTACATGTCTGCTCAGAAATAAATCATATAAAAGGTAAAGGACCCCTGGATGGTTAAGTTCAGTCAAAGGCAACTATGGGGTTGCAGTGCTTATCTCGCTTTCAGGCCGAGGGAGCCCGCGTTTGTCCACAGACAGCTTTCCAGGTCGTGTGGCCAGCATGACTAAACCACCTCTGGCGCAACGGAACACCATGATGGAAACCAAAGTGCACGGAAACGCTGTTTACCTTCCTGCCGCAGCGGTACCTATTTATCTACTTGCACTGGTGTGCTTTCGAACTGCAAGGTTGGCAGGAGCTGGGACAGAGAAACGGGGATTCGAACCGCCAACCTTCTGATCATCAAGCCCAAGAGGCTCAGTGATTTAGACCACAGAACCACCCGCCTCCGGTCAAATCATATATGATGCTGCATGGAGGTAACTACACAGCTAAGC